ATTCCAAATATTTGCTCTTTTTACACTCTACCAGTATTCCCGACTACTGAATATGCTCTTCCATTCCATCCCTCTTAAGCCAACGAGTGCGAGCGCCACTCGCTTAACCCTCGGCCAAGTCCGGACTCGCCAGTACTGGGCGGCCAGTCTCGCCAGTAGTCCTCCGTCAAGGACTAGACCAGTCTTGACTAGTCTTGACTAGTCTGCTAACTGCTGTCAACCTGGCTAGACCGGCCTAGCCGGGCCGATCCAGGTCTGCCAGGTCTTCCCCGGACGCGCATTCTTCGGCCGATCCCTTTGATCCTTCTTGTATCCTTTCGATCCTTTCCCTTGGAAACCTATCGAATCTCTTTGTCTCAGTCTTGCTCTCCTCGATTTGTGTCTAATTGTTATCCCTGCTGTATCTCCCCACCCCCACTAAGCCTAATTATCTCTAATTCCTGCTGGCACTAGTGACCCTGTTCGACGTGTTCCTCCGCTCTCAGCCAGCCCTAGCGTGGCTAGTGCATGATTCATGTGTTCTCGTCTACCTTCGTTTATGCGTAGTCTAGTGTCTCCGTGTTCCTCCCCTCTAGCCCCGGGCTGCCTCCCCCAATTGGGCAAGAGAAAAGTGCAAGAATAGCAACACCCTCCAAATCCCACATGGTTGGCAGCTGCATGCCATCCGTCCTTTTTGACTTTTTTTCCCTTTTTTCCCTCTTTTTCTTTCTCTCCTAGCTCCTGTTTTTTTTATTTTCCATTTTTTCCTGCTGTTTTTTTCCCGGCATCTGACCTGTTCCTAAGCCTCAACCCTCTCAACTCTCAATCCTTGGGATCCTTTCTGGTGGCCCCGTCCCATTCCACTCATTCCACGTCTTTCCTCCCTTGGGTCTGGTTTCTCGTTTCTCGCATCCGAGATTCCCCCCTTCCCACCTTTCCCACCCGATCTGAACCTATTCCCAATTCCTAATTCCCATCCTAAATTCCCGCCACTTCGTCAAGCCAGGAACAGGGCGCTCCGCCCGTGAACCATGCAGCCCTCTTGAACCATCTCGTCCTGCAGCTGCATCTTCCTGCTCGTGATGTGATTCTACATAACTTCCCTCCCTTCCCTCTTTTTTATTTCTCATTTTTGCCTCTCTCTATCCACTCGACCTCATCACCTCCACACTCACTCACACTCACACGAACTCTGAGCTATATACACCACTACTATCCCCACCTTAGACCTCCACTTTTATCTCTCCCCATCTCTTGCCACTTGTGATCTCATCCGATCTCATCTGATCTCATCTAATCGTCTCACCCATTTACCCTCTCTCTTTCTCATCTCCCCCCCCCTCCTCCTCTTCCCCCACCACTGCTATATAGCATCAACCCGCCACCACCAAGCCCCTGTACCTGGTACGTCTACGTCTACGTCTTCCAATCCCATCCACCTGTACAGCACTGATAGTGTCACCTTGCCCTCCAGGCACCCTGTCAGCCTTATGACTGTCACTAGCACGGTGATGCAGAACCGCCGGGCCCATGCCTCGGGAAAGCGCCCGCTGCGACTGCCCATCATCGCCCCCAAGGAGGATTCCCCCAGCAAATTAGAGAGTGGCCTGATTGCTCCTCCACGCATCCGCCTCCCTCCGCGTTCAAGAACCGGTTGCTGGTATGTCCATGTCTCTTATTCCCCTTCCCCTGCTTCCTTGGCAAGCCATGGCTTTTTTTCAATATTAACTTCCCTCTTAGGACATGTCGAGTGAGTTTCCCCTTCCCCCAGCCCCCCCTGGGATCTAGATCTGTTCCATGAACTCCCATTGACGTGTTTCTTTTTTCCCGCTCATTATAGAGCCGAAAAGGTATGTTTACACAAAATTCCTGCGCCTCTCCGGCCCAATTTGAGTGGCGGAATTCCAGTGGCTGACTTGACCCGCGCGGCATTCCACAGTCAAATGCGATGAAGGACATCCTCAATGTAATGTATGTATGAAAACTTGGATTCATTCCTCAGCCCTGTTTTGCCGCATCCTTGCTCATCATTCTACTTTCTTTAGCAATGCACTCGTCTAGGCCACAGCTGCGACTACCGCCCTCGACTGGCCTTTCGCGATGACACCCCTCGCATCATGGGCCGCATGGCCGACGTAAAAACAGATGGAAACATCGTTTGGGATCGTAAGCTAAGCCGCGTTTCTCTGTCTTGTCAGGTTCGCTTTCTAACCCGCCGCGTATTGTACATAGTTTCCTCCCCGCCTCTCTGTGAGGAGAAGGCTGATTATTTCTCCTGCAAGGAGGCTCTTCCCGTCTTCGCCCTCCTCACCTCTGATGAGGATAGGGAAAAGAAGGCTGAGGGCAGCAGCCCGGGCACTTTTCACGTTGTCGTTACGCCGGATAGCTTCTCGGGATTGCCTGAATATTCAGATGATGGCGAGAGGTCACGGTCAAACGGCGCGCCGGAGTCTGTAAGCTCTGTGGCGACGAGTCCCATTAGTGGAATTGTGAAGTCCGAGGGCACTGGTATCATTGGTGAAGATCCCAACGTGGTCATTCTGAAGACGTTTGAAGATACAACGCGCCGATCTTCGTCAACGGGGCGAATGGCGCAGATTTCACCGACGTCGGAAATCTCGGATCCTTTTTGCTCCCTCTCTCTTTCTCCTATCCTTGACTCTCTCCCTTCTCCTGTTATCTTTGATGATGATCAACCGTCTTTCATTGTTGAGGGCTGCTTAGATCAACATCAACATCAACCAAGCCAAGACTCAACTCTCTTTGCGCATTTTCGACATGTCGTTTGGAAACAACTTTTTCCCCACGACCGTGGTCAAGATGATTCATTCGGGCTAGAAACTCATGGCATGACCCTGAGTGTAGACTTTCTCGAGCGCGAGGCGGCTCATTTCCCTCCTGTGAGCATTGTGTTTCGTTCTCATTTATTGGTTCCTGCTCTAATTTGTATCTATAGCTCTCCCATGCCATCATGGCCGTGTCAGCTCTCAGTCTCTCACACAGCGGCACCGGACAGAGTCTCGACGCGTTGCAGTATTACCAGCAGGCATTTCCATCTCTCCAGATGAGTCTCCGCAACAACGATGACCTCGTCTCCGATGGACTATTCCTCACCCATTTCCTCCTTCTGATCTACGAGGTGAGTTTCCACATTTCCAGCCAAGCGCATTGAAGTGTCTTTATCTAACCCCATTCCAGGTCGCTGCAGCCGAACCCCACGGCTCAAATCTCTGGTCCCATCACATCTCCCGCCTCCTTCACATCACCTTCCTCCGCCGCAACCAATACGGCCGCGAACCCCACCCATTCATCCTATGGTGGATCTGTCACATCGATCTCTACGCCCTCCTCAGTGGAGCGGGAACCGGAGAATTCGTCCGAGCCATCATCGACCACCAAATGCTACCCGGATCAGACTGTCTCCTCTACCCATCCGCAACAGAAGGATACAGCGTCATCTACGCCGACGAGCACGAGAGTTTACCAACCATCATGCGCCTCTACGCCGATACATTCAAATTGACCGCTCGCCTCGGTTTCCTAGCAACTCAACTCCGTCAAGATAAACAATCCCTCCCCTATCCCGAATTCAACCAGCGCTCAAAAGAAATCGCCGATCTCCGCCAATCCTTCTCCAGACTATGGGAAGCTCCCGATGTCACATATTGGTCCCAACACCAAGAGCACGGAACAGGACTCCCACTCCCACGCCGCTCACAAGAAATTCTCCAACAATCCGCAACCCTCTTCCACGTCAGCCAACTCTTTTCATACAGTAGTATGTGGCCCGGTCAGCGACTCGAATCCGAATTCAGCCCCGACGGCGAAATAGATCACCACGCTTCTGAAATTCTTCAAATTGCCGAACGAACGACTCACACGCGTCGCGCTGATCGGCATTTTCTCGTTTTTCCGTTATTCCTTGCTGGCGCGACTGCTTCGGCTAGTGGGTTGAAAATGATGGCTATGGAGTTGATGACGGGTATGGAGGATGAGGAGGATGGGATGGGGAGGAATGCGGCTACTACTAGGGCTATTTTGCAGACTGTTTATGAGAGACAGCTTGAGAGGCTTATGAGGGTTGGTCATACTTTGGATGTGGATTGGGCTGATCTTATGGTGAAGGAAGGGTTGCAGATGGTTAATTTTGGGTTTTAGTTGGGGTTGCCAATGCTTGGTTGGGCCTTGTTCTTGTTCTTTGGAAGGGTGTTTTTTTTGGATTTTTGGGTGGGACTATCAGGATCGGCGTTTTGGATGGGGGCATTTGTTGCATGATGTGTACTTTTGTACTTTTGTTGTTGTTTTTTTCCCCCCATTTCCCAGCATGAGCTATGATGTGTGTATGTATAGAAACGAATTATAATGTGCCATGGAACAGAACAGAACTTGAACCATTCAACTTAGTGTGGGCCCAAGTAAACAAGGCAAAGTCTATTTAGCGCCCTATACTAACTGTACTAACTGTGCTAACCACCAATCCCATCCTATCACACCAGGCATCAACCATCAACTTGTGCCCTCATCTCATCACACCCTGCGGGGTCGTCGACTCGCCCAACTTGGCGCCTAGCACTGACACTGGCACATCTTCCAGCATTTCTCCTTTTCAATCTCCTTTGCACTTTTTACTTTTTACTTTTTACTTTTTCTCTACGCCGTCCATCTCACTCACAGGCCCCTTGGTTTATTTTTATCTCAACGATCGCTGCCCCCCCTCCCCCTATTCAGCTGTGCACTGTGCACTGTGCACCACTCCCCCCACTCCACCTGTTAGTCTCCGATGCCCCTCACTGAAGAACACAAGTCCGATTCCGATCTGCCACACTGCGCGCTTAACTCCAAGTGATTGGTACCTGACCTGACCTGACCTGCCCGAGGCTGACGCAGTCGCAGTCGCAGTCCCAGTTTCAGCTCAGTTTTGCTTTCTGCATTCTGGTGCACTGCATCCTGCAACTTCATCTGTTTCATCGCTGCCAGTACCAGTGCCAGCGCCACTGTTAGGCATCATCATCATCATCATCATGGACCCCGGCGACAGCCGTGGTATTCACCCGGACGAGGAACTCTTCCTCAACTCCAACAGACCAAACCCCAACCAGGCACACACACAGACACACGGACAGGGACAGGTTGAACCACTCCGAATCAATAAAAGAGACTCAACCTCCCCCGCCTCTGCCTCTGCTTCCAGTCCTCCCCCCGCACAAGCACCACTCCCATACCCCGATGACCGTCCTCGTCCGCAAATGCGCAGCTCGAGTTCCAATGATGCCCGTTCATCCCCAGCCCTCGACAATAGCAATAGATATGACCATAGATATGCCTCTCCGCCACCGGCTGGTCCCGGTTCGGGCTCCGTGAGCCCCGCAGATTATCCCCCAGCTTTACGTCCTCGCGATGGTCGAGAACCGAGAATTGCTACCCTCGCTGAACGAAGAGGTGCCCAGCCTCAACCTCTACCTGAATCACCCATCACCGGGCCAGATAGAGATGCGCTCGCTGCGAGAACGTACCCTCGTCCTCCCGTGGCTCAGTCTGATGGTCTCCCAGTGAACCAGAACCAGAACCAGAATCAGCCATATGACTACCGTCAACAATACTACCCACCCCCGCAAAGCTCCACACCCAGACCATCCTCAAGTCTCCAACCACCCCAGCACTCCGGCAGCGGTGGTGGCGGTGGTAGTGGTGGGGGTATAAACCGCATCAGCTCAACAGCATCAACATCAACAACCCGCGCCCAACGAGGCTCACCCCCACCACCGGAAACTCCTGTCGTGGGCCCCGGCCAGCCGGGCTCGGACTCGGATATCGAGTCTCGTTTTGCTGCGGCTGGTATTGCGGGGACATCGACTTTGTCGGGGATTCAGTCACAGTCGCATAACCAGAATGCTGCGGCTCGGCGTCGTGCTGATCAGTATGTTGGTCAACAGCCTACTCTTCACCAGGTGCAGGATCAGGCTCAGGGTCCGGCGAGACCTTGGACGCCGACTGAACAGCCTGGTTCGCAGCCTCATGGGCCTCCGACTGTTTATCAGGGGGATGAGGTTGTTAGTGGTGGGCAGGGTCAGGCGCAGGGTCAGGGCCAGGGCCAGGCGCAGGCGCATCCGAGTCAGTATGGGAGTCCGCCTCCAGGTACACACCCGAGTCAGTTTGGAAGTCCACCACCGCAGGTTCACCCGGGACAATATGGGAGCCCGCCGCCGGGTACACACCCGAGTCAGTTCGGAAGTCCACCACCGCAGGTTCACCCGGGACAATATGGGAGTCCGCCGCCGGGTACACACCCAAGTCAGTATGGGACTCCACCACCGCAGGCTCACCCGAGTCAGTATGGAAGCCCGCCTCCTCAGGCTCAGGCTCAAGCTGTGCCGCAGCAACAGCAACAGCCACCTAGGACAAATGCCTTGGAGCATGATATGGATCGCATGCGCATTAGCGAGGAACCTCCTCCAGCTTACTCGAGTGTTTCTGGAGGCGCGTCAAATGGGTATCCAAATGAAAAACCAGGCGCTGCGGGGGCAGGTGCTGCCGCAGCTGGACACCCAGCAACAGCTAATCAACCCCATCCATCTACCATTGGAGCTGCTGCCGCCGTCACTGCAGCAGCAGCTGTAGGTACGTCTGCATCTCCCGCGCCATCTGCTTCAACACAGGACCATCCCGCCTTCGCCAATGATCCCAGGCAGCAGCAGAACATGGGTCAGTCACCGCACAATTCCGCTCCCAATGGCCAGGGCCAGGGTCAGGGCCACTCTGCGTATTCACAAGCAACCGTGGCACAAGTTGCCTCCCCTGCTCCGAGCGGCCTTCCTCCAGCTTCTCCTCCACCACTGCCAGAGGGCTGGATTGCGCATATGGATCCAAACTCAGGCCAGTATTACTACATCCATCTTCCAACCCAGTCCACCCAGTGGGAATTCCCGAAGGGTCCTACGCCATTGAACCTCAATGAGACCCCGCTATCGCCCGTAGGCAGCGTGTATAGCAGTCACCCTCTGACTTCCCCGGGTCTATCGGCATTTGGAAAGCCGCTAGCTTCCCCCGGTGCACCCATGACGCCCGGATTCGAGAGCCTCCAGTCTCCAATGACGGGATTCTCAGGTCCACCTCCGAGCAGCGGGATGGATCTGTATAAAACTGCGCCTACAAACGGTGTCTACTTTGGCCCCTATCTCCGCTACACGAACATGGACCTCGAGCGTGGATTATGGCTGGGCTCTATCCTCCTCGTCACAGACGCAGCCCAACCACCCACAATCCACTGCCACCAAAGTGTCGACCTTTCCCCGAACCCAAAACAACTGAAAGCAATCAACATCGCAGCCCACCAACGCTGGACCTTCTACAAATACGAAATTGAAATCCAAATGGATGACGCCGGCCCAGCAAAATGGACATACGCCATAACTTCCCACCTTGGCTGTACGCGCTACGAGTTCCTTGTCGCAGGCCGACACGAAACGAACTGGCGCTTCATTTCCACCTCAGGCAACGATTTCTCGCTGAACGTTAATGCGAATGAGCGTGCGAGACTGGGTGGTGTGGGCTTTATGTGGAAGGATATCATGACAAAGCATAATGAAATCGGAGGGTTTCATGCGCAACTTTGTCTGGGTGGACAGATTTATGCGGATCGCATGTGGAAGGAGATTCCTTGTCTTAAGCAGTGGTTGACGATTAGTGGGAAAGAGGCGAGGAAGAATGCGCCTTGGACAGCGGCGAATCAGCAAGATGTTTCGCATGCTTATTTCCATTATTATACAAGTCATTTTGATCAGCCGTATCTGCGGGAGAGCTTTGCGCAGATTCCTTATGTTTGTCAGATTGATGATCATGATATGTATGTTCCCCGGGAGAGAAGACAGGCGAGGTTCAGTGGGCATTTCTTTGCTAACATTTATCCAGATTCGATGGCTTCGGCTCCTACCCCGAACACATGCAATTCTCAAATATGTTCAAAAACATCGGCCGCGTAGGAATCGAAATGTACCTCCTCTTCCAACACCACACAACCCTCGACATCCTCCGCAACGTAAACAACGACATCGACCTATTCACCATAACAGGCACAGGCTGGCATTTCGTCAAATACCTCGGCCCCGGCGTCGTCGTCGTCGGACCAGACTGTCGCTCCGAGCGAAACCCCCACCAAGTCATGGCAGGACCAACCTACCAAGGCCTCTTCCCAAAAATAGCAATGCTCCCACCAAGCGTACAACACTGTCTGTGGATGATCTCAATGCCACTGATCTACCCACGCCTCGAAACAGCAGAACACATCGCTCAAACAGTGACAACAGGCAAACGCGCCGTAACGGGAACATACAACCTCCTCGGCAAAGTAACAAGTTCCGTCGCGGGTGTCGTGGGCGCGAAAGATTTCGTCGGATCAGGATTCGACTCTGTCAAACGTGCCGTCGGAAAGAGCGGTCTAATGGGCGGAATACTATCCCCATTCGGCGAATTCGATCTAATGGACGAACTTCGCGACCAATGGACACACGAATCAAAAGATCTAGAGAGAACATACCTAATCCGCACCCTCCAAGGAATCGCCCACCAAAAATCTCTCCGAATGACATTCCTCTCCGGATCAGTAAATGTCTGTGGCGCAGGTCTAGTCCACGATCCAGCCCAACCATCCGATCACAAAACAATGTATCAACTCATCGCCAGTCCAGTCGTGAACACCCCGCCACCGTCCTACGTGATAAAACTCCTCCACAGCCACGGCAAACCTCTCTACGTGCCAGCGAATGGACACCGCTCCTCGGCTGCGCCGACGGATACGAAGGAGGATATGATGGAAATCTTTCAAACGGATGTTAATGGGCAAGCGAGGGAGTATAAGAAACTTATGGGGAGGAGGAATTATGTTGCGATTGTTGCTTATGATCCGGATTCGGCGCAGGGGCTGGGACAGCAGGGGTTTCAGCAGCAGCAGCAGCATCTTGTTCCGGGGGGGAAGTTGAGTCTTGCGGCGGATTTTATGGTTCAGGGGGATGGGGCTTATGCTAGTGTTGTTAAGTTTGGACCGGTTATTGTGCCTAGTTTGGAGCATGGGAAGTAGAAGGCACTGGGCTGGTTGGATCCGGAGGACTCGGACTCGGACTCGGACTCGGACTTGGATGGGTGTTGCTCAAGTCTGCCCCGAGTGTCCTTTTCTGTGAAACGGTGTCTTTCTTGAATCTTTTGGTTTTCTCTTCCTTTTCCGCGTTTAAATCGAATGCGTCATTGCTTGGTGCTGGATTTGATGCTTTTCTTCTTATGTTTGATATTCTTATCTTTTTTTTTTTGTTTTTGTTTTTGTTTTTGTTTTTTTATTGTTACCCTTTCTCACGCTTTGAATGTTTATGGTACTACACGAATTTGTTACAATTCTTTACTTGAATTGGATTTTGTTCTTGTTCGCTTCATAGCGTGTGTGCATGCATACGTGCGAGCCTCTTTTCTTTTTTGGTTTATTATTCAAGTTGCCGCAGCTCATCATTGACATCATGTTATCTTCTCATGTATGGTACTAGTGCTCGTCAAGTTTGGTTGAAATTTGAAGACTGTATGTGATATTTGAATCTATGTGTTGAACTACTACTACTACTACTACTACTAGTATATCTCATTTTCGATATTCAAGTTCCAGGCCTGTTGCAAGGCTTACTAGTCAGGGAGTTGACTATTTACTAATAGATAGGTCTATCAAGGAGCTACCTTAGTATAAAGTTGACTATCTTTGACTATTAATATCTATATCAATACATGTCTAGTTGGAAAATGAAGGACACCATACTGTAGCTCTTATCAAATTTTATAATATAGAGTCTCTTAAAGTAGAGGATTCCATACTTGGAGGGTGATTCGTTTCCTGACATTTGACCTCTAGAAGCTCCGGGATGAAGAAAAAGCCGCACACCATTCTATCTCATGCTAAAGAGTGAATGTATCCTGATGCAAAATAAAATATTACCTTGCACTTCAGGCACTCAAATCTTGTCGCCTTATTTCCAATTACACTAGGTATCTGATTATAATCATAGGCTCTGTATACAGCGCACTTCAAGCAGAAACAGGAGTGATCTGAGCAACCTCCTTCAAATCTCTGCTACTGAATCCAACGCGAAGAATAAATTCACCCTCAGGTATGAGCCACTTCTGAGAAACAATATCCCAATAACTCAAATCTCTGCGCATCAATTCAAAGCCAACAGTTTGTGACTCGCCCGCAGCCAAAGAGACTTTCTCGAAACCGCGAAGCTGCCTGGGGGGTGTTCCCTCAGGGGTGCTGTCAGGGAAAGTAACATACAACTGGGGAACGGTTGCGCCCTTGATATCACCAGAGTTGGTAACTGAGATGGTTACATTGTATAATGTCTCCCACAGAGCGGGATTACCGCCAGGTTGGATGGGTTGCTCTTCGGGGATGGAAGAGATAGAGTCAGCCAGACGCTCGGCGTTGATGTCGGAGACGGTGAAGGTTGTGTACGAGAGACCGAAGCCGAATTCATACTGCACGGAGATATTCTTGGCGTCAAAGTAGCGATAGTCAATCTCGAGCTTCTCATCGAACCAAGATTGCCAGTCGTATGTGCCGTTGGTGGACACTTTGGTGGTGGGCGGCGCATTGTAGTCGCTGGCGTTCTTGGCAATTGTGTAAGGAAGATGACCGGATGGATTAACGTCACCGTAGAGAACGTCGACGATGGAGTTACCGGATTCCTGGCCGGGATAGTGTGCGGCGACGATGGCGGTGACGTTGGGGTGATTGGCAAAGGGAAGGACATTGATGCCGGAGGAGTGCGTGATGACGATTGTGTTGTTGCAGGACTTGGCGACAGACTCGACGACGTCGTTGCCGTTGTAATCAACTGTAAGGTGCTCACGGTCGGCGCCCTCCTCGGCCCAAGTCTTGAGGAAGACAAGGCACGCATCGGGGATGGTAGGGACCCAGAGATCGGTGACATTCTCAGTCGCGATCTGAGTGTTGTTCAAGAAGTATTGCACGAGAGCGTTGTCTTTCTTGGCACGAGTCTTGATGGCCTCGAGAGGGGAGACGAGATAGGTAAACCGACCGGTACCCGAGCCACCGCCAGAAGCGAGGTTTCCGAATTCGAAGGTCTGCTGGTTGACAGCACCCATGGTGTTCTCACCGGCATCATTTCCGAAGATTGCAATATTCTTGGGAGCCTTCAAGGGTAGGGCCTGCTTCTCATTCTTCAGCAGGACAGTTGCTTCCGCAGCAAGCTTGCGAATAAAGTTGGCGTGGTTCCCGCGGACATCACGGCTTCGCTCGCCAGTGAGGTTGAACTCGCGGAGCCACGTTGAACGGGGGAGAAAGTGTTTAAATCAGCAGATGAAGGGTCCACCTCAGGGTAATCGACGTCCTGGCGGAGCCAGTAGTAAGGTGTCATGATACGAACGATCATATCATCGACGCGAGACTCATCCACAGTTCCGTTGTTCACAGCATAGGTGATGTTCTTTCCGAAGAAAGATCCGGCTTCTGGGGATAGACCATAGGCACCAAGACCACCGGGCATGTTCATGTCAAGACCGCCCTCGATCGAGGCGACACCAGAGTGAGTACCACCCCAGTCAGACATGACGTATCCCTGGAAGCCGAGCTCCTCCTTGAGCAGGCCGTTGAGTGCCTTGGAATTCTCGCAAGCATAAGAGCCATTCAGACGCTGGTATGAGCACATAAAGCTGGCGGCCTGGGCTCGAACCGCATTGGCGAAGGGCCAAAGGTATAACTCGTGCATGGTCCGGTCATCAATGTTGGAGGAAAGGGCTTCCTGGATAACATCTGTGAGGGTTCCATTGGAGTCATACGTGGGGTTACGCTGAGTCTCTTGCTCGTTGCCGATAAAGTGTTTGGCAGTAGCTTGCACGCCAGCGTCCTGATGACCGCGGATGGTTTTCTCCATGGCAACACCAGTCAAGTAAGGGTCAGCGGCAAAGCCTTCCCAGTTTCGGCCAGCGTAGGCAGAGCGGCCGAGTGGGCCGGCTACAGGGCTGAGGGCAATGTGGGCACCCTTGGCCTTGAACTCTTGTCCCATAGTATAACCTCGTTCATAGAGGAGGTCCCTGTCCCATGTGGATGCAACGGTGACGCCGGCAGCGAAAACGCTGGCATAGTCGGCTACCCGAATAGACAGGGGGCCGTCTTGTAAGCAAAGGCCAGGAAAGCTGAGCCGCGGGATAGCAACAATATTTCCCACACATGGACCGGGCTGGCCAGTGATCATGTCGGCCTTCTCGTCGACAGTCAATTGGGCCACAAACTTCTGGGCTTTAGCAAAAGCCTCATCCCAGTCACCAGAACCGGTAGCATTTGCTGCAGGAGTGATTAGCAGAGCCTCCATGGTGGTAATAAAGATTGAAGCATACGAGAGGGAAGGACAGCAGGGGAGTGTCCGTAAGGACCCAGGATGGTTGTGTTCCTGGGTTGTACATAGCTGAAAGCATCTTCACTTCGAATGGTTCCATCGAAAGATTGACCATTGGCCAGTGTGGCAGCCAACAGGCCTGAAACCACAAAATGAGCCACACGAGCCATTTTTCGTAACTTCGTTAGATGGCGGAAGCTCGAGGAGTCTCTGGAGGTCTCATCTTAGGATCATCGCTTCTTCTTATAGTCTGCAACCCGCAATCTTCAACCCGCGATCGGAGAGAAATTCTGTACCGTGGTATGGAAAGACAGGTTTGCCGGTATTTTGCCGGTGCTAACTAGAACGTTCTGAGCCGGAGTTCTGCCGAGAGGAAGATACAAAGTCTTGGCGTTCCAATCCGTGGGGGGCAACCCCACACATTCCTCTTTCTGGGGAAAATTTCTCTCATCCCCGCAAGTGCGCCAAGTGTATAGTGTCAATGCACAACACAACTCATGACGCATTTTGATTCAGTAACTCGATTTCCCCTCTATCTTTCAGTCCCATTAGCTCCCGACGCTTGCCAATTACTTCGGGTTCTGCTCTCTCGGTCGTCCGGTGTACCAACCTTGGCTCCACGAGACATTTCAAAGATGATCACCGCCTTGGCAACTGTATTTGGCTAGCAAATATTTACCTTCGGCGACTTTATTGGAGACGGAATGCCGGCATTTTCAGTAATTTGTGTTCCACAACCACCGGCGATACTTCGGATGCTCGAGATCCGGCCTCCCGACGATGTCACTGCGGAGCATCTTCATTCTAGTACCAGTTCTTGGCATCTCCGTAAAGCCATGCGGGGTGTATTTGAGAGGTCGAAAATTGACATGTCGCCGGGATACTGACAGGAGTAAGGTAGTGGCTTGGACTCGGTGAGCGTAACCTATCCCGCGTTTTCGGGATTTGTCTAGTGTCCACCGGCCCACGGGTACCTCGTAAGCCTGCTTTGTCCTCGGATGGAGCTGATGCAGCGGCCTTTTTAGAGAGCGGTATGGTGGCTCTAAGAGCTTGGCGGTGGATGTTGAATAGATTGCCTCGAAGCACTAGAAGAAGGACTGGGTTGTGAGTCATTGGAGGATCTATGAACTAAGTGAGGTATGTCTAAAACTATCCGAGACTTGGTTTGCGTCGTCTGGTAGACTTGGTGTTGAGGATGATAGGATCCCTGTTGCGGGCTATCGTATGATGGAAGCGTTAAACCCGGCCAATGAAGCTCCTTGGAATATTAAAATTGTCAAAATACTATGTCTTCTCTTACGATGCTCGTACGGATTACGTATATGAAGACTAGGGAAATTTACCGGTTCATTGATCTAGGAAATGTTGCTTTCTAGTCGTTTAATCTAATACTTTTTGGTTGAGTTATGTGTGACTGAACACTGGGTTGAAATAGTTCTTACGATAATTAAATATGTGTTTAGGATGCTCTAGCTTGAGAGGGACAACGTACTGGGTATTATGAAGATATATGCTGCAGATTGATTTGGTTTAGTCTAAACTAGCTGAGGAAAAGTGGCCTCTGAAGCTGATCAAGGTGAATAGGAAGCTTTTAATATAATTGATATTTTACCTATTATTTATGTGTATTCTTCCGCTGTGGATGGGATCTTCTAAAGATGTATTACTTCGCTGTAGCCGATGTAATGTTAACTGTGCCCTCTTGGAAGATATTAGTATAGAATGAAGGATAATCTCTAGTTATCTTGGTGAGCTTGTGTTTGTTATTTTGTAGATATTCTTTAACTGAAGCAGTAGCTAAAAGGTGTTGTACAGCACGATTATGAGGTAGATATAACGCTGAATTGATGTGATTGGGCTTGATGAAATGAGTGTTTTAATTGATGTTGTTGCGGTTGAATTGAATGTTAGCATCAAAAAGTATTTTCTTAATGTATTCTGCTACTTAAGTTTCTAGTCTATCTACTTTATATATGTCTGTAAACATGATAGGCTCTATTATGGTAGAAATATGCTTCTTAGGATATTTGATATTGAATCTGATGATGCTTTGGTATAGCTATTAAAGAAGAGTATTAAGAGCATGGGTTGAGATTATGTTATTTATCTCTTTGAGGTCAAGCGCCTACTTCTGTGACCCTTTGAAATTACTATTGTTGAATATTTGTGTGAAGACTGGAGATTCTGTGTATAGTAGGTCTTTTGAAATGGTAATTTTAATATTACTTGGCTTGACTCTGATTTTGATAAGAGGCCTATAGTAAAGTGGGAGTATTCTGAAGGATAAATATTTAAATATGTCTGTTTCTAGGGCTATAAGGTATATTGACTCCTTTATAAATTCCTGTGTGCTGGCTTTGGATGTCTTAGCTATTACTATGAGAAATATGACTTGATAATCTTAGTAGTATTGCTGAGAATAATATAGGGAAAACCTAGGGGAGATTGGAGGGGAAAGGGAAATAGGAAAAAAATGGTGAGGTGTATATTTACCTAGGGAAGGCTTATCTAAAATAATTCTGGCGGTAATCGGCCTGGTGTAATGAAACTGCTAGCGTGGGGTAGACTTTTGGTGTGGGTTAGAAAGAAGGATAAAGTAAGATGAAGATGTGATTGACTTAACATATGTACCTAGAACTGGTCTGGCTTACTGAAAAAGTGGTGAATATTGAATCTGTACTAATACGGTAGGAGAGGTTGTGTTTAGAAATTTAGATTTTAATAATGGCTAGTAGGATAATGTTTTTATAATATTTAAATATTGAGAGTAAGTTGTGGCTGGCTGATTTATTGTGTAAGAACCTTATTTAGTGTTGACTGTGGTGGACTAAACAAACAGGTTATATTATCTATTGGAATGAAGTAACTGGAGCTATCGAGGGGAGCTATGATAGATGTATAGGGCGATTGAGTGTATTATAAACCGATACAGGCTTAATATTCCTATTTAAGCGAATGGGCTAGCTCCTAGAAAAAAGTAATAACATTTGGTCCTTTCAAGTTGGGCGAATGTATGTAATGCTAGAGGCCACCATGCGGGAAGCCGACAACCATAATTGCCATCGCAGTTTGAGACTTGCAACACGTGTTATTTTAGTCGTGTGTCAACGCACGACAAATCGAACATGCACCACCTAACAAGATATATTCCGCCTATGACATTAAAGTTCTTGATGGTGTGCGTAGGGGGCACTGCTACTAGGGTAGTAGGGGTCATGGAGATGCTAAGAAGTGTATGTAGATTGTATGTAGGGTACTCTGCGGGACTAATAGGAGAGGGAGTCGGAGGTATCTGGTGATATATTAGATGTTACGCACAGATAGAATGCTTATAGATCCAGTCCAGTCCGGGCCCGTTAGGTACAGTAAAAGAAAGAAAGCATGTTCATGAAGTCCCGTTGCAGCTGACGACTAGGTACTGTCCATCTATGAAAACTTATTAAAATTAGTTATAGCTTGTTACAAGATCCAGAAAACACAAGGCAAATACTTACATCGGACTCGAGCTTCGAACTCTCTGCGCCTTAGTTGGAAGACGGGGCCCCTAGGAGGCCACTGACTTGGTTCGTGACGTCCTCCACGGTGGGACCAAGGCTAAGCGGGTCCGAACTGCTTTCCTGGCGCTTGAGGATTGAGCCGACGAGCCCGCTGACTTGGTTTGTGACATCCTCCACAGTTGGACCCAGGCTAAGAGGATCCGAACTGGTCTCCTGACGCTTGAGGATGGAACCAACGAGGCCGCTCACTTGATTTGTGAGGTCTTCGACGGTAGGGCCCAAGCTGAGGGGATCTGAGCTGGGTTCCTGGCGCTTGAGAATCGAGCCGACGAGGCCACTGACTTGGTTCGTGACATCCTCTACAGTTGGGCCCAAGCTGAGCGGGTCGGAGCTGGGCTCCTGGCGCTTAGCAGGTGCTGGGGCAGCCAGAGAGAGACTTGCCAAAGAGGCGACGAGGATAGGAACGAAACGCATTATGGGTATTTGATTTGATCGATGCGTATATGGGGAGCGAAGGTAAGGGATTACGAAGCAAAAGAGCGACGATCGAAAAGCCCGAAAATTAGAGAAGAAAATAGACCGAAGAATGTTAACAGGGGCGGGCGACATGCCAGCCCTATTTATCTTCAGTAGTCATCGCTGAATATACGGGGGTGCTAGTAAGCGTGACGAAAATGAAGGCGCAATAGTTATCGTAGGTTATCTCATTACTGATCGCCAGCGTAATTAAAAGAGATAACTTGGGTGGTATAAAACAGGCCGAAATTCTCATGCCAATATCGAGAAAAAGAAAAAAGGCTGCCAAGAAACACGTTCCTCATATCTCTCTCGATTCATTCGATCGAGTCCAACGTGATTATAAGCTTTAAGCACGCCAAAAAGGGTCTGGCAAGGCGTGGCGCCGGCCCACTCACATTCCGGGGAGATAATGCCACAAAAGGCCCCCCTTAAGTTAAGGGCAGTACTAACTAGTCGCTGATGGTTCCTGGCTATTGATGCAGGTTCGCGAATTAAGTTTGCGCTTGGCTGGTATTATGTTCCCCTCGGTTCGAAGTCGGCGTTGATCATCGCGACTTATGAGCGAGTCGACACATTCGTCCAATGGTGTTGTAAAGCCAAGAAAAGGCGTGTGATAAATTTAAGTGACGCCATGCGAAGGGTTCTGTGCAAATGCGAGCAAGTTATGGAATGCAATGTGCCCGACAGTATCTCCCTTGAATATTTAGTCTCTAATCCGTACATGCAAAATCCTCATGGCATTCCCAGGCTCGGGACTAACTGATAAATGTACAGCAAGGAGGAAGTAAGTAGTTTGAAGGCCCCGCGCTAAGACTGAGTAAAAACTGGGGCTTTTGATGGGTTCTTCTTGGCGGGGAATGTATCTTCATTTTTGAACTCATTTAAGTGCAAACGGCTTATTTTACTAGTAGAATATCATACAGGTATTGAATAATTGAGAATTGAATTACCGAGGCATGTGAGAATATATCCAGGATTATGTTAAGGTCAAATGCATTAGTTTGTTATGACCCGCGCATGATAGTTATACTGCGTTGCGGCTGAGAAATCAGCCCAAGGCAATTTATTGGCATTATTCCTAATATCTATGCTATGGAGAATTATTATTTTTCGACGTTTACATTCAGAGAAGAGTTGTGAAATAAGAAATCCAATTCTTGCATAAACTCAGTAGATATTACCAACTCTCTCGCAGCTCTCTTATAGAAGCCTGCGTTTGGTCTGTCGACCTTAAATGTTTCCCCAGCTAGCTTCTTAGGGAAGGTATTTAGACTGCGAGGGAACTTGTTACTTTAGTTATGGATATATTGATTCCAAGATGCCGGAAAGATGAATTTTCTAACCCCGAGTCTAATCAATGTGAGACGAACAACGATGATTTCAGAAAGACCAATTATCCCCAAATCCCTCCGAGATTAGGCATTCGCATCCTTTGTCGTGGCGACCGTCGTTTCAACCCCAATCGTACTGGTTCCGACCTCGGAGTCCACCTCTCCAGAGTCTATGCCATTCTGCAGCTCCGTACTGGCTTTGTTCTTCCTAGAACGCCTTAACTTGAAGATTGTCAATGAAACAGTGAAAAGATACAGGAAACTGATACAAGTTGCCTGCATGGAAAGGGAATATTAGTAAACGTGGGATATTTTCAAGGAGTCTCACATACCCAAATAAAACCGCCACGAAATTTCGGTGCTTTAGATACTGGCCATGCCACAAGCGGTATCACTAAGCCACATATCTCCGCGACGGTATTGTATGTTGCAAATGAAACTGCTCTCAGTTCTAAATCATTCGCCAAGCCTTCCGCTGTCCACGTTATGAGCACTGGGATTGTTCCGTATGACCACCCGACTGAAATGAAAGCGAAAAACTTGAGGCCATCTGGAATATTCCAGATCGAAAGAACCAAGTTTGCGAATATGCAAAGTACCCCCGAAAGAATAATCGGCTCTAATCTTGACCCACGAATATCAGAATAGAAACTCATGATCAAGGCGCCAGCAGCTGCGGCGCCGTTTGTCATAGTAGATAAGTTATTCACTAAAGCGATCGGATATTTCTCTGGCTGAGAGTCGAGCCAGAGTATAAACGGCGTGGCCTCGGCATAAGTCATCTGGCAGAATATTACCAATGTCAGGACGAATGCATAGAAACGCCATGATACGAGAACACGCTTGAAAAGATCCTTCTTCAATCCTGTGGATGGTTTAAAGCCTTCATCGACCAGTCTTTTCCGGGCCAGAGCTTTTTCTTCCTCACTGAGATATCTTGATTTGGTACGATCGGGCATATCGGGAAATATAAAGAAGCCTCTGGTAAATAGTATTAGCCTCTGTTGCTTGTTTTTTGCCGCTCTTGAAGAATAGCTCGGACTTACAGGATCGCGACCGGTATCGTGATGACAGTACAGATGATAAAAAGCCATCTGTTGGGGAATAATTAACATTTAATAAAGTCTGCTTTGCTTTTTTTCCAAATACACACCTCCAGCCTTGAAGCCCACGGTGGTTGTTTAAATTTGTATAGGCCGCTGCCTGAAGATATCCAGCAACCATTTGACCCAAGGGGTTAGCAATCCAGAACAGAGCATTGCGACGTCCCAGCTCCCTCTTTTTATACCACCTATTGATTTTATCTTAGAATCAATTTGTGGTAGAGTCAATCATCCGATCACTCACGAGTTGACGACGTGAACTAAACCAACATAGCAGGATGTTGCACTCAGTCCGACGAAGAAGCGCATGACCACGAGTTGTTCATAGTTTTTCACAAATCCGGTTCCGAGTGTAAACATGCCCCAAAATATCTCCGCCGCTGGAAGATAGTACTGTGCTCTGTAAATGAAATTAGCTCATACATATTCTTTTTTTGAAGAGGGTAGTGGTGTCGCTTACGGGTACTTGATAAGCACCAGGTTACTAGGAATCTGAAAAATGACATATCCGACCTCATCTATGTATTAAAATTGGGACCATGAGTCTGGGTACAATCATTCTTCTGAGATATAGCCGAGATAACAATTATCACGAGTCGTATTTTGGAGTACTTACAAGCCGCATTGATATAATTCAACCTATTTCCATATAAGTCGAGGTCCTCTTTCATTCCAGAGACATAGGCATTGGCTATCGGTGAGCTTTATCAGATCTTATCCAAGTAAGAACATATATCACCGTTTACATACTCAGTGCTGAAATGTCGAGATATTTGACGAAAAACGACAGACAAGCGTATGGTAGGATAAGCAAATCTAGCTTGTGAACAAGACTCCGTTCTTCAGAAGACATCCCCGCAGGGAGCCATCTAGCAGCATTCTCCAGCTTAGAAATAAAACCGGTCATTTTATGTTCTGAAAGAGTGATAGATTTCCAACAATTCCCAGCGAAGGAGACTAGGGTTTTCTAATTTAACTACCGAGACTTATCTTTTTCCTGAATGCTTGCTCTACTCCGCATTTATTGATACTTTTTGAACATTTACACAATAGCTACTTATATGGCATCATTTCAGGGAAGGAATATAGACCTTGCTCCAGACTTTGCTGGAAATCCACCCATTGCGCGAGCGGCAGATAAAATATCATCATGGAAGGGCTTGATAAGCTTTTCTCCGAGAAGTTAATCAGATAATTGCGGCGTCTGTACTCCAAATGGTATTCTACCTTGGAATCTAATCTAGACCTCGGCATATTTAGAAGATGACGCGATTCGATGACAGACATGGTCATTCGGCATTCTTCCGAAACATCGCTGCACGCCGAATGTTATGGCCTTTATCTCCGAAGAAAGGTTACGCTAGTCTGTAGCCAGCAATCGTGCTTTTGTGTGACTATGACAGTAGTTGTGAGTGAGGGGGCCTGATCTAATCAACTTTCCGGATAGAAATGAAACACATAGCCCGCACTGGTAACACAAGGTTAAATTTCTTCCTCCTTAGCTTTGGCAAAGGACGTCCTCTTCCAAGAGTCGACATCACCCAGTCACTTTAATATCCCACAAAAATGGCCAACGAAACCACACCAGCAAAACGAAGAATCTATCTCAATGGCTTTGACATGTTCACCGTCGGCCATCTCTCCTTCGGACAATGGAAGAACCCGACCGATCGATCAGCGACTAAACGCCGTGATCTATCTTACTGGACAAACCTAGCTCAGATCCTCGAAAAGGGCGATTTCAACGCCCTATTTCTTGCCGATACGTTCGGACTATACGACACGTACAAAGGCAGCGCGGAGCCGGCAATTCGTAATGCAGCTCAGTATCCAATGGGTGATCCTGTCATCGTAAGTATTAAATTCCGAGATAGGCAAGACAAAGATCCATAATTCCATGTTAGGCGATAAATTGCTATAATGGCCTTTTCCGAAGTACCAGATAACTAAGCTTGTTTTACTTGAAATCTACAGCCCATTTCTGCCATGGCTTCAGTTACCAAGAATCTCGGCTTCGCTATTACGACTTCGACTTCATACGAAGCACCTTATGTTGTGGCGAAACGCTTTTCAACCCTTGACCATCTTACGGGGGGCCGATTCGGATGGAATATAGTGACTTCATGGAAAGAATCCGCTGCAAAGGCCGTGAGTCTCATGCGACACCACTTTCTTCGTTTTTTGCGCTAATATTTGTAACTTTAGGTGGGACTACCGCTCGTCGAGCATGACAAGCGCTATGAGATTGCCGATGAATATCTCACTGTTCTATACAAGTAAATAAGTCCTATTCCAGCCCGCCCCCAACCAAAGCTTTGCTTCTGACGAAAGAAAACCTTGCAGACTTTGGGAAGGAAGCTGGGCCGAAGACGCCTTGAAAGAGGACGTAAAAACAGGTATATACACCGAACCAAGTCTCATAAAATACGTCCACCACCACGGAAACAAATTTCACGTTGACGGACCTCACATTCTCGACCCGTCACCCCAACGCACCCCATTCCTCTTCCAGGCCGGTACATCACCGGCGGGAATAGCCTTTGGTGCAAAGCACGCAGAAGGGGTATTTGTATCAGCGCCATCACCCAATGTCCTCGCGCCACGGGTCAAGGAAATCCGATCCGCGGCTGAAAAAGCAGGACGAGATCCCCGATCGGTGAAAGTATTCGCCATTCTAACTCCCATCCTTGGTCGAACGGAGGAAGAGGCACAAGCCAAATATCGCGAGGCACTATCCAATGCTAGCGAAGAAGCCGGACTTGCATTTTTCTCAGGAGGAAACGGGATTGATCTTAGTCGGTTTGATCTGGATACGCCTATCACGCCGTCCGATGTGCATGTTGATGCGCGTGTTCATTCGTCGATTCATACGCTTTCGTATCAGAATCCTGATGTCCCGGTTTGGACGCCGAGAAATATCGGGAAGCATATATCGATTGGAGGGTCGGGTCCTGTTCCGGTGGGTACGGCTGGTTTTGTTGCGGATTTTCTTGAAGAGTGGGTTCGGGTAGCGGATTTAGATGGTTTCAATATTGGATATGTGCAGACGCCGGGGACATTTGAAGATGTCGTTGAGCTTCTGGTGCCGGAGTTGAGAAGACGGGGACTATACTCGCCGCAGAATGAAGGGGGTACCATGCGCGAGAGAATTTACGGTCCTGGTCAGCGAAGGTTGAGAGATGATCATGTTGGTAGAACATATCGCCATGAAGTCTACGATGGAAGGTAATAGGCTCAAATCGTGAATTATACTATTCATTCATATAAAGCACTCCTCCACCTAAATAGGTCTCATTATTGCTATAAAATGTAGCTCACTAATCAAGTTGTATGTCTCCATTCATGTAGTCTGATCCTAACCCCCTTCTGCTATGGCACACACCTTCCCGCAGTCTATCCCCAACATAAATTGATATGTTTCAAACTAGTGATCAAAAACAAAGTCCAGTCGCTTATTGCCTTGATCAGTTGTTGTTTCCAGATAGATAGCCTTCTCCTCCGAGTTCATCTTTTCCCATTGGCCCTTTTTCCACTGGTTTCGACGAGAGTAGTATGTGTTGGCGAGCGCGTAGGCGACGATAGTGGCAACATTGATAGCAATCAGTTGGCTATTTCCGCGGCGATAAAGAGGCTTGTCATCCTCGCGATAAATATTGGATGAGGCGATACCGGAAAGTTGGATGGTGATATTATATAGCGCAGCACTGACTGTTCGCGTTCGAACAGCGTTACTCAAACGAGAGCACCATCCAACATGAGCGGCATGGGGTGATGGCCAACCAAGCAGAACAAATGTTACCGCGTAAAGACCCCAGCGTGACAAATCTCCAGCCGATGTATACAGAATGATGAGAAGGGGTAGAGACCATAGCTGAGTCAACAGACCAATCACGGAAATCTTCCTGAATCTTTCTGTTAATTCTGTAACCCAGAGGAGATTGATGGCTGCGAAGACAGTCACTGGAATTGACAGCAATGTTGTCTGGAATGTGCCAAATCCGATCGCCTTGAGCGAAAGAGTGAGATAGGTTTTCGGCGGTCCTGTGGGAATTTCGAAAAGAATTCCAATGATATAAATCGGCCAAAGATCGTAATCTTTCAAACTCTGCCAGAGCATACCGAGGGAAAGCGCTTGGCGATTGTGCATGTCTCCCTTTGATGGATCGTCTCTGAGAACTCGATTGACAATGATCTTCTCCTCGCGTTCTGTGAAGTAACCCCAGGATTCCACCAAGTCTTTGTTTGTGTAGGTCCAGGGACGAGAAAGAGAAAGCTCAAGAATCCAATCACAAGGCTAATTAGGGCTTCGATCAGGAAAAGCCATCTCCATCCTTCACGGCCATCAACACCCCTCAAGTGCAAGACACCATAAGCAATAAAGGATGCAATCACACCAGAGATAGAATCCACAAACCAGAACAATGCCAGGCGAAATGGCATTTCTGACTTGGTGTAGAAGTAAGACAAATATAAGATAGTATCTGGAATAAAGCCGCCCATGAAAAGTCCGAGGAGGAATCGACATGCGAAAAAGCCAGCTCGGTTTTGCATGAAGAACTGGCCGCCTGAGGCTATACTCCAGGCAATTATCTGAAAGGGTATCCATCGGTCGGGGCCAAGTCTTTTGCCGATCATCTGGGAGGGAATTTCGGCAATAAGAAACCCAATGCGATACATATTCTGTGCATTATTGTAATCATTGGTCGTAATATGCAAGTCGTCGAGTAGGTTGTCCGCTGCGGCATTTCCCAGATTGCCGCGATCGATGTTCAAGCCGAAAAACATGACTAAGATCCAGAGTAGAATTTTCCAATCAGTTTTACGCCTGACGGTTCTTTCTTCTCGATAAGTCCATCTCTCATTTGGGTCGAAGTGGGCAAGATTTTCGTAGTCGGGATGCGGTTGGTAGAACCTTGCAAGTAACGGGTCGTCAAAGACACTTCTAACAGTCGCAATGCTGTCCAAATCAAAAGCTTCTCGGCGCTGGAAAAGAGTTTTGTAAAGAGATTTTTGTTCCTCTTGGTGAGATGGCTCCACGAGATCGTCGGTGTCAGACGATCCATCTTTGACTACGACATGAGTCGATTTTGTCTCGACCATCTTTAACTTGAAAGAATATTAAAATGTTTGGTCTCTTCCTTCTTTGTAGGGTCTATAATTCAGATATATATGATTTTTTGTTTTCTCTCAGCGAAGTCCATAAACATGGGCAATATCTTATGACCAAGTCGTGCTCTTGGCGCTCAATGATACCATTCCCTGCATATGACCTACAATCCTTTCCTGTACATATTCTCAATTCCTTCCAGTTAATAATTTAGCCTGTCTTGGCACACTAGAGGCTATTCTGGTTAAGCGATCATACCCTTGGTCATATTTGACGCCAGGTGAATGAAAACATGCTAGTTATCAGTTTCGCCATGTAAGCGCGGGTGGCGTCAACTGTCTATAGCCCAATGACACTCCCGAAGACCTGAAAAATTGTTTACACTGATGACCGAGACTTCTAGCTTCAACAGTATTTTCCACCTTATTGGTGGACAAATTCCAAACCCTGATTTCGGTAGATTGCATGAATTCGGTTAATTTAGAATAAGCATTTCTCCTCGCAAGCATGGCAAGCTTAGCACTGGGTAGATTACCCTTGGTATCTAGAGACCTCCTTCGGCTAAGAAGCAATTCTATGAAAAGGTATATGTAGAAGTGTATTAGGTTCGCTGTTGCGGTAAGAAATTTACGCCCAGGTGGGCCAGGCAATGCTACCTGAAAGTAACTCGAAGGTAACCGAGGTCTTATCTTAGTTACTAGTACTATAGCAATCACTCATTTTCCGTAGCAAGAGAGTTTTATCTTATCAATATTATCACTGGAGTTGTTGGACTCGCGCTGGTTCTCCTCAAATATTTTCTATGGAAACTGGGAAAATATAAAGTAGGCACATAGTGAAATTTTCCAGTGATATATGTTTTGTTGATGGTAACAATGAGAAGTGGCTTGAACTTTTCACGCATTGTAGATCACTTTTCAAACTCATTACACGGTTTTCCATCCAACAGCAACTATATGGGATTCCAGTGAGAGTATTGATAAGGCTAGAATGTTCCCCAGTAATGCAAGTCGTAATCGATCCCACCTGGACGCCAAAGAGGAGCAGGGTGATATACCGGAATTGGACTAGAGGCTATATGAAGTTAGTAAGAACGCAGAAAAAAGGAAAAAGAAAACAGATCTCAGAGCTTACTGCCATAGCCTGTACTCGGCGCAGCCCACGACGGGGTGGTTGGGGATTCCCAATTAGTCGGAGTCGCAGTTACCGTGTAGCTGCTGGTGTATGAATATGGTGACTCTGTCCCTGTTAGATTTTTGATGCCATTGTTGGCGCCGTAGCTGTCATCGCCAACTCCAAAGACATTGCTGATTTTATTGATTATCTGAGTACCCGATTCCGTCCATACGGTGAAGTCTTCGACGGTGACGTTAAGGGCAAATGTCAGGTCATTTGCGATGAGGTATAACGGAGGTCGCTTCGAACCATCAGCGACCGAGCCTGTTTTGTAATATAATTGATTAGTCTTCTTGGGATTCGTGTTCCATGCTCCAATGCAGAGAAACTTACCAGAGAAGTTACGGAAGACGAGGTTGCTCAAAGCCACAGCACCAGTATCCGGTTCAAAGGTATTTTGCCAGTATTGGTTAATATCCAGCCCGTAAAGGCTAGCAAGGGAGCGGAAGTTAGAAAATGTGATATTTGTCACATATCCAGATCCACCGGGGTATGTCTTGATGAAGGCAATATTGTTTCCTTGAATGATGCTTATGTTTCTGGCTTCCTATTGGGCTTGTCAGTGTAGTTTCATGGATTTCATATCATGAAAGACCTACGATGTTGGATATTTCGGCCGAGACATTCAGACTTCCGATTGAGATACCCGAGCCAGCTTGGTTACAGACCATATTCTCTACTAACGCATGGTGTGATGGGCTTTTGATGGAAACACATTCATCCCTGTTTGTCACCTAGATAGTAGTTTGTGAGCTGCAAAGTCCAGGAAGAGAAATCTTGTTGTCTGAAATTTGGTCCAGAGGGAGACAGTTTGAAGGTAAAGGGGGAACACACTTCATTGTCATGGATATAATAGTTCGTTCCAATCGCGTCGATACCATCATAGCTTCCGAGATTCGCACCCCGTATAGTCAAATGGTAAACTTCCACATTTAATGCGAAGTCGAGTATGATGTGGAACTTTGGGCTGTCGACCAGGATCAAGTCATGAACGGTTGCGTTGATTGGCGATATCAATCTGACAAGTCGCGGACGCTCTGTGCTGTGGTTGGGATTCATGTTAGTGACAGAACAGAAAGAAAAGTTCACTGGGTCCAATCTTACTTATTGGAATTTCTGTAAATATATCCTTGTCCTTGGATGGCACCAAGTCCCGTAGAGGAATAAAATTCAAAATCAACAGCTGCAAAAAGTAAGCTAATCATCAGGGCTTGGCGTCGAAAAGGAATGAAATGATTCGTATATCTCATACTAACCATTGACAATCACCAAAACATCTAGCAAAAATCGTTGGTCACCTTCTCCATTAATGGTTGAATTGATCAATTCAACACCAGCCGATCCCTGCAAAATCAACTCACGATCAACAGACCAATTACCACCATATGCGGCAGTTACCAGTCCATCCAACTGAAGGGCCCAGTTTGTACCGTTGCTAAGAACCACGCTTCTATTGAGAAGATATTCCCCCTCTGGTATAATCAAACGACTACCAGGATGCTTGGTAACGCATTCCGTGAACGCTTTCTCAACAGAGTTTGAGATATCTGTCGAATTGTCTGCAATTGCGCCGTAATGGAGAATGTTACATTGGACAGTCTTTTCTTCCAAATTCGTGGTAGGTCCTACTGGTCCAATAAGTTGGCCAAAGGCTACCTTTAGGAGAAGCAATTGTGTCAATAGACGCATGGTCGCACTGATAACTTTAGAGTAGTTGAATTTGAAAATGATAATTCGAACTAAATCCACAGTATATCACGGTTATTTTATACCTCTAACCGTGTTATGCCTTTCAATGTTGTCTATTTACCGCTATCATGCGTCATAAATCTATCTCCCACATACAGTCATGATTTTAGGTTGTAGTAAGAAAATGCAGACGGCCTATCAATAATCACGTTTCTCAATATCCGGCAGCTGCGCAGTCTAACAACAGCCTCCAAATTTCCCTAGATTAATGACGAATATTTACGACTTTCCTAGTCATCTGAGCTAGCTAGTAGATTCTTCATCTATTTCTCGAACTAATTTTCAAAATTCTCGCGACCCTTGATTGATTTTCCCATATCGATAGACTGTCCTATTGTGTTCAAGCACGATAATGCGGGGCCCGAAGGCATCATCTGCACCCGTCAGCTTCAGAGAGTTTTACCATAATTCAACCGGATTGCGCACTTCGTAAATCGCCCTGTTGGTGGAAATTTATCAAAAGGGTCTTCTTAGCTTGCACGACTTGTGGAGCTATTTTCTTTAATTTGGAAAAGACCCCAAGTACTCCGTAGGATGTACGGCTTCCCATCCCAAGCTACACTAAACCCTTTTTTTTCTCGCCGTGAAGCCTATGCACAGACTCTAATCGACAGCCAGAAGAAAGGGATTTAAAATGGTCGAACACAAAAATGTTCTTCTCATGATTGCAGACGACTTGGGAAAACAATTAAGCTGCTACGGAGCAAAAGGAATCAAAACGCCAAACATCGACAATCTCGCATCCCAGGGAACTCGCTTTGACTATGCCTTTGCAAGTACGGCATCCTGCAGCGGTAGTCGCTCTGTTATCTATACTGGCTTACATACCCATCAAAATGGGCAATATGGGTTAGCGAGTCATCGTCATCATTTTGTTACATTTGATCATGTTGAGACTGCTCCGGGGCTTTTGAATGCGACTGGGCATCGTACGGGGATTATTGGGAAGATTCACGTTGGACCGGAGCCGGTTTATCCTTGGGAGGTTAGGAAGGAAAGTGATACTCGTGATGTGGCGTTGATTGCGGATCAAGCAAGGTCTTTCTTTGAAGAGGTTGATCAGGATGGTAGACCGTTTTTCCTTACGATTGGATACCAGGATCCTCATCGTGATCGGACTAGAGGAGGATTCGGTAATCATGGCCAGTATGACCCTCGCGTCGGAGAAGGAAAATATAAACCGGATGATGTCGAGGTTCCTCCCTTCGTCAATGATACACCCGGAACCAGATTGGAGTTGGCTGAGTATTACAATTCTATTCATCGCCTTGATCAGGGTATTGGACTTGTACTCGAAGCACTGGACGATTCCAAACTCGCACAGTCAACTCTTGTTATCTTCTTGAGTGACAATGGTCCTCCTTTCATCAATTCAAAGACAACACTATACGATGCTGGGGTTCGTTTACCGCTGATCATCAAACATCCAGAGCGGAAATCAGCTGTAAGCTCTGCGATGGTTTCTTACGTCGATATCCTACCAACAGTATTGGATTTCGTGGGCCATCCGGCTACAGAAGACCCCTTCAAGAAACGGATAGGGCAATCGCTTCTGCGAATCATTGGCTCGTCGACAGATGAGTCTGATACCGGACGTGAAAGAGTCTTCGGGTCGCATACGTTCCATGAGGTCACAAACTATTGGCCAACGCGATTTATTCGCGACAGACAGTACAAGTATCATAGAAACTTGGCTTGGCGCTTGGACTTCCCATTCGCGTCTGATATATATGGATCACTTTCCTGGGAAGATATACGGAATTCAAAGGAGAGTGAAATCAAAATTGGGCAACGGAAGCTGAAAGACTATTTCTTTCGTGGACCGGAAGAGCTTTATGATCTTGCGAATGATCCGCTGGAGGTTAAAAACCTAGCAGAAGATCCACAATATCGCTCGCTATTGGAGAGATTGAGATCAGATCTAGAGAAGTGGCAGCAAAGAACTGAAGATCCTTGGCTGTATCGAGATGGTGTTTCTGTCTGGTTCAACCGGTATCATTTCGCATCCGGGCTGAGAATACCAGATCGTCTAGATTTTGATTCTACGCGGCCTGGAAACATAGATGTGAAGGCATTCGATGGAAACGTATCTTGGGGCACAGATGTTACTCTGAAGGAGGAAACGACTGGAAATCACACTTGAGCACTTCCGCTCAGGGTGAACTTTGCATTGAATATCATAGAATGATAATAGAGTCCATTGACGTTGTGTCCAGCACATTTGTAGGACCATAAATTGTGAATAAATCACTAAGTACAATATTTGAAACTAAATGTCAGAAAAACAGCAGATAGTGCAAAGTAGAAGCCACCTTATATCGCAATCTAAACGCATCCAGTGCCAATGTAAAGCCCGCATAAATTCATGAAATTCTCATACACACCTCAACCCGTCGGATCTCCCCCGGGAAAGCACAACCCAATGCGCCAGAAATAATCCCTATGCGCAAAGAAAAGTTCCCAAAGCCGATATCTCGCCGGAATCAGCGACCAGCTTCGAGGATAAAGGGGCGCAGTCTCATCGGCGGGTGTGCATTTTGACGACCCCGTGCCTCTCGGTCTCCCGAGAACGACCTGGTGATCCGGATCTTGAAGAGATTCCTCGTTTTCTTCTGAACATGGGTCTCCGTCTCCGTTGGGCACATCTTCGACATCCACCGGAATATTGATGTCTTGCCATACATCATGCAGCGATTCCGGTGAATCAGACCCGGCAATACATCTCTCATCCTGATTTCCAACGCATATGTGTATATCTTCAACAGTGGGCGGTAACTCAGGGCGCGAAATGAATATCTCACCCGCATGTGGCGCATATCCCCATTCACTCAGAGGCAGTAGAGGAATCGGGTCATCAATATGGGTCACACGGCGAAACTGCCGGTGTTCAGGGTCGCGACTTGAATCGCTATAGTTCCCCTGTCCAAAATGCTTATCGAGGAAATCCGCGAATCCAGCGTTTCCAACCATCGGCTCCCCAAATGTCGTCACTTGCGGATTCCAGCCCATCGCTTGCATCTCTAGTCCTGCTAGTGCGGCTACAGCTCCGCCGAGTGAGTGGCCGACCAGGGTCACTTCATAATCGGGATTCTTTGCAAGCGCATCTGTGATGTGTGGGAGAACTGTTTCGCGGGTATTTCGCCATGAAGACATGAATCCAGCGTGAACGGTGCAGTTCTGACATTTCTCGGGCTGTCTTTCGTCCTTTTCTTTGCTTTCTTCTTCTTCTTCTTCTTCTTCGTCGCCGTTTCCTGGGTATGGTACGTACTCCTGTGGGACGGCGGATAAGTCGATAATCGTGTTTGTGATTGAGTATGTCCCGCGGAAGGCAACGACAATGCGCTTCGGTCCTGGCGCGTGCGAGAGTGCCACGTAGCCGCAGGAATCGGAGAGAAGCACACCTGTGCTCCAGGTCTGCCACAACGTCAGTACCATGAGTCACTGCCACTCTCGCTGTTAGCCTATTGCTGCGCATCAAAACTCACCGTTATCAGCTCAAGATTCGGAAATTCCTCGCAGTGGCTGAGGCACTTGAATGGCTTCTGCACGCCGGATGTGCCAACGCAATAGGAGATATCAACTAGTCGAGATAACTCCTCTAATGAGTCAAATAGCTCGTTTGAAATATGGTTCGTTTCAGTATGTGCCAATGAGGTGCCCCATGACGAGAATGCAAGGCAGGTAGATATGAACCGCCTCCAGGGAGACATTTTATCGCAATTGCAGAGGAGGGTTGTGGTGCGACAAGTTCCAAGGAACGGGGCTTGGAGTTGGAGAATCTGGGGAAGATTAGTCATTGCGTCATGTGGGGCAACCACGGGACTATGCAAACGGATGCATTTATGGAAGGCACGAGGACTAGGTAGAAAGGCAACAGCAGCAAACAAAATTAAAGGGAAGGAGGGAAAAGGTAAAGGGTCAAAATGCCCTGTCCTGATTTTGACCCTGCGACCTGGAAGCCCCAAAAAAGCAAAAAGACAAGGTAGGCACGCACCGGTCCCATTGCGTCTCTTCAGAGCCTCCTCACTCTTTCCCCCCCAATGATCTAGGCCAATACCATTAGACCATTCGGAGGCTTATCAACACACTAACACTTGTTTGACATTTTTAACCGATGCTTTCCCACTATCTGGTTCATTCTCCCCTACAACATCGTCTGATGGCGCTGAGTTGACCTCGCAGGCAGTCTGAAAACCACTCCAATTATAATATACCCTTCTATTTGGTTTATACGAAAAGAAAGTAAAGTCCGGGCATGATTCGCTTTGAATTTCATAGAAGTGCTTATATTCTAAGAGACTATTGTCCCATACGCATACGCATACACTGCTCAGGTAGACCAGATCACAACACGACCATCGACACCGCTCGCTGGGATCATTGTTAGTATACTCATGTCTCTCAAAGGTGTAACAGAAAGCCTTACTGCTGAAAGACGAAACCTGACCGTTCGACTCCTGGAAGACACGGACGGCATTCACGGTATTCTGGTGGGTGGACTTGAGCTTAGTGTTCGATTGCGCCTGACCCTTGAGATCCATCTGGCGGAACATGTTCAGTGCCGATTCCTCACGAGCACCACCGGCACCATCGCCGTCCTTGTTCTCGAGGGATCCTGCCAACTGCCAGCCGCTTTCGTCGCCGCGGAAGCGGAATGGCTCACAGTCCTAGAGTCGGTGTTAATGTAAGGGGGTAATATCAGGGCAATGCGGAGACAGGCTTACATGACCAGCGGCGATAATCTCATTTTCGCCGTTCCAGATAAGGCTGTTAAGAGGCAGGAGACGGGTAGAGATGTTCAGCATTGCACGAGGGGGCTGCTCCGGCGCACTCGGGTACACGACGGTAACACTGCTATCGTGACCGGTGAAGGCAAGAGCGTTACCACTCGGGGAGAAGCTAACACCCTGAATCCAGCCAGCGGAGTCGTTCAGGAATTCACCACAGATAGTGTTGAAGGGGAGGCGCTCGCCCCAGGCGCTGGGCTCGGGACGGGTATCGATACCCTTGATAAAGCTGGAGAAGACGCGCGCGTGGGAGTCGGTAGAGCCAGCAGCAAGTAGCACTGAGTTCGGGTGCCATGCAAGAGTCGTGATGGTACTCCGGATGGGCTTCTTCAAGTGCTTCGAGATCCACCAATCGTTCTCCTCCTCGAAGTAGCAGACGGCGATAACGCGGGCTCCAGAGCCAACGGCGAATTTCTGCTCCGAGGGAGACCAACGAACAAATGTAGCGGCACGGTTGATACGCAGGAGGACCAGGGTAGGCTTCCAACCGGAGGGGGTCTGTTCCCAGACATAGGCATTGCGGTCTGTTTATCGAAGTAGATTGCATTAGTTCAAGTTCAATCAATCGATTTTGGTGGTATAATTCATACCCTGCGAGCAAGTAACAATGCGACCGCTGTTAGGAGCGATGTCAACACTGGTCACAGTCTTCTCGTGGCCCTTCAGCTCGTCGCTCAGCGCGAACTTGTTGCCTGATGATTGGTACAGCTCCACATTGTTCTCCCGAGCGACAGCAAGTGTCTGTCTATCGGATGAGAAGGAGTGGTCGGCAATTGGGGCGTGAAAGAGGTGGTGAACTTGAGGAGCAGCCATGATGAAGGTACGACAGGAGGAGCTCTCTACCGTCGATAGATAGAATAATGAGGGGGAGGTAGGCGGGCAATCGGGGGGGGAAGCTGGGCGCGATGACGCCGCAGGATTGCTGACGTAATATCATGGTCACGTGATTCGCTGTCTTTTCTCGGGTTCGAAAGACTGACCCCATGCCGCACGTCTAGAGCTTCGATCCTTCCCCTTTTCCTTGCATTTGTCTGTCAGCGTTTTCCCTGAGCGAAGAGACGACGCGCTCTCTATTTCTCTATTACAATATGTCCTCCCAGAACGCGCCATCAAAAGGCGCCGACGCCAAAGCGGCCGGCCATCCCAACCAAACGTGAGCTTTACCCTTCTTTTGATCGCCATTGAGCTGGCATGGGTGACTAATAGCCTCTTTAGTCTCTACTGCACCAACCTCCCAGACAAGCTTCGCAAGCACGATCTGCGCTCCTCGCTATACACCCTGTTCTCCACCTACGGTACCGTCCTCGACGTGGTGGCCATGAAGACGAGCAAAATGCGCGGTCAAGCCCACATCGTATTCAAGGATGTTCAAGCTAGCACACAAGCACTACGTGCCCTTCAAGGGTTTGATTTCTTCGGAAAGCAGATGGTACGTCTCTCCATAAGTTGATTCACGACTTCCTGGACTCACAATTGTTTCTAGAAAATTGTCTATGCGAAGGGCACGTCAGATGTTCTCGCCAAGCTTCGCGGTACATATGTCGCCCCTGCCACAGAGCAACCTGTTGTTTCGAGCGACCTGCAAAAGTCCATTTTCAGTGGTCCTCCTGGCGCGATTCCCGCGCGGCCAGCGAACGTGAACGGCGAGAACCAGGGAGTGAAGCGCGCTCGCGAGGAGGAAAGCGATGAAGGAGAAGCCCCGATGGATGAAGACAGTGATGTTCCAATGGAAGCCTCTTCCGATGAGGACTAATGGCGCCCTTTCCAAGGCCATTGGAATTGGCCCGTGGGAAGGGGATCGAAGCTCGCGGGGTCGGATTATTTGCTTGGCGTGTCTGTGCCAATTGCCTCACAATGGCCTAGCACCATCCTGGGACAAGATGAGCTCGCGTGGGACGTGTAGGCTCACACACTGGCCCACCAGTCCGAGCCAGATGAGAAGATACGTCTCTGGGGTTACCGTCCGTGCATCTGCAATCCTTCCCATGGCATCCGCCGTGTTGCACGGGTGAACAAAGAAAGCCGGAGCGCCAGATTCCGGATGATACTACGAGACATGAGCCATTGAACATCATTAAGTCGACCTTTTCGTTTCGTTTTCTGTTGCGAGGGGAAGGGAGGGGAGGAGATGCCACCTACGCCGAAGCTGATCCCACCCATCACCCCCACATTCTTCAATTGCTTTCTATACGACTCCGGGACGAGGTACCGGTAGACTGCATCTAACCCGATAGGCCCCTGGTTGTCCCAGTGGAGCACAAAGTACAAGACGGGAACTTGGTATGTGGGGAGAGCAGGATCTCATACTCTATGTGTAGTTTGGAATGGCCATCGGTACGGACCAGGGCTTCCTGCGGTGAAGTATTAAGCGGTATCCCTTTGATGGCAGGAGAAAACTTTGGGGACGCGGACCGGATCCTCCTCATCTTCTAGTGCCGAAGCGTCCTGTGCATTCTGTAGACTCGGATCCACACTTTCAAGTTCAGTGTCCAGGTCGGCTCTGTGGACATCCACCCGTCGCGTTATTTTGAGGCCGATCGCATTCTAGTATATCCAAATACAATTATTATTCACACTCCAGATCAGTTTCCCGTCAAATATGTGGCAAGGTAATAAATCGAGCGCCTCCTGCATGACAAAAGGTAAAGAATATAAGGCAGGGATACCTGTGTGACAAGTCGAATAGAAGACCAGCCTCCTTCTCCTCCTTCCTCTAGGCCCTCTAAGCCGGTCGTGCAGGTGCAGGCTCGATCGGCCAACACTCGACATGCGTGCGCGAACTCAAGCGCGGTGAGGAAAGGAAAGGTCGACAAACCACAAGCCATGACCCACTCTCGCTTCTGTCACTGTCAGCTGTCCTCCACGCTCTGGACGAATGCAGTCTTGCACGACTCGAATTGAAGCTGGAGCTGGGGCTGTGAGTGTCCCTTCCCCCTCCAAGGCCACGCGTGCCTGGACGTTCTCGGAAGATCAGAATATCAGATCTAGCCGAAACTGGGAAAGGGTAGCCGTTGCAGATCCAATAGGGAGAGACGGGAGAGAGGGGACAGACAAGTCGATTGTGTTTTGGGGGGTGGATCGGCGATAAGTTGGGATGTCACATCCGGTTTCGATGCAGCGGGGGATCCCAGAAAATGGAGAGGTCAGTGGGAAAGTAGATGGTACTTGTGGGGAATACGGGTGGGCCATATTGTGGAGAAGTACCCTATACTTCCGGCACTTCAGGTACCCCCAGCCCGCTTGCGGCTAGAAAGTTGCTGGCCTACCATCTCGAAATCATCACGTCAAGATCGCTCTTTTATTTTATTTTTATTTAATTGATTTAATTTAATTTCTTGCAAAGGGGGCAGTCCCTGTTCTGCATGCAGCTACAATGGCATGGCCCCAATTCTCTTTCCCCGACCTTTGTGGCAACGACCAACGCATTCGTCTTGCTTGTGGCCTCAAACACAGAGCATGGGCTGATGCGTCGTTGCTCTCCACTGCACTTATGTATCCTTTGTTTGCCCACATCTTTCCCCCGCCCCTAAACCCGCTCTGACATCCTTCCCCTCCTCCCCCTTCTCAATTTCCTTGTTTTTTGGTTTTATTTTTATTTTTTGATTAATTTTGTTTTCTTGCTTTTGTTTTTTCTATCATTATTCATTCCTTGGGGATGAACCAGTTAGGTTGACTGTTTCAAAATTGTCTATACGTCGTCAGGCAACGAGATTGGTAGTAGACCTGGGTGCTGGACCACTCCGTTTGGAAGACCCTGGAATATTGTGAATATCTTCCTCTCCCCCAATTGGTTTCTTTTTGACGTTACCTCAACCCTCAACACATCACACATCGTGTACCCCGGTCCAACCGAGCCCCGTGGTCTCCTCCAATCTGAAACCTGAAACACTATACTTCCTCCATCATCTCCGCACGGAGATCCCTTCAGCCGCCAATCGCACCGCAGATTCTCAACACAGCCGTGGTACGAGCTTGGGACCCGGATCGATCGCGAAGCAATCAAGGCGTGGCTTGACGTCAGTTTATCCAGGATTCGATCTAATCTGGGGCGTACTGCACCGTCATCAGCAGGAGTTATACACTCCCGCCATCTCCGGCTCTATTGACACCCAGGTTATATTACGCTGCTGCTACTCCACCCCCATGCTGCGCATGTTTTCCCTTTGAGAGTGTGGGGAAAACTTGATCTCATTTTCAGCCGGTGGCGCTTGTGAAGCCATGGGCAACTCATTCTCCAGCCCTACGAAGGATGAGACTCGCCGTGTAAACCGACTATCAAAACCCTTGACGAAGAAATCCTCCACTCTGAATGCTCCTCAGCTTCCTCCTATTGAAACGGATGGTCCGGAACTAGCCTCGGGATTAATTGGATGGCAGAACCCTTGGGTTGGTTCAAACATCTCCAAGGATGTCAAAACCAACCCTTCCAGAAAACGAGAGTCCCTTCCTACTTTGACTGAGTCTAAATCCGAAAGTTCGCTGAAGTGGAATGTGACGAGGCACTCGATTGATGTATCTCACCCTCAACCTTCCAAAGCTCAAGATGTCGAGCCTCTCTCGCCTCTCTCACCTCGATCTGGCACGCTCTCAGCCAGTCCATCTGTAAGAAGAGCATCATGTCAAACGGAAAGTCTTGCTACCTCATCAAAGCAATCATTGGATTTGGGAAGGCCAAAGCGAGCGAATTCAATCCAGACTCCTCTTCAGAGACATCGAAGTGCGATCTATGGGGATAAGGCTCACGAAGCAACCTCATCCAATACGCATTTCACCGTTGGCAACCAACGCTTCTCGTTGACTCGTCGGCGTTCTCTCCTGACACGACCCGGTCTTGCAACTCGACGCTCAACGGCCGCCGTAACTCGACGATTTCCGTCACCGATAGGAGAGCCAGAGTGCTCTACTGAGGACTCTTTGGATTCAAATACGCTACAATGGCCACTACCTCCTCTACAGAGAACTTCACTCCCTGTCTCGTCATCAATGAGACCAACCAGTCCGACAGATCCCCGGTATACTCAACTTGGAGCGTTGAAGCTGGGATCCTTGCGAGTTGTCAACGGCTCTGCCTCTCCGTGCCCAAGTGAACGAATCCCACTTGGTCAAACACAGGTTGTCGGAACTGGCGCGGCTCTTCCAGATCGCCTCGAAACCATGCGCTCCAAGGGAACTCCACTGCAGATCCCTGCCGTTCCAGATCTACAGAAATCCGACGATGTCCCCGGAAGTCCATTCTCATTTGAAAAATCACCAACCATCACTGTACAGCCTCGACATAAAACCATCTTCCCTATTGAAGCGGAAGACGAGGGAATCGGTATGTGCGACGAGGGCTCTGGTCTTAACCAGACCGAAAAGAACACTGCCACCATCAACCGCAGCACATCCAGATCTCTCAACAAAACCGACAGCGGCTACAGTTCTGCAACATCCGTGCACTCTATTTACCGGAGTCGAACACGGGCCTCCTTCGATTCCCAGACATCTGGTTCTTGCACCGCGGACAGCACAAAGGGTATCGGTATTACCAGTGATGGTGGTGCTAATGACCAAACATGCGATCTTCGCAATGAGAAAATCCAGAGACATACCAGCCTCCAAGAGGTCAAACCGGGTAATTTCTCTCAGCTGTACCCCAATTCTACTCGCTGGTACGATTCCAGTGCTCCGTCCAGCCAATCTTCCGGATCAAGGGTTCGTCGATCGACGCTCTGCGCTCCTCGGAATACGGAGTATCCGTACCCTGTACAAACTGGTCCCGGTCCCGGTCCTGCTCCTGCACCTGGTCCATACGCCTCCTACCAATCATTCATATCAAGCTCATCATCCTCATTCGCCTCACAAGATGAGCCAACTCTTTCCACGCGAGGCCCTCTTTACGGAGACACGTTCTCGACGAGTACATTGAATGTTCTGCATGATCATGATTCGAGCTCGACAGCAACGTTGGAAACACTAAACAGCTGCCAACAACAACAATCTGGCAGTTTAACAAAGACTACCTCCGCTCGCTCCAGGTCCCGAAGCAAAAGCCTGCATGGCAAAGGTAGCCGGGCATGGCGACATGACTCGATCATCGAAATTCCAAAATTACCCACGATTCTTTCTCCAGATCATCTTCAGTCTGAGAATACTGAGGAAGAAATGGAATTGGAATTCCCTATCCCCACCTCGACCTCCACCCCCGAGACCTATCGTGGCCGGCCCCGAAGCCGCAGTCAAGACTATCGGCGTCGCAAGTTAACGAAGACGCGTCCTCAACCTGATGTTCATATCACGACCTCCCCTTATGCACTTTAGTAATGTGACGTGAACGAATGGAGTTTTATCTTCTTCTCTTCTGGTTTTTGTACCTTTCGTTGTTTTTATTTTCTTTCTTTCTTTCTTTCCGGATTTTCACTCTTCTTTTTGGCTGTCTTTTTTATTGAGGTCTCTGATCTACAAAAGTCCTTTGGCGTTTTTGATTTTATTTCTGATTTGGCGCTGGCTTCTGGTCATTTACGGTCATTTACGGTCATTTAGGTGGAGTCTTATTTGGTTTTGGTTTTGGCCATGGATATGGATATGGATATGGATATGGATACATGGATACCCTCGTTTGAACTGAACATTCCTTACTGTCATCTAACGGCGTTGTATACGGGCGTTGTGGAAATCGCAATGAAATTTTATCATTTGAAACAAATCCTTCCTCCGATCTTACGAGTTTTCTTTTTTTTTAAAGTTTTTACTCTCAAAACTCGATTCTTCTCAGTTTCGGTTTCGGTTTCGGTTTCAGATTCCGTTTGGCTTTATTTTGAGCTTTGTTGCATGCATGGAGCTGTAGCTAGTCTGGTCTAGTCTCGATCTGCATCGAACCCAACCCTGCAGAGGCTAGCCATGTGGCACTCTCACCGGGATTTCTTTCTGCCCTGTCCTGCCCCAGCCACCACATAATGTAAGGAGGTACATACGCTACTGGATTTTCTGTCAGATGATGGTGGCTTTTTTTCACTCTTTTGGCGGGCTTGGCGTTGGTAGATCTTGCAGTTACAGATGTATCACATTATGTCATTGGAGAGATAAAATTCGTCGCTAGTTTTCTACTTTTTGGACATTATTCGTATTTGATGGAATCGGGATCATATGTATGGTATAATTTAGTCATGCACTGAAGTTTGGTTTGATTTGGTTTATTCATATGGAGCACGTATACGGAGTACGAGTACAAAGTACAAAGCCCTGACTGAAGTCATATTTCAAATCATTGCATAATATTCACTTCACTTCACTTCACTTCATTAGATCTAGATCGTTCGTCTCAAGTCAAAATAAGATAAAGTTCAAAATAATTCAAATATCACATATCATAAAATAATACAGGCTCTATGCAGAAAATGTAAAAAAGCAAAACTTAAACCCGACGCGCCCAAGTCCAGTCCCGTCCCGATGCAAAGATGTCAAATCAGCCGATTCGGCTCCGGCTCCTCGGGTACTCGAACCATTCGTTCAGATCAGGTACCGTACTTGGAGCTACTTTACTTGAAGTAAAGTAACTTCGTTTATAGGAGAAGAATCTCACAGAATCCGAATCTTCTTAACCTTAGGCGTCGCATCCTTAGGAACATAAACCGAAAGAATCCCATTCTTCAAATTAGCGCGCACACCATCTTGATCCACGCGCGTGGGAAAGGTAAATGTGCGCTGGAACTCGCCGATTGACCGCTCCGACGCCCAGAAGTGGAATTCAGGCTGGGGTGTCTGCGTCTGCGTCTGCGTCTGTTGCTTTGTTGGCTCTGCATAAGGCTTCTGCTTTAGTTGTTGTGAGCTTGTGTCGTCATCGGTGTTGATGGCGAAGTCGGAGTCAGCGTCAGCTTCGTCTGAGTCATCTTCGACGGTTGCTTGGTGTTGGCGTGGAGATGCAGATGGAGATGGAGACGAGGTCTGTTCCTCGGTGTGCTCCTGCTCCTGGTCCTGGCTTTGGGTTTGAGTTTGTTGGTAGTTTCGTTCAGTGCGACCCTTCACGATGAGAGTTTGTGGATCACTGAATTCAATTTCAATATTGCTCTGGTCTACGCCTGGGAGTTCGCCGTCCAGGTAGTAGCCATTCGAAGCCTCGCGGACATCGAAGGATGGGGTAAAGCTTGGAGTAGCAACTGCGCGGGTGGGGCGCGGCTCGGAGCGGTGGGTCTCGTAATCATCGAGAAGGCGGAAAAGAGGTGAGAAGGAGGAGGGTTGGCGACACTGGAAGAAGGCCATTTTGATTATATTTGGGTGGATTTAAGAATCAGAAGATGATTGTTTAGAATCAAGAGATGTTTGTTTTTGAGTGATGATTCAAATTACACCCTGCCTCTTCCTCTCTTATATACTGTGCTATAGTATACTGTAGTCCTTTGTCAGAATGGCAGAATCCTCCAGAAGCGGGTCGCCCGTTCCACCAACTTCTCCAAGCCTCGACTAACATCTGGGGAAATCTATGGCGAATAAGGTGGCGAGTTCGATTATTCTAGTGGCTTTCTAAGCTCCCTATTATTAATAATAGTACTACAGTCTACAGGAGTAGGTTTGAAAAGGCACAGGAACCTTGTATGAATAATCTACCTCCATTGGTCATCTGAAATCTGGTGGAAGTTTCTGGGAAAAGTAAATCTTGCAGAGTTGAGATGTGATTGACTAATAAATCAAGCCCTGGTGATAATAACGTAATATACATGGACAGTGAGACTAGACTAGGCTTGTTCTGTCCTGCCGATTCTCTTCTAATATACAAAATTCTTACATTTTCCAACCTTCGTGTAGGTCGGGGCCGTCCGAACGGGTCGATCAAGATATATCTTACACCCGCGGACTTCAGCTATCTCATCTCACTCTCGAGTCCTTGACACATACTCTTGAGAAACCCTCGAACCGGGTGAAGTCGGGAACAACACCCAGAGCGTAGAACTCTTACCAGAGACCTAAAAGTAGCGGGTTAATTGAGGAACGGGGTAAACGGGGTAGACAGAAGAGGCAAACCCACGAGAACCCCACGGAAGGGGGAAGGGAGTCAGCCACTCAGCTGCTTAGCTGATGTTGCGAATTCCCGGGGAAGCGTACATCTCTAGCTGGCGGTGGCCTTTGCGCAAGAGATATTCGACGGTGCTAAAGTCCTTCTTATTCACCGAGAGATGTTTTTGGAATTCCGCACTGAACCGCTTAGAAGTGAGCCGGGATAAACCGATGAAAATGGAGGGGCCACGGGAAAGGATGGTGGTGGTAGGGTAGGGTAGAGTAGGGTAGGGGGCAAAGGGATCAGGAATACTAGGTAGAAGACATACCGTGCATATCGTTTGAAGTTATTGCGAGAATCCTGGAGAAGGGCAGTCAGAAAAGTGTGCATAGTGTGGGGAGGAGGGAGAGAAACACCCACAGCGGGCTTGTTGCGGATCTCACGCAGACATGATCGGTACAGAGACAGGACCTCCCGCTGGAGACCAGAGAGCCGGGCCATTTGCAGATAGCTTCAGTCAAGATGGGATGTGCATGGAAATCCCCCATCGATTGGGTCGTGGAGCTGGGGGGAGCTCCTCCGTTTTCCGCCGGGGGAACCGATAGCTTTCCGGCCGAGTGGAGGTCCACCATTCACATTCAACTTTGACTTCACTTGGCCCAGAAAGCACATATCTATCTCCCTTCCCACCACTTTCTACCTTCTCTCTTCACAAATAACATTATTATCATATCACTATCACTCTCGCAAATATGTCTACCTTCTCAGTATGATCATTTCCCCCCTCACCCCCAATTGCCTCCCCCTTATCAATTACGGGGACCAACCAGCCAAGCCAAATACTAATTAATCCTCCACAGCGCCTGATTCACTTCCTAGCCAAAGACGGCCAAATTTACTACGGCGACGCCATCCTCCCCAATGGCACCAGTGACATTGCCCATGCCACCCAAGCAAAAGTGATCAAAGGCGACATATTCAGCCAGTATAGAATCACCGACCAAATCGCAGACATCAGAATGCTCCTATCCCCACTAGCTCGGAAGGACATCGGCACCGTCCGCTGCCTAGGCCTAAACTACGAGCAACACGCAAAAGAATCCAACCTACCCATCCCCAAGTATCCAGTTCTATTCTTCAAGCCCGTCACAGCCATCGCGGGTCCGACGGATGATATTCCCGTCGCCCAACTCGCGCAGGAAGGAGAGGGTTTAGACTATGAATGCGAACTTGTCATTGTTATTGGTAAAGAGGCGAAGAATGTTCCTGAGTCCAGAGCTTTGGAGTACGTTCTGGGATACGCTGTTGGAAATGATGTCAGTCATCGTGACTGGCAGATTAAGCGTGGTGGTGGGCAGTGGGGGTTGGGGAAGGGATTTGATGGTTGGGCGCCCTGGGGTCCTGGAATTGTTTCGACGAACCTCATTTCTGATCCTAATGCGTTGCAAATTTCCACTACGCTTAATGGGAGACAGGTTCAGTGCTCTTCTACTAAGGATATGATCTTTGGCGTGGCGAAGACTATTGCGTTTTTGTCTCAGGGGACTACGCTGTTGCCGGGTGATTTGATCTTTACAGGAACGTGAGTATCACCCTATCCTATCCCATCTCATGCTCGAAATGCTAACGGAAGTTTTGTACTACTAGTCCACAAGGTGTTGGTATGGGCCGCAAGCCTAACCTCTGGCTGAAGGATGGTGATCGTGTGGAGGTTTCGCTGGAGGGTGTGGGTTCTTGCGCTAACAAGGTGGTTTTTGATAAGCCTGCTCCCAAGCTCTAGGTCAACCTTGACCCGGGGCACCTGTATATAGATATCTACCATGATGAAAGAAATGTTTATGTTTAAATCTAACTTATATATCGTCAATTTGGTCCAATTCCAATGGTTCTCTTCGTGGAGGAAACTAAGCGTAGATAGTAGAAACAGAAAAAAAAATATAGGCATATCATGAGAGGCTCAATCTACTTAGTCTGAGCACCATAACCCTTAACCCTCTCAGCAAAAGCCCAGCTCTGTCCCCTCAATCACCTCATTCTCCTTGATATCAATACCCTCCTTGGTAATAACCGCTATCGAGTACTTATCCATACTCCGCGCATCACGGTAATACAGGACCTTGAGACACTGCTTCAACGCTTCAATAGCCGCCTCCTTGCTAACCTCCTCCAAAGGCATCTCCTCAGGGAAAAGACGACGCAAGATAGGAACAGCAAGGTGTGCACCGAATCCCGTAGCCAGATGAGGCGCGGAGAAGGTCGTTCCCAACAGATCCGCGGAACTCAGGAAGGGCTCACCCTCGCCATCGTAGCCTGCGACCAAGATGTGGTTCCAGAGCGGGTTGAACTCGGAGCGCCGTTTATAGAAAACCTTCGATAGGTAGGTGTGTAGGTTCTTGGCATTGAGCATGTTGCCGTGGTGGGAGTAGTTCTCGCGGATATCGATCGATTCGAGGAGTCGGTCGATGTATTGCATGTCGGAGACGTCGCCGCCGAATCCGACGATGGCATTCGAGCCGAAGACGCGGAGACGCTTGACGTCTGTGAATCGGGCGAGAGAGCCGTAGGAAGCTATATGATGGAAAAGAGATTCGATTAGTGCGAGTGCTCTTCGGGGAATGGCTCAAATGAATGGTTGGTTAGGCTGGCCAGCGGGTGAACACACCGAGGTTGTCAGTGGCCAGAACGACACCGCCGTTAAACTTGACGCCAAGCACAGAGGTTCCTGTCACGGCTGGAGATGAGGTGTGGGCCTTGGGGCCAGTCGTTTGAAGGTATGAATGGTCGTAGGCGCCGTAGACATCGTCTCTGGGCTGTTAGGACGGGTTAGCCAAATGGGCGGAGTGAGAGGGGAAACAGCTGAACGAACTCGGCCCCATGCTTCCGGAAAGTGGTTCATTGTGGATTGGTGTGAGGGATGGTAAGACTCAGGAGAAGGAGACTGAAGAATGAAGAGAAGAACGAGAATGGGGAGATTGAACGATGACGATGAATGGAGCTCCGGCTTGAGCGCGCGCAGGCAGGCGAGCTGACGGAGCTCTCTGTATGACTAATCAGCGGTAGTTCCTACGCGCGCGTTTACAGTAGAGTGTTGTTACTATATAGCCAACTTCTTTCTATATATTGGATCTAAGAATGAATTAAATATTCATTATACTCAATTTCGTATCATCTGAACCCTTTGATAGATTGGACCAATCGTGGTTGTTTTGTTCTCGAAGAGTTACTCTTTCCGGAGATCTTCGTATTCGCCAGCTCGGGGCAATCATTTTGCCTCCCGTAGGGCCTCCCAAAGGGTGCTCAGCCTCCAAGAAGCTTAATCCGCCTGACGATCATGAGAGAAACCGTGGTCACGATGGAGTAGGGCTCAACGTAAATAGATGGGTATTCCCCAGTTTGAAGATTTCTTTTATTTTCTCTTGTTATATCACTATTCCTTCCCCTGGGCCCATATCCATAACAGCCAGGATGTCATCAGACTTAACACCGGCACCATTTGCGAACCCACAACAGCTACTACAATCACCCTCGCGCTTATATCGCATCTATCGACCCGCCTTTCACCGTCACTATGAGATCAAATCCTCCGACGAACGCCTCTTATTCTACGGAAATGTCTCCGTTTTTAGCTTCAAAAAGCCCGAAGTGACCCTCCACGCAGGAGCCAGCGATACCGCGCCCATAGTGGCAGCCTGCAAATTCGTCAAATTCTCCGGCAGTTTCAAATTAGCGCTGGGCGATCCGGACGATGTAAACAACGTCCAGTGGGAAGATATGACCCGGGACTCCGCCCTGGCTCTACATTCAAGATTTCGATTCGAGATGACAGTCCCCGACAAGACGCGGGCTGGATACAATGAGAGAAGGGCATTTCTCTGGAAACGAACGCACAATGAGGCGGTGGAAGGAAGGTCGCCTTTGAAAGCGAGTATGCGCAATTTCAAACTTGTTGAGGAGAGTACAGGCCAGGTTGTGGCTGTGTTTAATAGTGAGATTTCTTTCTCTAAGTGTGGTGTACTTGAGGTTAAGGCGGATTATGGAGAGGCTTTTGATATCATGGTTGTTAATTCTTACGTGGGTCTATATGAGAGAGCGAGGCGGCGCAATAATCGTGCCGCTGGTGGTGGTGGCGGTGGTGGAGGAGGCTGATTCAACTGTATCTGCTATGCAGGGCTGTCTCGCTCCCTTGGGATATCATGTATTTCGTACTATATCATTACCATTCCCGCTTCCTTGTGCCCTGCGCCGCAACTGAAAATAGCGTATGCTTTTTGGGTTGTGTAGTCAACCATCAACCATTTCCGTAGGGTTAATCGGTGATCCCATAGAAGGGAACCTCCAGTCCCGCATAAAAGACGGCGTGGTCAACGTATCCGCTGTTCACCAGTATGTACCTAGACATTTGGCGGGGACGAATCACTTTCGCTTGCTTCCAAGTCTGCATGAATTTCTTTGACATGCTCAGTAATTTCCGAACGTGAAGTATTCGAATCATAGAGTACCTAGATAAAGGTAACTGTCACAAACGACGTTACCCTTCTCACGGTGACTTATTTTGTTCATTTCGCGCCCGAGCCAGATACAAATTCAACAGCAGACCTTTGACCAGAAGCATTCTTCTCATCTAATTTCTGACGAGCATCTTGCTGCGCTCTGAGAAGTTCTTCCTTAAAGCCCCACTGGGGTAGACTGGAAGCATCCCACAGTTCCGTTGAAAGTGCTGTGTTATATTGCGATTGTTCATTGATACCAGCATGCTCCATCATTTTCTTTAGCAGGCTGGGGTTCTTGAGAGAAGAAGAGCTGGCTAACTTCGAATTGAAGTGGACGCCTTGTTTCTTGAGGGAGAGAAAGTGCTCGAATTTGGCATTGGCTGCGGGATTCGGAGACCCGGGGGAGAAGGTGGGATATCCATATTGGGCACGGGAGGAAGAGTGAGGTCTTGGATCAGAGCTCGGGATGTTGAATATGGTGAAGAGCGGCCACCGGAGGGCTGGTCACCTGGTGATTGCGCGCTGTCGAGGGGTGGTAGTGGTGCTGGGCCTGATGCAGGACCGAGAATGGGGCCGCTTGGAGGTTTGCTTTCGGGGAGAGGTTGCTGTTTCTGCTCTTGCGCATTTAATTCAGATAGTTGGGCTATTTTAAACGTGGGTCAGTATGGTAATGCCATTTTGAAGCTCTTGGCCTGGAATATAGGAATACCTTTGTCTGCTTGGTCGATCTGCGCCGAGGCGATGGGTGGCTCATTCGTAGACTGCTGCGTATAAAGTTAGCAATATCTCAATTATGCGACTTGGAGATTCAAACCTTCGATTGGAGGGGTGTTTGTGTATCTTCTTCCTCACTACTGCTGTCATATGCACCGAGATCGAGCATGATGCTTGTTCAGAGCCAAATCTGTCCCTAGGGCTGTTTGTGACCGATATGTAGAGTCGTGATCAATGCGCCGAACAAATCCCCAACGTAATAAAGGAAATTGCCACGACAAGTGTGTACAGCGGACGTTGAGGTGAATATGTTCGAAGCTCGGGCTGCCCGCTAAGCATGGCCGCGGCGTTGAAGGGAGCTGGAAATATTACGTAATCCAGAAAGGCAGCTACAGCACCGCGTCAGACAGCGGACCTGACCTCGTTGCTTCCATTCCATCAACGAATTGACCCACGACCTCCAACCGCCCTCTTCTCCCCTTCAATCTTCTCACGCCCAAACCACTCCAATACACATTCGCTCCCAAGTTACCGGGATTCCCACCATGGCATCGCTCTTGGATCACTCAGCTGGCGGCCAGACCGTTGGATACTCCTTCTCTCAGTCCGCAGCTGCTCCTGTCAAGCAACATGGATTCTACCCGTACGGAATCAAGCCTTCGAGCTACACATGATGGAATATGAGCTAATGGAACTACTACAGATACACCGATAACGGCGGCTCGACCCTGGGCATCACAGGATCCGATTTCGCCATTCTCGCTGGTGACACTCGCTCGACATCCGGCTACAATATCAACTCCCGCATGGTTCCGAAAGTGTTCAAGATCGGTGGCGACGAAGAGACCGGCGAGGGAGCTCACATCATTTTGTCCGTTGTCGGCTTCGCCGCGGACGGCAACGCTCTCAAAGAACGATTGGATTCAGTCGTGAAGATGTACAAGTACCAACACGGAAAGTCCATGTCTGTTTCAGCCTGCGCACAGCGTCTGTCAACGATTCTATACGGAAAGCGTTTCTTCCCCTACTATGTGACCGCCATCCTGGCTGGTCTGGATGAGGAAGGCAAGGGAGCTCTGTACAGCTACGACCCCGTGGGCTCTTACGAGAGGGAACAGTGCCGTGCTGCTGGTGCGGCGGCGAGCTTGATCATGCCGTTCCTTGACAACCAAGTGAACTTCAAGAACCAATACATTCCTGGTAGTGGGGAGGGACATGCCCTCCAGGCTAAGAAGGCCGAGCCTCTGCCCCGAGACCATGTCCAGGAACTCGTCCGAGATGCATTCACAAGTGCCGTCGAGCGCCATATCGAGGTTGGTGATCACTTGCAAATGTTGATTGCGACCAGGGATGGCATTGAGGAAGTTTTCCACCCGCTGAAGAAGGATTAGAGTGGGTGTTATTGTTTTTACACTAGCCTTCTAATACGAGAAATTTACAACCCTTTGGAATGACCAGTTTAAGATAAGACATGTAAAATGAAATTCTTTTCTGTACCTTTTTGTACTGATTGATATCTTGATGTCGTCATACCTTCTCAGGTTCGTAGTAGCTGTGAATATGTATAAAAGAGAAAGAAAGAAAAAGAAACCCCAATCGGGATGCTCCTGAACGCCGATACCATGCCAGGATTTTGTTTTAAAGTCATTGAAATCAGAAACGTTCCTTCATACGAGAAGCAACTGTCCGAAGGTTGCCATAGACCTTGCCCTATTTGAAAGGTTAGAAAAATGATTCTTTGCCTCTAGCTCTAGCTCCTGCTCTTGCAAGAGTCGAGAAATCCTAGGAAAATGACTTACCGGAGGGCTACCCAGAATCAGGCTAACAATAGCCTCCCGCGCAATGTGAATGTTCTTGAAACCACCAAGAATGTGAATCTTCGCATCAGCAAGCACGACACGAGTTCGGCTAGCGTTCTCGATAGCAAACTTAGTCTTGCCGTCCTTTCCAGCAATACGACCAATCGCACGACCCAGATGCTCCCCGTTAAGCGTCTTCACATCCTTAATCTCAAAAGTCTCCATGTAGAGATCATCCAAACGAAGCAGAGCGATAGCGTCGTCGATATCGAATCCATAAGTGAAGGCGCGGATGAAGTCAGCGCCCTTTTGCAGGGCTCCCGTGTCGGTGGTGAATTTGGAAGTTCGCAGCTCGACAGACCGGCTCTTGATGTTCATGCGCACTTGGAGCTTCAGGTGCTCGACGATAGGAGGGCAGATCTTGGTCCAGTTGGCCTTGAGAGGAGTCATGCGGTGAGGAGGCACGGGGACCTTGCGGTTCTCGATGCGGTATGCGGTGTTGGTATCCTTCGCGGGAGTGAAGACAGGGCGTCCCTCTTCGTCAATGCGCATTTCATTGTCGGCGGTTGAGTCGGCCACGGCGTTGGTAGAGTCCACCTCGGGTGTTGCTTGGGCGTCAATCAAGACTTCATCGTCCTCCATGGCTGTGGGTGGTGTTAGCGCGATGTGATCTTAAACCAAGACCCGAGACAATTATTTCTCACGTACCGACAGCAGGGGCAGAAGGAAGCTCTTGAGCTTCCGCCGGTTGGCGAAGAGCAGTTGGGGCAGGCATAATGTCGTTTATGTGGTTGGTGCTGGAGGTTAAAAAAATGAGAGAGGGTCTGTTATCGTAGAATTTATCAGTGGTCGCCCCTCCGAAAAGAAAAGTGTGGGCTGCCCCCGAGAGATTTTTTGGTGCAAACAGAACAAACAGAGCAAACACCCGATGAAATCATGCTCCAGTTCCAGCCTGCTTGCAATCCACTTTCCAGTCAGAGCTGCCGCCGTCCCAGTTCCAACCTTCCCCCCCCAATTATTCCCCAGGATGTGATGGGAAAGATGTCCGCCAATATCGGACGTCGGCTGTACTCCCAGCTATGGGAGTCAGCAACTCCCTTCTTGGGTCGCATACGCCCACGCATCGCGACAGAAGCATCATCGAGAAAGACCTTCGATTCTTTTTTCGCCGGTCGACGGCTATCAACACCGGCTGCGAAACCCACCTACCTAACAAGACGATTTGCTTCCGGAGGCTTTTTTGTTCTCGGTATCTCTCCTACATCTGCTGCTGCCGAGTCAAGCGCAGCCTGCATCCTTCCATCGAAGAAATTAGCGGCGCAATATGTTTGGAGGCGGACTGTGCACAACACGCCCAAGCCCAACGACCAACCTCGCGGAAAAGACCCAAAAGACCCAACCGATGATCCCCATAATCACATTGATGACCATAAACAAACGACTATCAAAAATCCCGATAATATTCCCTCCCAACCCTCTTCTTCATCGCCTCAACCCCCACCTCACTTCGCGCCCTCAAATCGCCACTTAATGGACCGGCTTCCGCATATGCCGCATCTTCATCGCCCGACTAAGGAAGAGCTTTTGGCTGCAGCTACAGGTTTCTGGTCTCGGTTAAAAGTGCGGTTCAAGTGGTTTTCTATCAGAAGCGTACGACCGTTCAGTTTAGACGAGATTGCGGCGCTCTTTTCATGGGTTCTCCTGGGCCATATTGTATGGGTCGTGGTGGGAACAACCACATTTTTCTCTCTTCTCATTCTTGCTATCAACACAGTGTTTGCACAAGGTATGTTCATGGTCTCGAGAATCATCCCTCTCACTACGCAATTTACTAACTGAAGCGTGATGAATAGAAACGCTGGCCGGTTGGGTAGGTAACTATCTCACCAAATCATCCGGGGCCAAGGTAGTTTTTGAATCCGCTATCGTGCCAAAATGGCGCGGTGGCGTCATCACCTTCAAGAACGTTTTCGTGTCAAGACGACCCGGTCAGGGCACGGGGCATGTTAGCAAGGGCTCTCCGCAGACTGCTGCCGCTGCAGCTGAGGCTGCAGCTCGAGGTGAACCATTGCCTGAAGAATTAACTGTGACAGAGGATGAGGATACAAACTACACACAGTTCGACCTCTCCATTGAGACTGTCAATGTCACCCTATCATTTACAAAATGGCTGAATGGGAAGGGTCCACTCCGTGATGTGGAAGTGAAGGGAATTCGCGGAGTTGTCGACCGTCGACAGGTCTACTGGCCGGAAGAGGACCTCGATCCCAAATCCTATCGGCATGACCATAACCCCGGTGACTTCGAGATTGACTCGTTCAAGATGCACGATGTACTAGTCTCAGTCTACCAACCTGATAACTTCCGCCCATTTTCCGTTAGCATCTTCTCTTGCGATCTCCCACAGTTGCGCAAGCAGTGGCTATTCTACGACTTTATGTCGGCCAACATGATGTCCGGGTCATTTGACAACTCTCTCTTCACCATTCACCCGCGCCAAACTCATGGCTTCACAGGAGCCCGGTTAGACGATGGCAACGAGGAAGACGGAAAGGCCAGCCCATGGAAGAAACATAGTCGAATCCGCGTGGACGCGCTGAATATTGACCATCTGAACCGTGGCGTGCAAGGCCCCTTTTCATGGATCCACGAAGGCACCGTGGACATTGTGGCCGATATCATGTTCCCAGCCGATAACGACGAGAGCCTGGCGAAAGTTATGACCGACTTTTACGATCGCCTCGAAGCAACCGTCACCTCCAACCAATTTTCCGAACCGGTGTCACAGCGCCTACACACTGATCCTGAGACCATGTCTGATGCTAATAAACGATTATTGGCCATGGACCTGCGTGTTCATCTTAACAATGTCCGGGCTGTGGTTCCTATTTTCACCCGTGACCTTTCCTACATCAACAATGCGCTCATCCGACCCATCGTCGCATACATCAATTCAAAACGCACATTTATTCCCATCAATTGTCGGTTGGTCAAGCGCGTGGGTGACTTTGATGGAAGCTGGACTATTTTTGATAGCGCCTTGATGGATGATCTTTCTGCTGCGGTAAGTTACCTTCGTATTCGATTGATCTATTATTACTTCCATTGTGAGAGTTGTGCTAATATATTCACCAGACCTACGACGCATTCGCCCGTGACGTGGTTGATGACCAAGCACGCAAAAGACGATTCAAGAAGGTTGGCTTCTGGTCCCTTCAGCTGGCTGCTCAAGCCCTCTTCATTGGAATGGCGGGCAATATCGCATGATCTTTTGTACATTTTCCAGTTGCCTTTTTACCCAAGGGCCATGTCCATGTCCATTCCATGTTCCTGGCGTTTTGGAGGTTCTGTATCATAGCCTACTTTTTGCATTTTGGCGGAGTCGGCGAGCACACTTGAATTTTTGATTCCATTTCTCGTTTTCATCTCTCCTCAATTTCTATCGAGATGTATTATAAAAGTCCTCACTTATATGACGTGCAGGATAACTTGAACTATTTGAATTCATATTCATGGGGTCCTGCCAGGGATCTCGTGGTGATGCTCGGACCTTTTTCTATTGTTACTAGTAGGTGCCTCGTGGGTCCTTCTTTGTGTTAGGACCGTGCAGATATATCTCTTTGTAAACTTTCTTAGTTTAGCTCGTGGAGACTCGGAGCTTGAAAGTACCAGTAGTTCGTCATGGGTGGTAGTATACACTACACCACCCCTACTAGTTAGTATATCCATCCCCCTAGTATACCAGTGCTGCAATCACACTTCTATCAGCCACCAAATAGAATCAAATCAAAGCATCACACCAATCAATCCGTATTCAAGACCTTAACCTAAGTGGATCAAACCAAGCCCTCATTTCCTCGTTTCCGGTTTTACCTGTCACTAGGGATCGTCACCCGTGGCTCCACCGACGAACTCGAGACTAAATGAGAGAATCACAGGAACCTCACAAACTCCCCCCCCCCCTTTTTTTGACCTTCTGCATCTCTCCTCCCCCGCCATCGCTGGGAAGAACAAAGCCCGTTCTCCTCGGCTGAAACAACCCCCCTTTCTCTTGAACCTTCAGCTTCCGAGGACCCGCCTAGCCCACCACCCACTTCGCGCCCCCTGCCCCCCCCAGAGAGAGACCTCCCCCCCGGAGAAAGAGACCCCCCTCTGATGCTGATCCCTGAATCATGTCGCAGCAGCGAGGCAGTGAGGAAGATTTCTCAAGACAGTCCAGAAACCAGCCTCCCAAACAGCCACCACCTCTGAATAGCGGTATTATCCCTCGTGATTACTTGGGATCGCGGTCGGAGGCGGCTGCGCGCCCCGGACCTCCTGGCTCTCGCCATATCTCACCGTCGCCGCTGCATACCAGCTCTCTTCCACAATCACAATCACAATCACAATCTTACATTCGCAACGAGTCGCCTATATCCCAGAGCCCACTCTCTCCTCGATCTAGCGCCAACCCGTCTCCCTTCTCCAACCGCTCGCCCATCTCTCGTATAGCCAATGCGCCGTTCCCCGTACCCCCATCAAACCCTCCCCATACCTCCTCCCCATCGCCGGACATCATGACAAGCACGGGTCCGTCAGATATTGCCGCCAGGTCCGGTGACGGTAATATTGCGAAACCGCCTGGCGTGACCGAGCCCGATCGTTCCGCATCGTCCTCTGTGAGCTCCATCCTGTCGGCGTCTGGGGAACGCCCAACTCCTCACCGCGTCATGCCGCGCACCTCCTCGATCGACTCCGCCATCTCCTCCTTGTCCTCCGCGTCTCAAAAGTCCACGTTTGACGCAAATTCCCTGAGTCCCACTGACATCGGAAATCTTATTAATGCTGCTGGCTCCGCGGAAGCGGTTATTGTGCACCTCCTCAGAGAAAAGCACCAAGCGGCCTCCCAGAACTCGCAATTGTGGAAGTTGGTCGACAAACAACGGACGTTGATCTTGGGCCTGAATAAGGACCTGGAGCGCGCATTCAAGGAGAAGGAAAGATACAAAAAGAAGTTTCAGGAGCTCCAGGAGTCCTCTACCCCGCCAGTTCCATCATCCGCCGAGACCTCGGTTCCACGAACTATCTTGCCCAATAATGAGGATTCACCTGCCGGTCAGGTTGAATCTGCACTGAAGGGTTCGACAGGAAGTCAATCTACTATTGTCCCACGCTCTGGTGATTCAGGATTTGCCGCTTCAAGAGAAGCATCTTCCCCCATCACCAGTGAGGCGCAAAGAGTTCCCCAGCCAAGTCGCAAACCACCCCCAGCGCCTTTGAATCTTCCTCTTCGATCAGGCGATGCTCGCGCAGAGCTTGCAGGATCCGATTCAGATTCAGATTACGGTGAGCCCGGAGAAGCTGAAAGGCTAAGCGACGAGCGCGGAAGGAGGAAGACCCGCGAGGAGGACGATCGGGATCGAGAGGTCGCTTTGGATAAGGATCTGGAAATTGAGATAGCAGCAGCAGGAGGAGCTGCATACGGAGCTGCAGGCTCGAGCAGTTCAAAAGACACTGCTAAATCTGCTAGCTCGGCAACTGCTCCTCGCGACTTCGCAACAAGATCGCCGCCAACTGTTGGCGCTCCTCCACCCATGGGGTCAATTCTGAACTCCCGAATCAACCATCCAAATGGACGCTCGGGAGCCTCCATGCCCAAAAGCCCTGGTCTTCCGTTGAGCCCTCGACCAGAAGACCGACCTATCGGTTCACCTCTACCCCGAATGCCTAGAGATATGGCCAGTCCCATGACAGCCGGGTTCAACCATTCTGGTCTTCCTCTTTCCCCTCGAGGAGTCAATCACCCTGCACCCTTCCAACCGGGAGATATTGCACCACAGACTGGAAGGCCTGGAGGTCCGATCCCAATGATCGACCCCACAGTCAAAATCGATAGTCCCCGATCTCTTCATTTCCCCGAAAGCACCATATACCAGGGACTGGTGTCTGACGAATATCCTGGCCTCCTCTTGCCACCCAATGCGCTTCCCGTGATTCAAGTCCGAGTGTCATCCTCACGACTTCGACCTTCCCGAATGAGCTATATGGCCTCCAAACCCCTCGATGAAGAGCCAGTTTTCACCCTCAGCGTAATATCCCGGTCTGAGATGTCGGAACTATGGCGAGTCGAAAAGGTGATTGCATCTCTGCCGCAGCTCGATCAGCAAGTCCGTCAACTAGCAACTTTCTCCGGAAAGCTACCTGAGCGCTCGATCTTCAGCGGCCATTCTCCCGCGAAGATCGATGCGCGACGAGCTGCGTTGAATTTATATTTTGAGAGCCTTTTGGATACGCCCATGGACGAGAAGGCGGCATTGGTTATTTGCAAATTCTTGACAAGTGATGCCATTGAGCCTCGTGACGATGAGACCAATTTACTCAAGGGCCAAGGGCAATCGACGCCTCCGCCTGACATGTCTCGAGGTCCGGATGGCAAACCCCGAAAGGAGGGCTATTTGACCAAACGTGGCAAGAATTTTGGCGGGTGGAAAGCACGCTATTTCACTCTCCATGGACCAGAACTGAAATACTTTGAATCCCCGGGTGGTCCACACATGGGTACTATCAAGCTTCAGCATGCACAGATTGGAAAACAGTCACAACACTCCAGCAGTCAGAACCAGTCTCCGCCAGGCAGTGAAGAAGACGCAGAAAACCAATACCGCCACGCATTCTTGATCCTCGAGCCGAAGAAGAAGGATTCCTCTGCGCTCGTTCGTCATGTTCTTTGTGCTGAAAGTGATGACGATCGTGATAGATGGGTCGATGCGTTGATGGAGTATGTGGAAAATCCTTCTTCAGACAATGACAGTCGTGGAAATGGTCATTCAAAGCATCAGTCTCAGACTCAAGGGAAGCAACAGCCCGGCCAGGGCCAGTCCAAGGGCAACCCCAATAATGAGAACAAGCGCCCCACCGGCAGAGGCGTTGAAAGTCCAGAGCAAGAACCCCGCGGCCCCGTTCAGGGATTCAGCTTCGATGATGCCGTAGCGGCTGACCCACCTATCCTTGGCTCCTCTCTCGAGCAAGCCCCTCTTTCACCTCGCATTCCAGCCGCCCTATCCACAGACTTCCGCGACCTGAACCAAGTCATTGATGCACCGCCTCAATCTCCGAAAATAATCTCTGGTCCCACAAACGGTTCCATCATCCAGGACGTCGGAGCATGGGGAAACAAACCAAAAACATCAACTAAGGAAAAGAAACGCAGTATCTGGGGTTTCCGCACGAGGTCCTCTTTCGACCTAGCTGCGCAGGTTAATAGCGATGGCACGGCGGCAAGCATCGCCCAAGCTGAGAACAAGGAACCTGTTCGGCCTGTCTTTGGTATTCCGTTGGCCGAAGCTGTGGCAGAGTGTCCACCCCACGGCGTGGTGGATGCTCAGTTGCCCGCGGTAGTCTATCGCTGCATTGAATATTTGACCGCCAAGGACGCAGCGCTAGAGGAAGGCATTTTCCGACTCAGCGGGTCAAATGTTGTTATCAAGGGCTTGAAGGAACGATTTAATAATGAGGGCGATGTCGACTTTTTGGCTGGGGATCAGTATTATGATGTTCATGCTGTTGCTTCTTTGTTCAAGCAATATCTACGCGAACTTCCTACGACTGTTCTTACTCGTGAACTGCACCTGGATTTCCTCCGTGTTCTTGAACTTGATGATAAGCCGAAGAAGATCTACGCATTCAACGCATTGATCCACCGACTACCTCGCCCGAACCTGTGCCTGCTCCGAGCACTGTCGCTATTCCTGATTGAAATTGTCAATAATTCCGACGTGAATAAGATGACTGTTCGGAATGTTGGAATCGTCTTCGCTCCCACGCTCAATATCCCTGCTCCCGTTTTCTCGATGTTCCTCACCGATTTCGAAGCTATTTTCGGTGATGCCGGTGCTACTCCGATCCCGTCTGTGGAGTTGACTGTTGACAATAGTCTGTCTGCGGATGATGTTCGATCTCCGCGTCATCAGATGTTCTCTGATATTCCTACCCCTTCATACAACCAGACCTCGTTTAGAGGCCCGGGAGGTGCGGGCGATGCACAGCAGGGCAGTGGCGGTTATGCTGACCCGTCCCGAGCCCCTCATCCCAATGACACGGGCTTCATATCTATGCAGCCAAGCTATGATCAGCATCAGCAAACTGCCAGATCTGGGCCTGGACCGGATATGTACAACCAACATGCAGCTGGGGCTGGGGCTGGAGCTGGGGCCGATGCTCCATTTTCTTCATTGAATGGAATGTTATCTACCGATGATACCCGTTCAGCCAAGACGAAGAGACGTGAAAGCTCGATGCTATTTATGGAAAACTGTATGTCAACTTGATGACTTTGATAGCTTTTTCTTTCCCCCTTGGGAATTCTTTTACTGACCATTCTCGATACAGACGCACCTGCACCTGATGATTACTCAGTTCAACAGGGCAGATAAATGACACATGCATGCAACACTACATAATTGCCTCGCCACCTTTTTGAACGCACTAGTTCCTTTCCTTCGGGCTGTGGTACCTCTCCATATTCCGAGCTATACTCCCCATTGATTTATTCACGATTTGCACGCGGAATGAGATAATTTCTTTTTTGTACCCGATTGGCATGCCATGGCAACAAGTCGTGAGGGATTTTTTTTTTTAATGATAATGGTAATTAGGATGAGGTTGCAATATGGCTATGTTGACGTTGGAAATCTCTATTTGATTTATCGTTATACCCCCTTTTTCTTTTCTTTTCTTCACTCCCTCTTTTTTTTCTACTGATTTTCTTTTTTGATGAACTTTTCTTTCTTTCTTCGATTCGAGTCTACAAGTCTTTTTTTTTTATTTTGGAACCATTTTGAAATCTATACCGGTCTTCCAGTCTTCCAGTCCTCACATTATCGTTTCATGTAGCTACGGCGAAAGAGCTTGACTAAATTACTTTCATTGCATGATGTTTGGATCTTTGAACTTGGCCTGGCCGTATTGGATATACTTGATATTTCTGTTCATTTCATGATATGTCACCACAAATGCTTTGGTAATTTTACAGCAGCAGGCAGAACAACTTAGCGAAAGCGAGACGAACATCCTCAGAACCGTTTCGACTGATCACCCCTCCAAAAACCCATAAGCTCCCCACTCTCCCTAACCCAATCCGAAGCATTATCAACCAAAGCCTTAGCCATCCCTTATTCTTAGACCTCCCATCCGAAAACCCACGACTATGACCCATGGCACTGGCGCTAGGCTGTTGCGCCGAGCCCGCACTCGCCATACTCGGCAACACATTCTCACCAGCCGAAAGACTAACAAAAAGCGAAAACGGAACCAACCAAACGCAAAGTCCAAAATAACTCGCAACCTCCGCGAAAGATGGCATATTTTCGTAATTGACGCTATACGGTTGGCGCCAATTGGAGTCCGCGGCTCGAGACGGCGACGGCGGTTTCGAGAAATGCCGGAACCAGAGCCAGTGGTTTATTAGGACCAGGATGCATGATAGGATGAAGAGGGGGTCGGATAGTTTCACGATTGGGAAGCGCCGGAGATTGCTGGCGTAGACTAGGTGGGAGGCTATTCCGAGGGCTGAGAGGAAGATGGGAAATCGGTCGATGAGGACTAGGAGGATTTGAATGGTGATTATGCCGTAGATTAGGCGGGTGAGAAGTTTGCGCGCGAGGACTGTGTGTTCTTCGACTAGCTCGGAGAGATAGTAGAGGCCCGATGCTGGGGTGGTGTTAGTTAATGGTATCTATTTATTTGCGGCCCATGTATACCCGTATGTATACTCGAAGCTGTCGGAGGAATGTGAACTGAACTGAGCTGAACTGAACTTACCGATGGCGAGGGTGAGGAACGAAAATCCCACAATTATCCCGAGGTACCCTACCAGTGGTAGAATCCACATGGTGAAGAAATGTCGCTTGGAACGGAGTGGTGTGAAGAAGATGAGGAAATTGGGGGGGGGTTGCAGATGAAGAGAGAAGGACACTTTATCGATAATGACGCTTTCGGCGGGAATGCACAATTTCTGCCTGAGGCCACCGCCCAATCCCCCCCACTCTTTTCGATTCCGCAAAAAAAAGTCTCGGGAATATGAATTTCGAGATCTCCCTCCCAAAACTCCATTACACATCTCAATCAAAACAAAGAGAGATACAGCCAAGATGTCGCGCCCCGAAGATATTCTGTAAGATCTACTCGCATTTTTTTTTTCTTATTTTCTCCCAAAGTATCAAAACTAACCAATCAATCCTCCACACCAGCCCGCCAGACCTCTTCTACAACGACAATGAATCACGCAAATATACAACCTCTTCCCGAATCCGGAACATCCAAGCAGACATGACGTACCGAGCCCTCGAACTCCTGGACCTAAAAAGCCCCTCCTTCATTCTCGACGTAGGCTGCGGAAGCGGTCTATCCGGCGAAATCCTCTCACAAGAAGAGCCGCAAAACGGCGGACCGCACACATGGGTCGGTATGGACGTTTCACCCTCTATGCTAGACGTAGCACTGCAGCGCGAAGTCGACGGCGATCTATTCCTCGCGGATATCGGTCAAGGAGTTCCCTTTCGACCTGGTTCATTTGATGCGGCGATCTCAATCTCTGCAATTCAGTGGCTTTGTAACGCCGAGACGAGTGATGTCAGTCCCGAAGGACGATTGAAGAGATTCTTTGAGGGTCTTTACGCGAGTCTTCGTCGTGGGGGGCGTGCTGTCTGCCAATTCTATCCTAAGAATGATATTCAGCGGGGTATGATTAGTGGTGCGGCGGTTAAGGCTGGGTTTGGAGCTGGTATGCTTGAAGATGATCCGGGAACTAAGAATGCTAAGCTTTACCTGGTTCTTACGGTTGGTGGGGGTGGTCTTAGTGGTGATATTACGGGCGTTGTTAATGGGATGGATGGTGTTAATGTTTTGGATGCGAGGAGGAAGGCGGCTGAGGTTAATAATGCTCGTCAGCCGCGGAAGGGTGATCGGGCTTGGATTATGAAGAAGAAGGATCAGCAGGAGAAGAAGGGGAAGGTTGTTAAGCAGAATTCGAAGTATACGGGTCGGAAGAGACGGATTGTTTTTTGATTGCGAGGAGTGGGACTACCCCCGGCTCAAACAATCATGCCCTGTCACTTTCGATACCCTTTTCACCCCTTTCACTACACACGATACCCCTTCTACAAAAATTCAAATTCAAATTCAAGATTGGGCCCGGCGGTGGCTCTGCTTGGAATCTACAATGTCATGCCAATGCCAATATAAACTTGAACAATATATGATTTGATTTATGTGGACCTGCCCTTCCTGGGCAGAGCACCTCAATTACATTTACAAGATTACAAAGAGTTGTTCATGAATGCAAAAAAGTTGTCTATTGCTGTAACTTGCCAAGGGACATCGCGAGTCAAATAGAGAAAGAGGGAGATAATACATAATTGAGGATGGGATCGCACCGGTCTATTCCATTCAGCTCCTGCAGGATCAACCGCAGGGCGCAAGCAGATCAACCGGAGCAACACCCTCAGTCGTAGCGGTAGTGGGTAGGATTGTGGTGGTGGGAGGTGACGATGTCGAAATTTACAGAGAAGCCTCCATCTTGTCGAGGACAGCGCGGGTGAACTCGTGAGTGGTAGCCTGACCACCCATGTCGCGGGTACGTGTCTGTCTGTAGAAATTGTTAGAATTGTTCTCAAAGGAAAGAAAGAAAAAAAGAATCCTGCAATGCAGTGCAAAACTTACCCCTCTCCGATAACATCGTAGACCGCCTTGGAGATGCGGTTGGCGTGGTCATCCAGACCAAGGTGGCGGAGCAGCATGGATCCAGAGAGGATCATGGCGCTGGGGTTAGCCTGGTCCTTGCCCTTGATATCCAGACCGACGTGACGGCAACCAGGCTCGAAGACAGCAACGTCACGACCCATGTTGCAGCCGGGAACAACACCGGGACCACCGACAAGGGCGGCACCAACGTTGGACAGAATGCCACCGTAAAGGTTAGGCATGACCAGCACGTCGAATTGCTGGGGGCGCGAGACAGCCTGCATGGAGGCGTTGTCGACAATCATATCATTCACCTCCAGGGTGGGATAGTTCTCCGCGACCTTGTGGAAGGTGCTGCGGAAGAGACCGTCGGCCAGCTTCATGATGTTGGCCTTGTGAATGCAAGTAACCTTCTTGCGGTTGTTGGCGAGGGCGAAGCTGAAGGCGAACTTGGCAATGCGCTCGGACTTGGCGCGAGTGATGATCTTCAGGGACTCGACGACGCCCTGGACGGACTGGTGCTCCAGACCGGAGTACTCACCCTCGGTGTTCTCACGGATGATGCACATGTCGACATCCTTGTGGCGGGTGTTGTAGCCGGGGATGTTCTTGATCAGAGAGATCGAGGCGTAGATGTCGAGCTCCTGGCGGAGGGCGACGTTGAAAGACTGGTGGCCCGAGCGCTCGACGGGGGTGTGAAGGATACCCTTCAGACCGAGCTTGTTGCGCTTGAGGGAGGCCAGGGACTCCTTGAACAGCTCCTCGGAGTGCTTGTTACCGGTGTCGACACCGGAGACATCGACCTGCTCCCACTCGATGGGGACGTTGTCGGCCTTGAAGATGGTCTTGACCGATTCGGCGACTTCGGCACCAATTCCGTCACCTGAAAAACAGCAAATATCAGCAACCGTGCAGGCAGTTGTGCCCCGACAATGGCAATCATTGAGTCGGTAATTATTGAGTCGATTCAGGAGAAGGAGAAGGAGAGGCGTTGATCGAACATACCGGGAATGAGGGTCACGGTGTACTTGCCACCATACTTAGTGGGCTTGAAGATATCGGACTGGACGCTGGCGAAGGCTGGGTCGCAAAATATTAGCCACACAAAGAACGAATTCGAATTCAATACGCGAAAGTGTTTTCGGGAGTCAATGGCATAACATACATCTCGCAGGAATGGAGCGACCGGCGGTAGTGGCCACGGAGGCGCTGCGAAGCAGGGTCTGAAGAGGTCAGTTACAATCGCGACGCGACAGGGGGGGAAGGAACGAAGCGGTCGCAGGGAAGGAGGGATCATTCAACATACCCGGGCGGGCTGGGCCGTTCTGGAGAACATTTTCGAGTTCTTTGACAGTGGTCCGTAAGTCCTTGAAGTGGGTGGTTTGGAGGGGAGTTAGGCAGGGGAGGAGAAATGGGGCGGCAGGAAAAACCGGATAGAAAGGGCCCGGAGGGCTCGGCATCGCGCGACTCTGGTTAGCGCCGGCCCGATCTTATCTTAGCATAGCTAGCATAGCATACTTTACTCCGTAGGAGTATAGTATGTATAGTAGTATACTATAGTATAGAGTATATTTACAGAGTATGTATATCTACAGGGTATACTAACTAGAATTTAATTATAGCTGATAATAGCTGATACCGGGGACAATCAAGGTATACCCTATTGACCCCCATTCCTGGCAATTCCAGTCACTCTCCCCTTTTCGGCCCGTCCTTATTGAGTGCCTCTTCCGGTCACCACCTGCACTTGCCTCCACAACACGTGGACTTCCCCTCAAAGACTTCCCTCCTCAATTAACTCCCCTCCAGGACTTTTGAAACGCCATCTCCAATGCCTTCACTGTCAACATGGTGTATTCACATTAATTTTCCAATCACAGATGATTTCTCAATACACAAACTGTTAGCCTGAGCAGGTTGTCAAAGCCATCTCAGGCTAAACACTCTTTCACTACAACCCTAACCGCCAAATCTCAATTGCTGGCTCATCATCCCAATTCAGTCCTCAATAGTTCCTTTGAACTACAGTTCATCATGAAGCCTAAAGCTTCGCTCTACCATCCATCGAGGACAATATAAATACCACCGACCATCCAGCTCATCTACTTCCTCTTTTTCTTCTTCATCGCATCCATCCACAGCAAAGATCACATCTTCGCCCGGCTTTCGATCTATCCATTCTTTCTACTTCGACTTATTCAATTCAATTCTTTCCACCACCTCCATCTCAAGATGAAGTTCTACTCCGTTGCTCTTGCCATTATGGTCGCCTGTTCGACCCAAGCCGTCGCTGCCCGCGGTCTTCAGAAGTGGTGCGGTCACCCTGGTCAGGGTTGCTACATGATGAAGCGCACCGCCGATGTTACTGGCGACGTTAAGCGTTCTGCCGATGCCCTTGCCGAAGCTATGGCTGAGGCTCACCCCGCTGCTCTTCAGAAGTGGTGCGGTCACCCCGGTCAGGGCTGCTATAAGGTTAAGCGTGCTGCTCTCGCTGTTGATGAGGTTAAGCGCTCTGCTGAGGCTCTTGCCGATGCTATGGCTGATCTTGATGATGAGAAGTAGATGGTGTGTCCCCTTTCCATTCAATTGAAATTGATTTGACTCGAATACTAACTGGGCTTTTTGCAGTCAATCCATTTCCAAGTTTCCGCCGGTGCTGGCGATATCATTCAGTCGGTGATAGTCGGGACTTTTCCATGTCCACATTGCCCACCAGGGCTAGGCTGGGCTAGTTCGACAGCCCGTTTTTCGATACGCGACTTCACTCGGAGGAACTTGAAGAGAGGTTAGGCGAATACGTGATCTGGCCATGGCACACGCTCATTTATCTTTTCTCTTGGCTGTGGCGGCCACTATTCTATTGTTTCACTCTGTCTCTGCCCATGTGTGCAGTGCATTTGTTATGATTTTGACTACATGTCGATCTACGTATCTATGAAAAATTACAAAATTCATGATCCATGGCTGGTCAATTTGATGCGATTTCTCTCTCAGTAATGGAAAATTAGTCTACAGAAGCGCCCGACATCGGTTTCCATGCCGCGAACATAGAGACGCTCTTTCAAACCCTAATCACCATGATCGGAAACACCCATATATGGTTAGTTCCATACATGGGTCATGTTTCGGTATGGAACGGTGAAATTCATACGGATACAAATTGTTATGCTATGTATGTATTATCACTGATCAAAAAATAACAACCCCTGGTGTGTCGTCGTCCCAACATTCATCCCCCAAACTCCAGCAACCATTCGCCCCCTAAATTATTTCAAGATGGCGCGAAACCTGAACCCTGGGCAGCGCAAGATGATTGTACACATGATAAACAGCAAGAAAAGACTGACTACTTCTCAAATGGCCAAGCTGGCAAAGTGTAATTAGTGTTTTACAGTCATTCTCGAAATCGGCTTGACCACTAACTACACATATAATAACTGTTTTCTGGCTCCATCGCCAAGGGCTTTGCGCAGATCCATCATTGACCGGGCCGCATTGAATTAAGGAACACAGTAAAATGCACCTTCTATGGTACATGTACCGTATTTCGCAATCTACAATTATACAATGTGTTAAAGAATTTAATGAAATTCTTTGGAAATCTATGAAGCCTCCTAGAACCGAGTTTCTGGATGATCTGTCGGAACTAGCTGTGGGCCATGTAGGTGACATTTACGAATGAGATAGCAAAGAGTCTTAATTGCAAACAGCTCTGTTACCACACTGTTTTGTATGGCAACTCAGACAAACTATAAACCGAACGATATAATCACGTTATTAAGTACAATCATGTGATAACTAAAACAAAGCTCTACACATTCTGACATGATCTGTAGTTACGTAATGATCCCTGTGAGGTTGCTCAGATGCTCACAGAGATCAACGTACGGCGTAGCATACGAAGCAAAGGAAACAGTAGCTGTTCGACGAAAGTAATAGCTTGAGGAGAAGGAGGAAGGTGAGATAGAACTAAGTACATGTAGGCGTGGATGCCTAAGTGGATGTCATCTACGTCAGGCATCCGCGAATGGTAACAACCCCAGTTCGTTACAGTCCCCTGACTCAGCAGCCCTGCGGCAAAATTTGAAAGCCTTAGCTACTTGCCGTGGTCAAGCCACATTCCTCTAAGAACATGGCCTCGAGACTAAAGTTGCCTCACCGTAATGTCATCGCTCATTCTCGCACAAAATGTCGCCGTTGTTCAAGGGGTTGACTCTTGACTCTCAGGTTCCCAGCCTGCACTATGGGGACGTGAGAGTCGTCGTAGGCCGTCATCCTTGGATTATCGGGAGGTCTCCAAACTTTACACAATCTTCGTAAGCACTAGGATTTGTAATCCTACGATCGCTCATCTAGGCCCATGCAACCACACGGACTTCGGACTACAGTTATGGCGAGATTGATAGCAGGAAATAGTCTATGTGTCACTTACTTGCGGTAGCTGAGCAAGCACTAACTAGGTAGAAGCCAGGCCGCGTCACTGAACACATTTCAACGACTAGCTGTGTGGTGCAGGATACCCAAGACCTCTTGTAGGCAGTCCTTAGGTCAAACCAGCCCTGACAACCTCGATAGAGTTTATGTCACAGCTATATATATCTGATAGAAGTTCGTTGTCTATATACCGTTCCAAAATATCTAGTTCATCATCTGATGATCTCAAGAGTTAACAGTTTCATTGAAATCATTGTACCACGGTGTTAATCCAAAATACCCATAACAACCGGTAATAAAGTCAGCATCCTACCGCATCGCAAATTCAATCATGCGTGTTCTTGTTATTGGTGGCAGTGGACAGACTGGTCGTCTCGTCATTGATGAGGCATTGCAGCGTGGCCACAAGATTACAGCCTTGATTCGGAATCCCTCTGCGCTTCCAGCCATGGAAGGCCTGAACATCGTGAAGGGCACACCAGTGGAACCTTCGGACATTGAAAGCGCTTTCAACGCAGTTCCAGGCGACCTCCCAACTGCCGTGATCGTCACGCTTTCATCCCCGAAAGAAAAGGGGACTCGAATCATGTCTCACGCGCACGAAAACCTTGTCGCTGCTATGAAAAGGCATGGCGTTTCCAAAATTGTGACAATGTCTTCATTTGGAGTAGGGTCTTCTTTCGCGAATATCACTGTGATTATGAAATGGGCAATTTCCCACACTTCCCTTGGGCATTCATTCGCGGACCACAATCATGTCGATGAGATACTCAAGAAAAGCGGATTGAAGTTCGTGGTGTTGAGGCCAGCGAGACTGACTATGGCAAAAAAAGCGCCTGTTCAGTTCTTTGGCAACGATGGGAAAGGACTCGGTATTTTCGCGGGCCTGGGGGGGATCTCGAGGGCTAGTGTGGCGGCGTGTCTGGTGGATGCTGTTGAGAAAAGCACTTGGGATCTAAGCACTCCTGTGATATCAAACTGATGGGGTGTTAGGGTATGGGCCTCTGTCCAATAGAACAGAAAACCCATCCGGCAAGAAAGGATACGCCATGAGAGATTGTGCTTTATGGAGCCTTACCTAGTAATTAATGTATGCTTACGGACATAATATCGTTCAATCGGTGATCTATTCAACTCTGCATTTGTTAGCGGCTTCTACCTTAATGAGGAGGTTTTGGCTGGCTTTATGTGTAGGTCGTAGGTGTTATCACAAGATTAGGATACGTTTCTAGAGGTTAAATCTTCTTATTATTGTCTACTTAAATCAACTTGCGTTGTAGCATGACAGGTATAGTTTGGTGGTCAGCCATCGTCATGGCTACATTTGCGTGGTGTGAGGAACTTAGAAACCGCCACCTACACTTTCGCACCCAAGCCGCACAACTTTCACTTCCACTGCTACCAATATGGCTAGTGGCATCATCACCGATATCAGCTCGTACGTTGTTTGCCATTCATTAATTTACAGTTGGTTAGAACTTACGTCTTCCCAGGGATGAAGAGTATAAGCGCAAAGTCCAACAGTCAATTGAGCCCGTCGTGGTCATCTACTTTTCGTCGTTGGATGATCGGTGTAAGGCAATGGAACCGGTGTTTGAGGAGGTAAACAACGATATCCAAGCCGTTAAATTCTATCGTATCGATGTCGACAAGCACATCATGCTGTCTAGAGCATACAACGACAAGATATTGCCTAAGGCTGTCCTCGTCAAAAACGGCGCAGATTCTTTGATCCTACGGGGCGATGTTTCCCATCAAGAGATCCGAAAAGGCCTACAAGCAATTCTGGATTCCTCTGTATGAGAAGCGTGTTCTCGCTTGTTGAATGCTATCAAACCAGTTACCAAAGGCATCAACCTAGGAGACATAGCACGTGGTTCGCCATCTTCGAATTCCCCCCCGCGGGTGATTTGCCGGGACAGGAAAGCTCCGACGAGCCATCCACTGAGGCCTCAAACGCATCGACGGCGGAATCATTCAATTCCTACTACAACCCCTTTGCGTCCTTTTGCTCCGCTTTCGATATACATGGTCATACAGCTGACCCAGCGAATGCATAGTTTGAGGACATGTTAGCTTCTATGATGGAAACGGCTCCTTGGATTTGGTATCATTTTGCGCTATCCATAGGCCGAGATTGTATCCAAGTGCAAAAGAAGTGTACGCAGGTGGACTGGTACTGTACAGGGGCTGGTTCTGGAAAGCTTCATGACTCTAGTGCTTTGACTTTTAGATCAGTGAATCGGCATAAAATAGCGTTCGAGTCTCAGAGATGTCTTTCTGCTTGGCTTTGACAGCGAATGCTATGGAATCTGCTAATTTTCCTCCAGGGAATACTGTTCAATTGTATATTTCAATTTGATAACCCAAGGTCACGTCACGTAAAGTGGAGCTTACGAAATAATGTACGAAATCCGTTCTATACCCATTCACTCGCCTAGTGGGCGGTGAGGATAAGAAAAAATGAATGTGTGTAAATTGATAAAGATGGTTTGCACTTCGCTGTAGTACGCGTGATCCCCAGGAAGCATTAAGCGCTGCAGTAAAGCAACAGCAAGATGCAGAAGGGAGAACTTACCAATTTGCCAGTTCAGATGTTGCTTTGTTTGTTAAGTTTGTCTAGAAAGTCAAGGCCTGTAATTTTAGGCCCTTGTCTCTGTGTTACAATCTCTAAAAAGGAAATGGTATTATTACTGGTATGTACATAACGTGTTATTTACCTGTATCATGTGGTTAGGTTTGAAAGACCATCTCAATGTTCGCAGCATGGAAACCGATGTCGGGCGCTTCTGTACCAGTATTACTGCTACAAGTGGAATATATACTAGTACATATTGTTGTTCTGGGATCGGCTTGACCAGTACAAACTTAATCACTATTTTCTGGCCTCACCATCAAGACCTTAAAGCATCATTCATTGGGCGGGTCATGTTTAATATCGGGACACATAAAATGTATAGTCAGCTAAATCGAGCTCCTCCAAGGTCACCCTATACCCTCGATGAAAGCTCAGTGCCCACACTCAATCGCCATTCTTTAGCTTCCACTGTTCCTCCAAAATCTCCTCATAACGATCAACATCTTCGTCAGTGATGACGATAAAGTCTGACCCTTTTTCCTTCCCGTTGCCAAAATATCCAAGATGCCACTTGCTCCGCAAATCCTTAAACTTCTTGTTCCATTCACCTGCTTTCCCTTCATCATAGAACGTGAACGCCTCTGTGAGCATATAGTGTTTATCGGTGTACATATGGTACACATTGATAAATGCAGGGTCCTAAATAGTGAGGTTATAAATCATATATACCAAATTGTCAGGAGTCCCTTTTTGGTACTTACGTTCTGTATAACCCAAGCATCAAAAGGGTCATTTGTCATCCCGTATTCTTTCGCTTCATCATATCTTTTTTTCGCTTCTTGTTTAGCGGTGACAGCTTTTGCTGCAGCGTTATGAAATTCCTTCTTGAAATTGTTGACACGAGCTTCGTCAGCCATGGCGGAAAACGTCGATTGATGATTGAAGGAAGAATATGGTATAGTATGATTTGAGATCTTTAAGGATTGAAGTAGAATTACTGGTGAAGGAGGGAGGGGCCGCTTTTATAGGTTCAGGTTCTATCTATTTACCGATGACGTTAATATAGTTGATCTGTTCCAAAAGGTGGGCCTTGTGCTGTGTTGTTCAGCTCCTTTGCATACCTAGCCGAGCACATTATGTGGCTGGCTGAACGTAGCACATCACCTCCAAATTAAGCATTAGTGTGCTCGATCTCAGGATTGCGGGGTGCCCACTGCCCAGGTACAAGATTAAACAATACCCTCTCACACGTAGAGAACTCATATGTATGCAAATAAGCCATCCCACCGAAGATACACCGGCCTCGCTATCTTATGGATGCCGCCAACATGCAAAATTTGATTGGCCATTTTCAGTAGATTATTGACAGAACACACCAAAAGAACGCATATTTTGATGGGGCGGATATGTAAAAGTTAAACAATACATACATATAGAGGTGCATGGGGATGACGTTACTGAGCGAACCCAGCAATTACGATTTCAATGTGATCAATCCTGACCTGTAAGAAAAATACAAACTCGCCAATATAGCTTGAAATTAAGCCAGAAATATTTGTCCCGACTTAAGCGTCAAGTTAGTTAAATACATAACTGGTGAAGAGAGTTCGAGTTGCAAATATTAACTTGAAAATTGTAGTGTAGAGCGGCAGGTCTGTCGCCGAGTACCATGTGGGAGATCAAGAGCCGGTAGCTGAAATACCAATGCGTTGTGCAGTGAATACTGGCATTTAGCCAGATGGATAAGGTATGGATCAGATCCAGCTAAACATTAGAAACCACGGTTGAACAGGCGGGGTGGTCACCCCCGCTTTCTTCAGCGTAAATCAGTAGATGCTCATTATTTTCCTCCTTATTTCTTTTCCGCTTTCTCTTCTCTCGAATAATCATCTAATGAGATACTACACATACGAATTACACTAGTAATCAAAATTAACGCCACAATGCTTGTGAGTATAACCCAATGCCCAATAAACTATTGTTATGGATATCTCAACTAACTATTAAATTAGAAAAACTTTGTCCGTCTTCCATCTAATTTCCATTACCATTACCAGATGGTCATACGCGGGTTCTACAGTTTTTATACTGACTGCTTTCCTCTACTTTAGGCTGTCCTCGTTCACACCTTGGAGCCTGCTCCCCTCCTCGCTCAACCTGGAGACATGTGAGCCTTCTACAAACACCAGATACTAGGAGTCAATTTCTCTAATGAGCCGTTCCAATATAGAGAGTCCTGTTATCACAGCCATCTCTAAAGCACTGTTCAATCTTGATGTTGAATTGCAAAGCGCTGAGCATGAGAGCGCCCAGATGTCTTCCCTAAACCTTATCTTGTGATGTAAGTTGTGTTGCAATTGTTGGTTTTTATAAGTAAGATAAGGATCTGGGTTAGCTGTATCACTCTGCACAGGGTGGAAACGTCTGGAGTTCATGAAAAAGACTTTGGGGAACCACCCCAGTCCATCTGGTCCGTGGGGGAGCCTTATGAGGATGGTGTTTTCCCCCCTGTTGAAATTCATATCGGCCCCAATGACTATTAGTTGATGGTATGAATATACGAGAGTGACTTCTCTTATTCGATCGATATCGTTGGTTCGGGTTCTATAAATGTAGCATCCTGCAGTTCCAATAATATGGGTTAGAATCTATAGTCTGTGCTACTGATACAACACTAAGTATGCTATTCTCTGAGTGACTAAGAATTCATGACCCATGGCTAGTCAATTTGATGCAATTTCTCTCTCAGTAATGTAAAATTAGTCTACCTCTTGTACTTTGACTATATGATCGAGTAAACAAACTGTAAGTGAAGTCGTCAAGAACAAACCCTCTTCCCGTTCATGGTCAGATCAGTGGAAACACCGTTGTGGTTGCCATGTCGAGTTCGAGTTCGAGTAATGCCGACTTCTCTCTTCATACAACCCATACTGCGACTCCATGGAACTAGTCTGCGGCATCTCCCACCACTCCTGTGCCCCTCTGTATACCGGATCTGTAGACGAGTCGTAGGGCTTTCCGGTCGATGGCTCCACGGCGGGAGTAGGCGTGGTAGTATTCTGCGCTTCCACTGCTTCCACTCCATAACCGGAAGTCATGTAGGGCTCCGCATGTTCGCCATGATATTCCACAAACTCCGCCATTGAGTCGTCATTCATTTCAAGATCCAGGGATGTAGATGATTGCGGCGTGCTATAAAACTGCCAAGTCTGTATCAACCGCTTTTGCTGCGCAGCGTCCGCATCTTGAATAGTTCAAGCTGGCCCATGGAAAAGGCAGCGGGGTCTAGCCCATGGTGACGGAGAACGGCATGGATATCCTGCACCATCAGCGCCATCGAATCTGCCTGGTTGTTTGCTTGCATGTTCGAGGCAGTGGGTGCCGATGAAGCTACGTGCGCTGAATGGTTGTAGTGCTGGGTGATGCTATAGGAGAGGTTCGGTTGGGATATCGGTTGGGGGGCTACCGGGATAGCTTCGTAGTTATCGTTACGGGGAGGGGTTGGAGTAGGTGCCATCGTCATGGACATCTGGCGGTCAAACAACATTGCCAACTCGTCCTGGATCTTGCTGCTGCTTTCCGATGCCGACATTCCGCACTAAAACAAAGATGGTCCTTGTCAGGCGTTGTGTGCCATGGTCACAGGGGTAGAGTCGGAGTAAGTCAGGAGACTACCTGGGTACAGTGAGGATTCTCGATAAAAGCAGCCAAAGACTGAGAGATATCCGAGATATGGCCACAAGAGGGACACTGGTGTAAAATCGAAGAAGACATGGCGGTCAAGTTTGTGTCTTTGCAAAAAAAAAAAGAATACAAGATCGAAGGTAAAAGGGATAGGGTATCGTAGATGAGAATAGATAGAAGTAAACAGTACAGAATACCGGGAAACACAGTCCTGCTGTGAATAGATGCAAGAACCTGAATGTGTACTTTGACCGGGGAGAGAGATGTGTGCAAGAGAAAAAGAAGAAAGAGTATTTATAAAAACTAAACTCCCCCCTCCATTGCCCCCCCTCCATCCCCGCTAGATGCCTAAGAAAGTGACCATTTCCCCGTTGGGCCGCGCTTGTCCAATCACCCAGTCACATGACCAGGCAACCCCATGACGCAAGCTGTCGGCCCCAGCTCTGGCTCTGGCTCTGGCTATCTTCCATCATCGCGTCCTTCTCCTTCCTAGCTCCATTGTTTCCCACCTTCACGCCCGATACACTTTAGGAGCTCTTTCACATTTCATACATTTACGATCATGGTTTGTTTACTCGTTTGGGGTTTGGGGCGTTGAGGTTTTGAGGTTTCATGAACTAACAAGGCTGGTAGACGTCAATTGGTACGGGCTACGACCTTTCCAACTCGGTCTTTTCGCCTGATGGCCGCAATTTCCAGGTAAGGAATAACTACACCAGGTTCTCCAGCAATGGGCCAGCTCGATGTAAGCTCTTGCAGCTAACGATGGTTCCCTACCCCAGGTTGAATATGCCGTCAAGGCTGTCGAGAACGGAGGCACAGCTGTCGGCATCCGGTGCAAGGACGGTGTTGTGTTGGCAGTGGAAAAGATCATCACTAGCAAGCTCCTGAAGCCCGGTGCGAATAAGAGAATCGCGACGGTGGATCGTCATGTCGGAATTGTAAGCTCGATCCATCCTCTCCCCATCTCTAGAAAAGTCCAGTCCAGTCCTGTCTCCAGCTGGAGTCTTACTTATCCATACGAACGAATTCAATCTAACCTGCATTTCCCACGCCCAGGTATCCGCCGGCCTCGTCCCCGATGGCCGCCATTTCGTTTCCAGAGCCCGAGACGAAGCTTCCTCCTGGAGAGGTGTCTACAAGGGTCCCATCCCGACTTCCGCACTCGCCAACCGCCTCGGCGGCTACGTACAAGCCTACACACTTTACTCAAGTGTACGACCATTCGGAACAACCGCCATCGTCGCTGGTTGGGATAGTGAGGCAGAACTAGCGGTCGATGGCCAGGTCGGTACGGGACCATCTTCTGGTTCTGGCGGCAAGGTTGAGGGTGCTAAGGGTGGTGGTCCGGGACTATACATGATTGAGCCTAGTGGACTCTACTGGGTAAGCAGCACCAGCGCCAGCGCCAGCTCCCCCATTTATCACCCAAACCCGACTATCCTGCCGGGGGTTAATGGTGCTTCTCGAATGATACGATATACTGACGAATTTGCGTTTAGGGTTATTACGGCGCAGCAACCGGCAAAGGCCGACAAGCCGCCAAAGCCGAATTGGAAAAACTCGACCTAAGCTCCGGTAACCTCTCCCTAGCGGACGGAGTTAAGGAAGCTGCTCGGATCATCTACGTTGCGCACGAGGATAGCAAGGACAAGGAATTCGAGCTCGAGATGTCATGGATTTCCTCGGTTGATGGGCCAACTAAGGGTCGTCATGAGGAGGTTCCTAAGGAATTGCGTGAGGAGGCGGAGAAGGCTGCCAAAAGAGCTTTGGAGGGTGAGGATGAGGAAGAGGAAGAGAAGATGGAGGAATAAGCGTGTAATAGATAGAATCTTGCGCGAATATTTTAATCTGATGAATTTGATTCGATTCGATTCAATTCAATTCGAGAGAGTACGCTGTTAAATTCACCTAGTGGTGTACAAGCTTGTCATTGTCACCAGAGTCCAATGCGTAGAGTAGAGTATTTAGTTAATCTTTCCCTCCAACCACTCCCTCCTCTTAACGCCAAGTTCAACAGCCGCACTGCCCCAATCCTCACCATGATTATGCATCCCACTACTAGCCACCAGACCCGCCCGCTCAAGACCCTGCTCCTCAGTGAGAACAGTCAAAAGGCCGAAGATCACGGGAACTCCGGAATCAAGCTGCACCCGCATGAGTCCGTGACTAACCGCGTCGGCGATATACTCGAAATGCATGGTCGATCCCTTAATCAGTACACCAATGGCAATGATGGCGTCGAAGGCCTTCTTCGGCGCGGTGGTCGGGCTCGACTTTAGGTCCGTCGTGCTGGATGAGAGGAGGTCGGAGGCGCTGATGCCTTCGCCGGCGGAGGCTTGGACTTGGGAGGCGGCGTAGAGGCTGGGGGAGTACCAATTAATTAACTGTCTTTCTATCTCTCTTCTTTTTCTCCAAGGCGACAGTAAATGGAGCTGAGTTGGGCCGGACTGGCAAGCTTAACTTACCGCTGCACACCAATAGGCAATTCATAACTACCGGGAACAGTCTCGACAGTGATATTCTCCTCCGTCACACCAGCAGCCAAGAGCTGCTTCTTTGCGCCAGCGACAAGCGCGTCGATGATTTTCTCATTCCATCTCGCGTGCACAATTGCGACGCGCAGGCCAGTTCCTATATCAATCGAAAACAGTCAGTTGGTGTGCTGCGGTGCGGTGCGGTGCGGGGGGGCGAAATGACAAATGACGTCTCCTCGCTGAAGGTATTGCGTACCGTCGTGGGTCTGGGCTGCTCCGGGGCCTTTGATGGGTGTCATTGTAAATTGAAGATAAAATTGTAATTGTCAATTATGTCGAGCTGGTTGTGGCTGGATCGGAGCAGAGTGGGTTTATAAAGCACAAGGGAAGGGGGGGATGAAAACATCCGTCCCGCATTTGGTGGGGGAAGGCGGAAACGCGCGTGTGGCCGAATACGGCAAAATAGAGAGTGGCTACAGTACAGTACAGGGATGACATTTCATCTTCATTCTTTACGCTACGTACTTCGTACTATAATAACCTTTGCTTTATCAAGGGGGTTTGGGGAGAACAAAAAAGAAATTTGAATTTGGAATAAGACAGCAAAGCTAAGAAACACCTAAAGATATCAAGATCATCGCAGTCGTTTACTCCAGGAGGAAGGCCTCTTTCTACCCTCTTTCTACCCATGTTTATTCGACAGTAACCGACTTGGCCAGGTTACGAGGGAAATCAACGTTGAGACCCTCGCCGACGGCGAGCCAGTAGGAAACCAGCTGCAGGGGAATAACGTTCAACAGACCCTGAAGGCAGTCGACAGTCTTGGGGACGGCGATCTTCTCGGTCTGTGCGGCTGAGAACTCGGGGTCCTCGGGGTTGCAGATGACAATGGGACGGCCACCACGAGCAATGACTAAATAGAATGTTAGCTGTGGATTCTTGAATAGTGATTATCTTTCGAATGGAATGTACTCACCCTGCTGGTATGCGTTCAGGGACTTGGTGAACAGGTTGTCACGGGTGAGAATCATGATGATAGGCAGGTTCTCGTCAACGAGGGCCAGAACACCGTGCTTCAGCTCACCAGACATGACGGCCTCGCAGTGAAGGTATGAGATCTCCTTGATCTTCAGGGCACCCTCCAGAGCAGTGGGGAACTGGGCACCACGGCCCAGGAGCAGCAGACTCTTCTGGTCCTTGAAGAACTTGGCGCACATGTCCTTGATGGAGTCGTTCAGCTTGAGGATCTCACGGAATTGCTCAGAGATCTTGCCAAGACCCTCCATAATCTCCTCACGGCGCTGATGCTTGGAGGCTCGGTCTTCGCTAAGAGAAAGAGCGAACATGACCATGGCAACGAATTGCGAGGTATAGGCCTTGGTGGAGGCGACACCGATCTCGGGACCGGCGTTAATGTGAACACCACAGTGGGTCAGGAGGGAAATGGATGATCCAACAACGTTAACCACACCGACGGTGAGGGCACCACGCTCCAAGCAGTAGCGGAGGGCCATCAGGGAGTCGGCAGTCTCACCAGACTGGGAGACGAAGACACAGGTGTCATCACGGAAGACAGGTGCCTGTCGGTCCAGGAAATCCGAGGCCAGCTCGACAGCGATAGGGATCTCAGTCAACTCCTCGAAGACACCACGGACAGCCATGCAAGAGTGGTAGCTGGTACCGCAGGCAATGAATATGAGACGACGGCAGCGACGGATGGTGGAGATGTACTGGCGAAGACCACCCAAAGTGACCTTCTTGTTGACAGCATCCAGACGACCACGCATGGTGTTGACAATGGACTCGGGCTGCTCGAAAATCTCCTTCTGCATGAAGTGGTCGAACTTACCCTTCATGATCTCCTGTAGCTCCAGCTCAATAGTCTGGATGGTACGGACGTTGGAGGTACCGTCATCCTTGGTAAGACGGTGGATGTTCAGCTGACCCTCGTGGATGTGAGCAATGTCATCATCCTCCAGGTAGAGGACCTTCTTGGTGTGCTCGACAATGGCGAGGGGTCGGAAGACAGGAAGAACTCAGCCGGCTGAGGGATACCGTCATCGGAAAGGAAAGCCCGGGACTGGGAGCGGTGGAGGAGGGACTTGTCAGGGGGAGCCAGAAGGCTGGCAGATGACTTCTTGATAGCAGCGTTCTGGGAGGCCTGCTCCGCAGGAAGAGCACCCTCTTCGGAGAACTCGACATCGACAAAGTCGACCTTCATCTTCTTGGAGGTACGCACACCGATGACCAGCGGGGGAACCCTTGCGGGCAGCGATAACCTCATGGGGATAGTGGACGGACTTGAGCAGCAGACCGAAAGCACCCTCGAGCTCCTTGATAACGGCCTTAGCCAGGACAGTGAATTCAATGTCCGGGTGTTGATCGTAAAGGTACTTGGCGAGCTTGGCAATGCACTCGGTATCGGTCTCAGTCTCAAAGCGGAAGCCCTTGCTCTCCAAGAGGGCCTTCAATTCCTTGTAGTTGGTGATGATACCGTTGTGGACAACCGCGAACTCCCAGGTGGCGTCAGATCTGTGAAAAATGGCTTGTTAGTAACGATATGGCTTGGAGGGGAAGAAACAAAGAATCAATCACATACCGGTGGGGGTGGCAGTTCTGACGGGTAGGTGTGCCGTGGGTAGCCCAACGAGTGTGAGAGATACCAGCGTGGGACTCGAAGCTCTTGGTCATATCGGGCTTGCTCTCAGCAATGAGTTCCCTCAGCTTGGCGACCTTGCCAACCTCCTTGAAAGCTTGGACTTCGTTCTTCTTGTCGCCATCCACGGCCATACCGGCGGAATCGTAGCCGCGGTATTCCAGTCGGGAGAGACCTAGAGGGGAGAAAGACGAACACGTTAGCGGGGAACTGACATAGCAAAAAAGCCAGCTGTCAAAGAATTTCATCACTCACCATTGAGAAGTGTGTCAATGATGAACTGGCGGTCCCGCTCGACCAGGTAGTTGATGTAGCCAAAGATTCCACTAGGAATTGCAAGTTAGCCATCATCACACCGCAAAAGTGGGGAAAGAAAGAGGAAGAGAGATTGCCACATACCACATGATGGGCAAAAACAAAGAGTATTAGAAAAGGTGATAATTAGTTGGTAATTGAGTTAAAGGGGGGAGGAGAAGTGATGAAGAGAGGAGGATGTTGAGGGGAAGAAGATGAAGGGAGGAGAAGGAGGGGGGGGAGTTTCAGAGAGAAGACACAGCAGAGGCTGAATCGTATTTATAGAGGGGGGAAACAGAGAAGGGAGGGGCGATATTATTAGCTCCCCAGTGTCCACAGGGAAGCTGCCGGGCCAATGCACATGTCTCAGATGGTACTCCATTGGTCTCCAGTGGTCTCCAGTGGTACTGCCCATGGAAATACCTTCAGCTCCCCACTTTGGGAGTAAGGCTAGTCAGAAAATAGTGAAGTGAATCGAGAAAAAATTGGTGAGAAAAAAAATAATGGGAACTCCATACGGAGTACTCCCTCCCTATTCTTTTTTATTCTTCTTTTTTATTATTCTTATGTATCATAACAATAACAATAACATCATCAACCTTGGAATTGACATGTGGAACCCTAATCAAGACCCCTCCTTTCCCAAGTCCAGGTACAAGGGGAAAACTTGGAATTTGTTTCGGATTCCATTACTCTGTGACATAGTAGACTGGTCAAAATGAAAAATGATCAGGAACCGATCTTCGCCTCCATGGGAACGGCAAATTGATAGTATGTTTATTTTTACGAGAGACATTGACCCATTCCATCCGGCTATTGCCCCCCCTCCCCCATAATGGAGGGACCATTGATACTATTTTTGCCCTGCTAAGCCCCCCCTTTCGGAGATGGCGATGGATTTCTGCATGGCAAATGTACGAACCTTGTTTTTTTTTGGTTTTTTTCTTTTTCCTGTCATTCTTTCTTTCAACATTGCCGACCCATCATGCAGACTAGTGCTAGTACATACAACAATGAAATCGTAAAAGGGATCTCCGGTCCGAGAGAGAGATCCACGTACGGAGGAAGGACAGCAAATTGGACCGACCGCATTGTCTTTTTTTTCCGTATTTGCATTGTTTGTTGTGGTTTGGTGCCTGAATGCTTGAGGCAAAATTGGTAACGTAATCCACGGCCGAGCTGCGCACACGGTCGGCCTGCGCACCCACCCCTATGATATAGTTTTAAAACAGAATATCGCAACCGAAACACATTAATTAATACTAATCTAGCGTTTTTTACATTGATTAATCTTGTGGCCTTTTCCTCCACATCCACTACAGGTAGGCAGAGCCCTCCTGCGTGGCTGATCCTGCTGAGTAGGCAAATTACCCTGTTCATGCGATACCACCTCATTAGCTTCTACCGGCTGAATTGGCTGCTGAGCTAGCTGTAGGCCCTCTTCGATCGATAGGCCCCCCCTCATGAGTAATCTGCCTAGTCGATCGAGTGCGCTTTTGACGTTTCTTTTCATTCGCTGCGCGTAGATTGGAGTTCTCCTTTGCTAGTAGCGCAGTGTTGTGTAGCGCTATACAGTGGCCCTTGATAATCTGATCAAGCATGATTTTTGATGGTGTAGGCGGGCTGTGTGATCGCTGGTTTAATAGCTCTTTAAGCATAGAAGCTTGCTTTTCTAGCTGAATCGCTGTTCTAGGTGTTTTTGGTGTGAATTGGCTAGATCTGCTGTTTGGTCTGCTGCTTGGTGGTGTAGGTGTTCGGATAGAGATATTAAGCTTAGAAAGTACCCTTTCTGCATTAACTGGTACTATACCAGAAGCTGCAAAGCTGCTTTGTACGATATTTAGCTGGAAAGCTTCTAGTCGTGCGCGAGGATAATCTGCTAGAAAATCAAGCTTGTCGATATGATTATAGCCAGTTCGGGCTAAATCGCTCACAAATCGACCGTACGCACGCTTTAAAACAGCAAAACACCCAACATCAAGCGGTTGTAGAAGATGCGATGAATGTGAAGGCATACAGAGTGGTATAATATCGTTTTCAGAGCAGATTTGATCGAATTGAGGTGTAAGGTGGCTACCATGTCCGTCGAGGATCAAGAGACGAAATCGCCCTCGTACGCGCGAATTAGTGTATGGAATAAAGATCTTTTGTAGCCAACGTAGGCCGATCTCATCAGTAGTCCAGCCGTTATTCGAAACCTCAATTCGCCAATCCCTAGGGAGATTTGATTCAAACCAACCAGCAATATAAACCTGGCCTTTAAAGATAATACACGGCGGTAGCGAATAGCCATCAGCGCATATCGTTTCAATCGCAGTAACCCATTCACGATTTCCTGGCTGTAGGATTGATCGCCGACCGTAGTATTCTGCTCGCGTTACTACCTTCTGTGCTGATATAAGGCCCATTGCGAAGCCAGTTTCATCAAAGTTATAGATATCCTCCGGTTGGATACCGTTCTCCTCAATCGTACGTTGTACCATCAAAAACCACTCTCGTATAGCCTTTGGATCCTCGTTAAGAGCACGCTGATAGTCATATCGTCGCGAGAAGCGTGTTCGAAGCTCATCGCGTCGTTTAACAAAGGTTGACGCCCAATTAACACCAACAGTCAATGGGGGGGTTGTTCCACGCGCTGCAAGAAGAATATCGGCCATCTCTCGTACAGTAGAGGGCCTAGGGGCTGCTCCACGCGAATCCATAGAGAGTATCCATTCAGTAAGCGAATCCTCTTCAAGTTGGGTCAATTTATAGCCGTTTGGGCGTATATCGACGCGTGATGATATACCCTTTGCGCGACTGCGGAGTGTTGATTCGGGTATATCATATAGCCTTGCTGCTGCGCGAAGAGATATGATACGTTCATTTTTGATATCGGATAGGGCTAATAAGATCCTGCCCTCTTGATTGGCCGATTTCTGCGAAGATTCAGTGCGAATTGGTGGCATGGTGGGTAATTGAACTAGGCAGAGTGGCTGGAAGACGCGATTTTCGATGGGGTGCGCAGGCCGACCGTGTGCGCAGCTCGGCCGTGGATTACGTTACCGGTGAGCCGTCTTAGTCAGCTTAGTCTTAGTCAGACTGACACCTTACTGCCTTAATGCCTTAATGCCTTACACCATTACCTCATCAAGGCGGTCAACTCCCCACTCCACCTCACCGCCTCCCCCTTCAGTCGCGCGCGCTGCCCTGCAAAAACCTTTTGAAGACCGCGCGAATTGCATCCTGCGCGGCTCCTTTGTTACCCCTTTCTCCATTATCATCTCTTCGTCCCAATTATCGCCGCTTGCAGGGCTGGGACGCTTTTCCCGGTCATATGAGCTTGCCATAACAATCCTGTCGTCAAGGATGCTGTCTGGTGATCGCGCGGTCGTTTCGGGCGTGTAGCCACCTCTCACCATGTCACGCGCCTCGGCCGGCTTCGCAGACTTCTTCCCAACGGCTCCTTCGGTTCTGCAGCGTAAGCGCGTCAAGGCAGGACATGACCGGCGAGACAGAGATGTGGATGGTGACCCTACCGACACGACCGCTTTACCGGCGCTCGCCGCATCCTCTATATCCACATCCACCTCTTCGGCCGCTCCGGCCGCTACGACTTCGCTGGAACCTGCTAAGGAGGAAGTGAATGTTCAAACAGAGTCAGAGCCAAGCGCGACCAACTCCGAACATGCATTGCCTCAAGAATCTCACCTCGCGGGTCTTCTCCCAGCCTCGGCGACCACCCATCCCCACATTGATACCTTGACACCCCTCACAAATGCAGAATCATCCCCGCCTCGGAAAGCCATGAGCCCGCAGTCGAAAACGGCGGCAGAGAGATCGCCAGACAATCATGGCGATCGCTCATTAGAACCCTCCAAATCGTCCATGACCCCGATTCACACCCCGCCCACTCCGCAATCACAGACTCGCCCAGATCATGTGGTCAAGGTTTCCAAAGCAATCTACGACCCGGACCTGAGATAAACGAGGCTCGAAGGAGCGAAAAAGGAAACCTGAATATTCCGATATCCTCGTCAATGGCCAAGCCAGACCCCCAGACCCGCGCCTCGCCATCGCCAACTACACCCGTGGCTCGGGTTGCAAGCAAAAATCCAAATACCGTCCTGCCCCTTACTACCTCAAGCCTTGGCCGTATGATGCAGCAACAAGCATTGGACCGGGTCCGCCGATTCAGGTCGTTGTCACTGGCTTCGATCCCCTCACACCAGTCGCTCCGATCAGTGCGCTCTTCTCCAGCTTCGGTGATATCGCGGAGATGAAGAACCGCACTGATCCAATCACGGGTCGATTCCTCGGGATTTGTTCCATCAAATATAAAGATGCAACTTCTTTTCGTGGGGCGGGACCGGTTTCGGCCTCGAGTTCTGCGAGGCGGGCATATTTTGAATGCAAGAAGGAACAACGGATCGGCACTAGGAGGATCCGCGTTGAACTAGATCGCGATGGGATTGTCTCCGAGCGTATGGCTTCGAAAACCATCGAGTCACAGAGGCTAGCTTCCAGAAGCGCATCAGCCACAGTGGATGCCAAAGTCGAAGCCCAGGCGAAAAAGAACGAACCGCCACCTACCGCGCCTAAGGGTCCTTCGGGAAAGTCTTCCCTACGTCCTGGACTTGTTGTGCCGGAAGGACCAAGAGCCACTGTTCGATCTCCTGTGGTACAGCAATCGCTCATCGAGGAAACCCCGGTGTTGGGTCAACTTAAACGGGAACCCTACATCTTCATCGCTCACTGCTATGTTCCTGTCCTCGGAACCACGATTCCACACCTTAAGAAACGTCTCAAATTCTTCGACTACAAAGTGATTCGCTGTGACAAAACTGGCTATTATATTATTTTTGACAATTCACGGAGGGGTGAGGAAGAAGCATCACGCTGCTTCCGGCTGTGTCATATGCAGCCACTCTTCACCTACATTATGAACATGGAAAGTCGAGTCTTGGGCAACCCCAACTACGTGCGCAGCCCAAGCCCCGAGCGAGTCCGGGCTGAGCAAAAGGCCAAGGCCAAACAAGACCGTGCCCGAAAAGAGGCCGAGTTGGATATTGAAGAAGAGAAAAAGCAGCGTGCATTCGACTTGGACCCCTGTCGAGAAGTCCTTTCCATCATCATCCGTGATCTGAGAGACAAATTGCTCGAAGATGTCAAATCACGGATCGCTGCACCAACATTGTACGATTATCTTGATCCAGAAAAGCATGCTTCAAGGCGAGAGAAGCTGGGAATATCCGGGCCCGAAGGCACCAAACGTCCCATGTTCCGCATTGGGGCTGGTGATACTACACTTGGTGGCCAGGACTCTGGGTCTGAAATTTCAAAATCCCGAGATCAACATCGATCATCTGGAATTAATGTCCTTGATCTTCCGCGCATTCGCAAATCCCATGGCCTGGACCGGGCGGGGACTGCCTTTGTCGATGAGCGAAGGCGACAACCTCTGCGAAAGAGAGAAATCCGCCCCCTTTACCATCGTCTACAACAGCTGCATGATGATGAGGATTCCGATGATGATCAGCGCACGCCTCTCACTGGATATACCGAGGAGAGGAGTAGTCGGCCCCCAAGTCGAGCAAGCTCTGATGACGATTCTGAGACTGACCAAGAGGAGGAATACCAATCCGATGCTTCAAAAAATGTTGCCCCTACGGAAGATACTTCTCTTCCTGATGTCGAAACGCTCTCCCCTGGACGCAAAAGGAAACGATTGACTGACGAACACGATGTAAGAAAACGTCAAAGACAAGATGACGAGCTATTCGGTATGGAGTCAGCGGATGATGCGCTTCCCGGCAAACATCTTGAAGCTGCCCCGTCCATCGATTCCTCACTTGCTCGGGATGAGGCTGCGTCATATGATTCTCGTGACCAATTGCCACAGGATGAGCTTGCCGACCGGGCGTCTGTTAAGGACATTTTGCTTGATGACGTGTTCGTTGAAGAAGCCACGGCTATCAATATACCGAAGGCGGAGGTGCAGTGGGGAGTTTCCCAAGATGAGCCACGCGCTACCGTTGAAGATGACGAGACAATCATCTTAGATTTGGATGGCTGGCAGCACCTGGTGAAAGACGACGAAGATCTCCGTTTCCTCCGACAAATCCTGCTCGACCAACCCTCATCCCAGATCGAAAGCCTGGCAGCATGGGCCTGGCGACAGAAAGAGATCAAGGCCCTCAACCACCTCGGCGCAAGCGGTCCGATACACAGTTCGATCGGCATTGCGGGATACTACGTGCCTAACAGCACAGGCGCCGCCAGAACCGAAGGACGGAAAAGAATCCTCAACTCGGAGAAATCGAAATACCTTCCCCACCGCATCAAGGTTCAAAAAGCTCGCGAAGAACGCGAAGCAATGGCCAAAGCCGATGCCAAAGCCGATCCCCAAGCCGCTGCAGCCGAAGCTGCCAGGATCGCGGCAGCAAAGACGATTTCCAAATCGACTTCACGATCAACCCGAGTCAACAATCGCCGACTCATTGCCGACATCAATGCTCAGAAGCAGGCACTTCCCACATCGAGTGGTGAAGGCGACGTTCTTCGCTTCAACCAGCTTAAGAAACGGAAGAAGCCCGTTCGATTCGCACGCTCTGCTATTCATAACTGGGGACTTTACGCGGAGGAGAATATCACCGCGAATGACATGATTATCGAGTATGTTGGTGAAAAGGTTCGACAGCAGGTTGCCGATATGAGAGAACGACGATATCTCAAGAGTGGAATTGGTAGCAGTTATCTGTTCCGAATTGATGAGAATACGGTGATTGATGCTACGAAGCGAGGTGGAATTGCGCGATTCATCAATCATAGCTGCACGCCCAATTGTACCGCCAAGATTATCAAGGTCGATGGCAGTAAACGTATTGTGATTTACGCGCTCAGGGACATCGAAAGAGGTATGTATAGCTATTGCTTATGCAACAGACAACACAACAATCTTGGGGGGGCATCTCACTAATTTGCCTGTCTACAGATGAGGAGCTCACATACGATTACAAGTTCGAAAGGGAGTGGGGTAGTGATGATCGTATCCCGTGTTTATGTGGTTCAACTGGCTGCAAAGGATTCCTCAACTAGGAGGATTACAATGCATCTTTCATCTCGTGGCGTTCTGGGCTGGGAGGTGGCGTTTTTGATGGTCGGAGCATTCGAGACCTGTATCAATGAAGGTCGGGTCGTGATTTCAAGCGCTACAACAACATGTATAATACCAAAATTTCAGAGCTTCCTTTCTATTTTTGCTTTGCGCATTGGCGCTTTGGCCACTAAGATGTGCTCTGTAGTATATTGTGTATTTGAAATTGCTGGCTAGGCAGCTAATTGGCGTTTCTTCGATGAATTCAAGAGGTGGGGTATCGATTGAGTATGAGGGGGAGGACGGGGAGCGGAGGTGCTGCTGCCCTTTTGTTTCGGGAAAAAATCGTTTCCAATGATCGCATTCAGACTATAGAACCATTAGCTGCTGCAGTAATAGAAAATCCACCAAGAGCGGAATTCAATTCAACTCTAGGATTGGAATTCGGTTTGACTTACCCAGGTGACTCGGAAGCAAGAAATTGGCAATACCCTCCTTAATTGCATATGCATGCCCACATGTTCCACAAACCAACTTGCCCTCCATAACCTGAGTCTCCAGCAAAAGGCGATGTAGGTCTTTCAGCGTTTGTTCGTTGGTGAGCGCGTCGCCCTCGGGCTTGGTTTCTGGGAGACTGGGGAATCCCAACTGCGCACATAAGTTAACACACATACACTCCGTCAATGCCAATCTAATTTCCTTGGAGGTAAAAACGTACCTCATTTGCGGTGGTTCGCAAACCCTCCCAATCAATTCGAGGAATGACGTTGCGAATAAATTCGGGTTGAAAATCAACTTCTTGGAGCTCGAGCTCGGCGTCGTGGAAGTGCAGAGGGAAGGAGGTGGCTGTGGTCTTGCACTCCTTGACGGCGCAGGTCACGAAATTGGCTGTGATGACCTTCATGATTGTGATTGATCTGGATAACTGGCGTTGTCTTAATTTAATGTTGGGGTTGATGTGCAGCAGAAAAAAAAGACGACGCCCCACGGGACTATAGTGTCATGTGATATCTTATCGATAAGGGTACCCCGCTGCCGGGGCACCATTGGAGTATACACGAGTAAGTAGTAGGATAGTATTAAGAAAAGACAAACTTAGTATGCATGCGCTGCAATTGGAAGAATTATATTCAATAGTAATAGATTTCAACACTTAGCTAAATGGCATCGCAAAAAACTTAAGTAAATGTTCATATTATTCCATTTGACCTGTCTCCGAGTCATACTATGGTGGGTGATATATTGCTCAAGTTCAAGATGGATATCTCATCGTGACTCGGCTTTGGGCACAAAGGAGTTCCAGTTCCAGTAGGAGCCAATTTGATGAATTTTGGGAATCCATAGGTCCATAATTCACAGTGTCTAAGCCCGCGGCTTGATCTGGATCTCCAGCATATCTAGGTCATCAATATCGTGCTCCTGAAGCGAGGTGTCCGGGTCCAGTCGGTCTCCGTCGAAATAAATCAGCAGATCCTGGTCGCTCGCAATCATGTGTTTTTCTCGGAAGGCCGAAATCAATTTAGACACGAGGGTCTTTGGCCTAGCTTTGATCTTGAGATCATCCAAGTCAGGGCTTCTTAAGATCAGCTTCAACAGTTGATTTTGATTTTGCTGGTCTTCTCCGGGGTTGGGTGAGGCTTCTGAGGGGTTGTTTGTGGTTGCATTTGTGTTTCCCGCACCAGGGCCAGTCGACATGGTAGGTCCAGGCCGGTGAAGTAAATCGGCGTTTTCGGTTGTTGCTACGACATGAATCTGTAGTAGTTCTTGTTCTCCATCCTCAGAGACAGGGTCATCTCCAATACCCAATATTCGATGAGTGGAGCTGGTAGAGCTCTTCTTGGCTTTCACCCCGAGACTCTTGCATGTTGTAACGTCGAAAAGACGCCGGCCTCGCCATGTGAAGTAAACAGAGGATTGCACCTCGGTGGGAATATCTTGGCGCCTGCACCATTCCAAGCGCACGTCTCGAAGTCCCTGGGACATTTTGCGGTGGACGATCAATGAGTTGGAATTTGGAATTTCAGAGGTAATGAGAATTCGCACGACGGGATCGTCGACTGGAGTGGTCGTGGCCGTGTTCGTCGGCAAGGCCGAGGACTGGCGGTCTTGATCTGTTCTAGGATTGCGCTGTGTGTTTGCCGTTTCTGAGGCCTCTTGGTTATCAAGATCAATCGGATCATTCGGGGCATTCTGAACCGCTTGTCCAACCACGGGCGACTGTGGCTTTTGCAGCTTGTCGGGATGAGGATCTGATTTCAGTGAGGATTGACCTGAATGCGGAGGTTGTGTTACTTTTGGCGATTTGTTCTCGTTGACAACAGAGTTTTCAGATTTCTTGTGTTGATGTTGAGGAGAAGGTGGTGTCTCTTGTTCTCTGGACTCGGGATGCGCGGGGACCTGAACAGATGTCTCCACGCTCACTTCTTCCTCAGACTCTTCAGAAGTTCGACGCCTCTTTGAATGACTGACTTCCCCGGTAGTCGCTTCATCAGATGCATCTGGTGAGCTCTTTGTCTTCCTGTGAGCTGCTTCGTTGGCCGCGATTATATCCGAGTATGTCTGACCAGACCGGCGGTAGAAGTCTGGGTTGGTGTTCTGGGAAGCCCATTCAGGCTTCTTGAAGAGACCTTTCATTTCTCTCAGAAGGTGTCAAGCAAGACACCGTTTGTTATGGCCCCGACATGGAGAAACAAGGGACAAGATCATTGACAAAGGAGGGTAGTAGTCAATTGGGAACTCAACTAGTTCGGCCTCAGGCAGCAACCGCGTTTGCTCTTTCTCTCCACGGATCCACGTGACGTACCTCCAACGCCGGGCACCTTCTATCCCGCCAATCTTCAATCTTCAAGATCCTTCAAGCCAATTGCACCCTCATCGCGTCGCGCAACCCGGCCTTCCAACATCCAAAAGCCACAGCCAGCTCGACACGCTCACAACGACACCATGGAGAACGGCTCTTCCTCAGAAGGAAAGGACCCATCCGCCTTCCTGAGTGAGATCATCGGTGCCCCAGTCATTGTGAAGCTAAACTCCGGCGTCGTCTACAAGGGTAATATACTCTGCCCGCTGTTGGTGGACGTTCTGATTCTAACTTCTTTCTAGGCGAACTGCAGTCGGTTGACGGTTATATGAACATCGCTCTCGAAAAGACCGAAGAGTTCGTGAATGGGAAGCTTCGTCGCAATTACGGCGATGCCTTTGTGCGGGGAAACAATGGTTTGTTTGATTCCTCCCCTCCTTGAATTTGTCGTTATATATGGCTTGGCTGACCTAGAATTCCATCTAGTGCTCTACATCTCCGCAAGCTGAACAACCATCTGATGTCCTCGCGTTTCTGCAGCCCTTGTGTACACTATATCCCGAGGTCTCGAAGTCTCAGGAACCGACACTTGGTATTCGATTCGAATCTCGATTCCTCTTCTTCTGCCGGACCAAAGCTTTCTTTCACGATACCACCGACGTTGCTTGAGTTGGAACCGGCTCTCCAAACTCGACTCATACAGCATGTCACCTCTGATCTTCTTTGATTTTGGCGTTTTTTGTCCCGAGCATAGCACAATGAATATGACTGGGTGTGGTCAAGGCTTTTTTCTTCTACGTTCCTCGAGGCTCACTTCCTGGGTGCCCTGGGTGCCTCGATTAAGATGATGAAAGCGGAGTGCCGAACCATAACCCTTACGAATCGAATGACTTTGAGATGCTCCTAGTTTGGCCTCGTTTGCGATTCCCATCCAATCTTGACCCCTGCAACTCTAATATCAAAGTAGAAATGCAATTTTCTCAGATCTTGCGGCCCAATTTCATCTCGTATGTGTAATCTCCCAAAAGATATCGTTGCGGCAGAATTGTTCAGGTGAGGGGCAAAAGTCAGTTAGGTAAGCCTTGGATGCCCCCACCACGTGGAGATGATCTTTTTTTCCATCTCACGACGGAAAGGAGATATTGACATATACAGAAATATCTTCTCTCGAGAAAAACGGCAAAAGGAAACACCTCGGGAACAAAATAGTTCTCCAGTGAATCACAGACTACATCACAGACCTACCACCATGTTGCAGGCCATCAGATACAACCAGGGCAACCTGGAGATCCTGGATCAATTGCAACTGCCATTCGTTGAAAAATACATACCTATCCAGAACAGCGAGGATGGCTGGGAAGCAATCAAATCGATGAAGGTGCGAGGTGCCCCGGCCATTGCCATTGTCGCAATGCTTGCGCTCTGCTCCGAATTGTACGCTCTTGGCACCGCGGGAAAGATCCCTAGTGCGCCGGCCGAGGCTCAGGATTATATCAACAAGAAGCTGGCTTACTTGCTGACGAGTCGACCCACCGCTGTTAACCTGAGCGATGCGGCTCGCAAATTGGAAGTCCTCACGGTGGAAGCTGCAGCTCGGCCTGGCAGTACTGGACAGGATGTTACAAAGGCATTCATCGGTGCTGCGGAAGAGATGCTCGGCAAAGATCTTCAGGACAACCAGCAGATCGGCCACAACGGTGCAGAGTGGATTATGAAACATGCTGCGAACTCAGACACCCCGAACGTGGCCGTTTTGACACACTGCAACACCGGGTAAGTAAAGTGCCTCATGCATGCTGATTGCTCTTCTACTACGACCGGGCTACGGGGCTAACCAAAAGCTTCAGCTCTCTTGCCACCTCCGGCTACGGTACAGCTCTAGGCGTGGTCCGGTCCCTTTCATCGCAAAACGTCCTACGACACGCGTACTGCACAGAGACAAGGCCTTACAATCAAGGGTCCCGGCTAACGGCGTTCGAACTTGTGCATGACAATATTCCCGCTACTCTAATTACGGATTCCATGGCTGCAGCCCTACTCGCAGATTCCAGTGTAGGTGTGAATGCCATTGTTGTGGGCGCAGACCGAGTCGCCGCGAATGGAGACACCGCCAACAAAATTGGTACCTATGGCCTCGCAGTTCTAGCAAAACATCACGGCGTGAAATTCCTCGTCGCAGCCCCTCTCACAACCATCGACTTGGCGACAAAGTCTGGCGAGGACATCGTGATTGAACAACGCCCATCCAACGAAGTGACCAGTATCAAGGGACCCCGTCAGCAGGATGTTGCCAGCGGTAGTGCCGCCCTGGACCTGGAAACTGTCTGCACCGCCGCGCCGGGAATTAAAGTCTGGAACCCTGCTTTTGATATCACGCCTGCGAATTTGATCGATGGAATCATCACTGAAAAGGGCGTTGTTGAAAAGGGAGCCGACGGACAATTCCATATGGATGTGCTGTTCAACTAACGACTCTGGGTTGAACTGATGTCGTCTCCTTTGTTTTCTTTTTCTCCTGGGTCTTGGCCCTGTGTGTCTGGATTTGAAAGCGACATGTCTTGGCCCTGACCCCCGTCCGGAATTCCTGCAAGAAGTTCCTCGACTTTACTCTCGATAGCGTTAAGGTGCTGCTCTAGCGCGGACGCCGTCATCTCTCCTCTATATGCTGTCAGACGAGACTATTGTTTAGGTGATTATTTTAGAGATATACTTTGCAAGTTCTGCTAGTGCCTGTAATTCATTGATTGTCAGTATTAGTACATTCTTGGTGGGGCTGATTACCATCGCTATATCCCGCCATAAAAAGACATATGTGGTACCTCAGACCCGAGAGTAATCATCTTACAACTTACCTGCGATATATCAAGGTCATTTTCATTGGTGTCTGACATTATAAAGCGGAGCGATGCACAAAAAAGAGCAATAAGTAGGCAAGGTAGTATGATTGGTATAATTCTGAATTATTAGTGACAAGAGGGAAATATGTTAGAGGACCGTTGACTATGAAGTGAAAGTGGAGTGCAATTCAAAAATAACGTGACAGTCCCACATCCCCGGAGTTTCTATTCATCCGCTGTACCCAATCAGGCCTTGGGTGGACTATACTACCTTAGTAGTAAAGAACTTGAACATCAATCTTTGATGCCATAATATTCTTCTCGGCCCAGATGAGGTCGTCGAAAGTTGTACGTGGCTACTATGGACTAGTCAGAGCCGTCACAATAAGGCTGAATTGCAAACCTATTTTAGAGATGTGTGTCGAACTCTGCTTAGTTGAAGTCAAGTTCAAAATGTATACATGAAAGCCATTTCCTCCATCACCATACAAACAATGTACTCCACGATATGTAAAGGAAATGGCGCAGCGGGGGTATATGATATTAATTGTTAGCCTCTGGACTTGGGTGCCTTTGTATGTATTTCCGCACTCTCGACACTTAAGTACCCTAATCCCTTGAAAGAGACATGGACGCACTAATTCAGCATAGTAGTATGAGCCAAAGATCCCATCAGGAACCACTTGTCTGCAAAATATTTCGATTGCTTAAAGAGTCGGTTTATCTTGCTTGGTCATGTTACTTTGTGTAAGGATGTTTTATTCCTACGAGAAATGGCAGAAACCCATGCCATATTTCATGGCGTTTACTTAGATTTTATTGCATTCAGATACGACAAAAATATTATCGGCAGAGCATGAGTATAGCGTAATCCTAGTACATTAACATGTTTCTTCTAAACTTAGTCCTGGTATACAGAACCTTTAACGATTCGATAACGTTTTTCAGCGCTAAGAGAGACCAAAGCCATTCAATATTAGCGGACTAACTGTTCGTGAGGGGTTCTGCGCGGCAGAAATACCATGCAGCTCTGGCGCCAAATATCCAAAGTATAATATACTTGATTGGATACTAACGCAGGCATGTGGTACTAGGACAGGGATCATGAAGCACGCTAGCGCACCCTCAAGTCGAGCTAGATGGGGGCCATAAGAGGACCAACGCAGTCTCCTAATCTTAGATTACCATCATTAGAAGATAATTTCAGGTTATCTATAGCATAATAACATATTGGGAACAGTTATCTAGCGTAGATATTGGAATCGTTCCTTATTACCATGGCACCTGGGGTATAGGTTTAGGAGCCCATGCCTAAGCGCCGACAAATCGGCGCCTTTCACGCTAGATTAAACTAGTGCACATGGCAAGGCAGACTCGTAATCGACTTGCAGATGGTAGAATGCATTTCTGAGCTCGTGAATGCTGCGCCCCATTGTCCCACTTCAGAGCCTGGCGAGTTTCTTATAAGCCGGACCGGGCCGTCCTTCCTAGGTCCCGCTCGTGAACTACTATCCACAAAAGAGGAACCAGATCAAAGGCCGTACAGGATGAGAGTCCCCTCGTCCGATTTCAATTTCTCTTTCTCTCCGGGCCCCTCGCCCGAAAGAACATTCACCCCTTCACCTTCCCAAAGCAGCAGCCTCTTCGGGTCCAGATCCGATGCCTCGACGCCCTCATCTGTTCCATCTGGATCATCCTCGCCAGCTTCTAATTTTCACAGTCAAGCACCTCCTGGCGGCATCTTTGGTGAACCATTTCCTAGTAGCACGAGAACCTTCACCTCCGCGCCGAGTAGCAATATCTTCGGGTCCAGCCCTAACGCCCGAACATCTGCATCGGTCTCGGCTACATCGCCGCCACCGGGCTTCTCTGAGAGTACTACTAGCCAAGCTGCTTCTGGTAGCAACTTTGATGGCCCGCATACTACCGGTGGGAGAATCTTCGCCCCTTCACCCTCCCAAAGAAGCAGTCTCTTTGGGTCCAGCGCCAATGCCCGATCATCCTCTACCGTCCCAGGAAGATCGTCGTCATTCGGTCCTCCTGACAATTCTGGTCAGAATCCAGTTACTGGCACCTTTGGAAGACCACAGACGAGCGGAATAAAAATCCCCAGCCCTTCACCGCACCTGAACAGCGTCTTCCTGGGAACCAGACCAGATGTGAGACTGCACACAACTGCCTCGAACAGAGTCAGATCATCCACGCCGGCTTCCTCTAACAATACTAGCCAAACGGAATCCGGTAGTATCTTTGGTGGATCATCCAGTTCCGGCACGATACTCTTCACTCCTCCAGTTGCCCCAAGCTGCAGCATCTTCGGTTCCAGCTTCACTGCCCAAAATTCATCCCATTCTCCTGAGCAGCATAGTCAAGCTGCATCTTCTAGCATCTTCGGTACGCCCCAAGCGAGCGGAACGAGATACTTCACGCCCCCGCCTCCGCTGAGCAGGAGTCCAAATGTCGGAACGTCCACAACTGTCCCAGCTAGAACAGACACACCAGGTTCCAGTCAGACTGCATCCGGTAGTATCTTTGATGGGCCAGCCAGCACCGAAACAAGGTTTTTCACGCCTCAACCGAGCAGAAGTCCCGATGTCAAAACGTCCTACTTGAACCGGACCAGATCGTCATCACCGGGCCCTTCTCACCATGACTATCAAGCTCAACGCACTTCCCTCTTTAGTGGACCACCTAGTAGTGGTAAAACCTCCTTGAGCTCTGGTCTCTTCACGGGCGCAGGTCCCTCGGAGCCTAGTATAGCTTCTCGGACTCCGAATCCGCGACTCAGCGTTCTGCCAAGTCGTAACATGCCACGAGATGCGCCAGCCTTACCCTTTCACACTGCTATACATACAGAACCATCTAGCTCCAGGCTACAAGAAGGAGGCCTTGGTGCAGAAACAGGTAGTGTGAACGGACATTCTACAAGCCAAGCAACAAATCAGGCCCGAGATACAGATTCTCCGATTATATCGCCCGTGGACGAAGTTGTGCAGGGTTCGAATACGATTGAAGATGATCTCTTCTCTCCGGACCCTATCGATGATCAAAACTTCCAGATGAATTTCACTGCTGTCCAGGTACAGATCCAAGAGCTTTCGCGGGTGATTTCTGAGTGTCCATTGTCCCAAGACCCAAAGTCTAGGTTACATGAAATTCACCTCAATGCGAAAGAGCTCAGTGAGTACAAGGATCAGGAAACACGCATTGTTGGATTCATTGGTGAAACCGGAGCTGGTTAGTGCTCTCTTTTTCATATCCCGATAGGGAAGTGACTGATCATTGAATAGGCAAAAGCTCCGTCATCAACTCTATACTCAACCAGAGAGGCCTCGCACGCTCGGTAATTATTCCCTTTCATCTATTAGATTGGTCACATATTTCTAACGCGTTTGATGTAGAGTGGTTCTGGGAGTGCATGTACTTCTGTCCCCATGGAGTATCGATATATCGATGAAAAGCATCCACGCGCCTATACCATAGAAGCTGAGTTCATGGACGAGAACGAAGTCAATAGTCTCCTCGAAGAGCTTCTGCGAAGCATTCGACGAGCTTCAATTCCGACTGACCGGAATATTGTCGCGGGGAAGACTGGGCAGAGTATGAAGCGATGGGCAAAAGGTCGCATGAAACCCTCCAAGCAATTTTCAGCGACAGGTCAGATTTGACAATTGAGTTTTTCTCCCGGCCCGGAGCGGAAGCGGAAATTGAGATTCTACAAGAATTGAAAGCTCAGGCTTTGGATCGATTGACATTCCGGCCTGGAGGATCGAGCTCACTACAATATACTGTCGTCGCAGATGACTTGGAGGGCTGTAAAGATACACTAGACAGTTTGACAGATAACCCCGAGGACAGCAATACCCCTGCCCTGTGGCCTTTCATCAAGTTGATCAGGTTTGTGGCACCATGACGGCAAAAAAAAGAAGAAAGTTCTAATGGACCGCAGGGTATTCCTCGAGCTGCCTGTGCTGAAGAATGGGCTGGTGCTTGCGGACCTACCAGGTAATATTCTCTGTGTGCCCTTCTAAAAACGATGTAGCTCACTGTTGATAGGATTACACGATATGAACTATGCGAGGGTACGCGCTACGGAACAGTATCTTTCCAGAACCTGCGATGAAGTGTTTATTGTAACTGGGATACTTCGATGTGTTTCAAATCAATCGATCTTCAAAATTATAGAGAAGGCCGGGGAAAGCAAACGTATACGGGTAGTTTGTACAAGGGCAGATGTAAGTTTTTTTCCCCCTTGCTAATAAAGAAATTTGTTAACTTTTATTAATAGGAAGTCTCACCGGGAGAGTCTGCTCGTGGCAGTGGTCCTCTTGTTAAGCGCATGAAGAGTATGAACGCGGACATCGATAAGCTGGAGAGCAAGTTCAGGCATATCGGGCGCCAAACGCAGGAAGCACAGGGCCAGAGAATGGCAGATCGTGCTCTTCTAGATTCTTTGGAGTAAGGAATAGATTTACCTTAGTATTCAATATCTGACTGATCATTTTACAGAGACAGGATACAACAGCTTCACTACGAGTGCGTGCGATACATCATTCAATCTGATATCTATACACCTTGATGGATTCTAACTTTCATGACCAGGCGACGAGCCCTTCTTATGAACCAACGAAACGACTCAACAAAGAGAGACCTTGTAAAGGCAATCAACAATAACCAAGAGAATAAAGTGAAAGATATCAAAATATTCTGCGTTGGCAATGAGCTTTATGGAAATCCGCCGCACAGATTGGCAGAGGAATACAGGAATCTCAGCGGAGTTCGAGAGCTTCGTTCGTATTGCCGGTCTGTCCCAGCAGAGGGAAGGATGGATTCCGCTTTGGTTTTCATCGAGGAGCAAGTACCTGCTCTGCTAGATTCAATTCGCCAGTGGACTCTGACAGGTCGTGATTCTGTGACACCCGCAAGAGCCCCTGAGCTCCGAAGCGCATTGGAACAAGTAGAGCAAATACTACGCCAGGTATGTCTGATCACTTGCTGCTCTATTCAAAAATCTCGTTGCTTATGTGAATTGACCATGAGCAGAGCTTTACTTCGAGCGGGGGGCACCTCGCTCTCATGCAGAGTGAATTGCACTCTCAATTTGATACTCAAGTCATGCATCAGCTTCGTGAGCTCATTTCAATTATTGCTATCTAGTGTTTCAGTGTCTCTAATATGTTGGTAGACTTTTCGTTCCAGAGAGAGCTGAAGGAAAAGTTTGTTGAAGTGAGCCAAGAATGGAAAATCGTATGTTCAACCGGAAACTAGTGACTCGGTTGCATGCTGAAACCTGTGTCCTCAAGTTGCATTCGGCAAGTTATGCCGCATTTTGCCGGAAGAATGGCAACCATCAGGTCTCTAACCAGAAGCCTCGTTGCTGGAACAACGAATTGATGGAGCAAGCACGGCCTACGTTAGATCCAAGATGGGAGGCTCTCAGAGATTGGTTGATATTTCGAATGGATACGTTGCACAGTGACATCTCAACGTCTTTTCGGATTATCTCTGACACACTCCAAGGCATGGCACTCCCTCACCCAGCCCCTTATGACTCACAATTATCCCTAGTATGTGGCTTGTTTTCTAATCTGCAATACTCTCCAGGTTACCTCTCGGTTGCTCCTCAGGCAATTGAAAATCTATTCTCTCTTCTTAGCCACCGAAAGGGATACATTATCCATATTTTCAAAAATACCCTCGCGCAATTAATTCATGAAACAGAGTATGCTCAGTACAAAATATCAACTTGCGAAATCAACTGACTGAGACCTTGACAGGTATACAAAAGACCACACTCTCAATGGCCATAACAACAGTTCATTGATTGCTGACCTTATGCTTGAAGCATACAATAATTGCAGCCGAGAAGAAGGTATGTTTATTATAAGTTTGTCTCGAGACATATTTGAGTCATAGACTGAGCAAGAATGATTATGTTTTAGGAAAGGGAAGTTTTCAGAGGCGCAAAGACATCATGTGCAACCATTTGAAGAATACGCAATTGTACATAAATTACACGGATTTAGTACAGTCGTCGTATCTTTCAGCTTTGGAGAGGTATTTTTATACTCTCAGGGTCCAGCTACACGAGCAAATTGAAACGGTTGCGCAAGATCTGCGCAGCGTAGTGGTTCCTGTGGGCGAGATTTCGGAGCCAGAGAAAGCACCGGAACTAGTGGATGAATTTGAGGCAAGATATAGAACACTGAAACAGAATCTGCTATCTACATTGGCAGCTTCTCAGGCAGTATGGCCTGGACAAAGTCAACATCAATGAGAAAATTCAGCTTAGCAGATGAGAGGGAAGGATATCAGGAACCAGGCCAAGGCAGATCTAAGCAAATTCCAAACTCCCTGATATATATTTTTACAGACAGACAATCTCTTTCATATAATTTTGGTCACTATATCCTGAAATATAGTAGAGTATAAAGCAGATTTTAACTAATAATCTATTATTATAAACTTAATACTTAAGGAATATAGGTATATAGAGGGCTAGTAACTAATATATAGTATAGCTAGGACTATATTTATAGAGTAATATTTTAGCAACCCTTCTATAAATTCACTTATCTTAGAAAAGCTCTTAATAATATCCTAGATCTAAAAGATAAAAATCTATAAAGATCAGTATAAAATAGTAGATATAATAAAGTACTAGAGAATAATTAATACTAGGAATAGATAGAGACTAATTCTTAAAGAAACTTTAAGAATAAAGAGATATTTACCTAATGTTATTTATCTCTAAAATTATATAGAATTAGATATAAAACCCTAGAGTAATATAGCTAAAATAAAGTATAATTACTAAAAGATTCTAATTATAAAGTAGGATAATTGTCTTTTTAATAAGATTTATTCTCTTTAGTATAAATTCTATAATAATTATCTTCTTTTCTAATTAAGTCTATCTTTAGACCTTTTTAACAGAAAAATAAGACTTTTAGTATAATAGCTATCTATAGATTCTATATAAACTAGATATAAGATAATAATAAAAAGTAATAAAGAACTAAAATATTTTTATTAGTAATAGGAAAAAACTAGAAAACTTAATAAAAAAAGAACTAAAAAACTTAGTAAGAAAGTTCTAGAAATTATTAAAGAAAGATTATAGAAAAGAACTAGATTTAAATTAATATATCTTAAAGTTAATTTTAAAATAAAGAATACCCTAAGTTTAAAAGCTAGAGAATTTTTTTTCTTACAGAAGTAGTTTTCTAAATACTATTAAATTCTATCTAATATACTTTTTCTATCTTTTAAAAGTAGAATTTTAAGAAGAGTAATTTCAATATCTAAAAGATTAATAGTAATAATATTAGCTCTAATAAGATAGTTAAATCTACTTCTATTTCTAGAATAAAATAGTTCTAAAGTAGAACTATATTAAGGAAAAATTAAAATTAAAATTTTCTAATTTAGAAAAAATACTATTAGATCTTATCCTTAGTATTTTTACTTTATTTTTTATTAAAACTATCTTAATTAGGCTATTATATCTACTATATTTAATAATTATAAGAAAATTCTTAAGATTAATTATATATTATAAGATAGGAATACTTAATAATAGCCTATATACTACAGATTAGAGAAGAGAAATATTACAGGATTTAGAGTATATAATACCTCAGGGATTTAACAGTAATCTAAGGCTAAATCCTCTTTAAGATATCTATATATTAAGGTCTATCTAAACCCTAGTATATTTAAGATTCTATAATTATTTAGAATTCTTAATCTTTTTAAGAATTAGTCTATATATTAATTATCTAATCTAATCTCTACTATCTAATATCCTTATCTAGTCTAGTTATAGATTTCTAGCCTAATAACTTAGTAACTATTATAATTCTAATTCTTCTTTATTAACTATCTAAGGATTAAAGATAGTATTCTCTATATATTAAAACCCTATATTCTCTTATAATAGTATTTATTATAAACCTACTATATCTTCTCTAGCTATTTAATAGCCTAGAGTTAAATTAATTCTAGATTAACCTAGAATCTCTATTAAATCTAAACTAGACTAGATATCTATCTATAAGACTACTAAATATATTATTAATATATTATTATTCTCTTCTCTATATAGAATATAGATCTAAAGAATTATAAGTAAATCTATAATTAGAAGTATTATAGAACTTAATATAGAGAGTCTTAAGAAAAAGAAGTATAAAATTAAGTATCTTAAGAAGTTTCTAATAATTTTTATATATTTTAAGAAACTTACTACTTAAGTTTCTAAAATTTATATAGAAGACTTCTTAAATAATCTATCTATAAATTATAGATAAACTAAAGCTAGAAAATATAAGAAAGTAGAGAATTAGCTTTCTTAACTTAGTTATATCTTTTAAGATAATTCTAAGATTTATAAGAATAAGAAGATAAAGATTCTTATAGAAGTTAAGTATCTTAATTCTAATTATAAAAATAATTAGACTATAGAAGAGAAATATCTTAAGAATAATAATAATAAGTATCTTAATAACTAGAAGTACTTTAAGAAATAGACTCTTACTCTAATATATAATAAAAATATCTTTACTAGAGAAATTAGTAATAAGATATAGTATTATTATTAATAAATTAATAAAGAACTAAAGACTTTTTACTATTATCTTATAGATCTAGAGTATTATCTATTCTAAATATTCTAAGATAAATAAGTTTTTTATTATATATTAAAGCTATAGTAGTAGTTAACTCTATATATCTAATAATATATAAAGAATATAGCTACTATTTAAATAGATTAGATAAAAGAAGTATAAAGTATATAGAAATTTAATAAAGTAAAAGTATAAAAGTATAATTTATTTAATAATAATCTAAATTTAAGTTTAAAATATCTATAATTTAATAACTTATTTCTAAACTAAGTTAATAGTAAATAATTTATACTTAAGATACTTTTATAGTTCTAGATTAAATCTAAATTAAAATAATTATTATTTAAATCTAAATATATACTTCTATTACTAAAACTAGTTTATTTAGTTTCTTTAATAAAATATCTTCTAATTCTTATTTTAACTATAGTAAGCTAGATTATTAGATAAGTAAATATAATTTACTATTAAAAGTCCTAGAGACTAGAATCTAGAAAATCTACTTAAGACTTTAATACTATTATAATAATATTTAGTTAAAAAACTTAGAAAAAATACTAAAGTTAAACTAACTTCTATAAATTCTAACTTCTAGTCTTAAATAGAAATAATTATCTATCTCTATATACTAATTTATCTAAAATAATATTAAAATATATATAGATATTAAATTTATTTTAAAATATTACTTTAACTAAGCTAAGTATAATACTTTTCTTTTAGAGATAGTAAACTAATAAGATATCTCTATCTATAGTATATAGACTATTCTAATTACTATATATAACTTTTAAAAAAACTATATAAGAGTTTTTATATTCTTATATTATAGTTAATAAAGATTCTTATCTATTAGGGCTTTCTATACTATTATTAAATATAACTATATAGAAAATATAAATTATACTAGCTCTATAGTAAAAATAATAGTATTTTAAATATAAGAAAAAGATAATAAAGTAGTTAAAATCTTATTAGTTTATAAAAATATATAAAAACTAAGCTTATATTTTTATAGCTATTAAATATCTAAAAAAGTCTAGCTTTTACTAGAAGAAGAAAAAAAATTAACTATAAACTAGGATTAAATTCTCTCTAAGTTATTAATATTTTAGAAAATATTTAAGATATAAAATTCTAAGATTATATTACTATAGAAAGAAACTAATTATTTAATTAATCTTAAAAAAAATATATTATCTCTATCTAGCTTAATCTATCTTCTTTTATAAATAGAAAGTATAGAGTTATAGAAGTATCTTAATAAAAATCTAGTAAATAGTTAATATCTAATTCTCTAAGAGTTCTATAGATATATTTATTCTATTTATATCTAAAAAGAATAAAGAACTAATATTCTCTATCCCTTATCTTAGAGATTTTTAACTATCTTTCTAGAGCTAGATATTTTAGTTAAATAGATATATAGAATATATACTGCTGTAAAACCTGCTTAGTATAATATAGGTTTAGTACAATATCCCCCTTAGTATAATAAAGTTTTAGCTAAAAATTAGATCTACTATATAAATATTGCTAAAACCTTAATAAAGCAGTATATTATAGCCTTCTTTTTTCTCTTCTATCTATATTATACTATTAAATTTATTACTAAGCCTTATTATAAATTAATATAGCTAATTAGAATACTCTGTTAAGTAATATTAAACTACTAAAAGACTGCTCTTAGGGAGTAATATTAATAATTTTCTTCTGCTATATAATAATAACTAGCTTATTAGTTTAATAAGAAATATAACTATTATCCTATATAATCTACTTTGTCTGTAATTCTATTATTAAAATATAAATATCTAGATACTAATCCTTCTGACTATATTATTAATATAAAGTAATAATATACTATAAAGCTTAAAGCTATATTAATCTATTAGATTACTCTTATTAAAGGTAATATTCTAATATCTTAAGAAGTTATCTAAGAAAAAGCTTAGGATTACTAGACTAAGCTTCTAATGTATACTAATTAACTAATTCTAACTTTTAGTAATAGATAGTTATCTATCTTTTAAAACTAAGAAAATATTTAGGATTATTAACTATTTAGTAAACTTAGAAGTACTTTTAGACAACTATCTCTTGGCGAAATCAACTTATAGCTCTATCTTAATAACCAGAGGTCCTACAGACTTCTAGATATATTTAATTAATCTGTTACATCAGCAGCTGTATCTTAATATAGGGTCTCCCTAGTTAATATAGCAGCTGTTAATATAGTATAGCTAGATACTGATTCTATATATCCTAATCAGCAAAAACAGAAAAATTTTTACATATATATAACAGCAGAATCAGATAAATATACTAATTCTACTACTACTACTATCTCTAAACCTCTCTTAATAGAGAAGATTATAAAGGAGGCCTATAAGGCTCTTAATTATATCCAGGATAATAAGCTAAACTAGCTTTTAGACTAGTTTATTATCAGCTTTATTATCTTTACTAAGGAATTTACTACTAGTACCTAAGATAATAACCCTACTATCCTAAAGATATAATAAGCTATTAAGAAGATTATAGCTACTACTAAGAGAATAAGCTCTAAGATTACTAAAATTAAATCTACTATATTCTTCTCCTCCTTCTTCTCCTTCTTCTCTATTACCTCTGTATAGGTAGCTAGGTTCTAGGGTATCTGTGACTAGGATATATCTAAGGTCTTTCCTTCCTTATATTAAATATACTCTACTATATTATTCTCCCCTAATATAGGTAAGATTAAGCTCTGTAAGAACTAAGAACTTACTATTAAGGTCTGTAATAAAGCTTAGAAGGTAAAGAAATACCCTCTACCTAAGATTATTAAGCTAGTAAATCTAGAGTATAAGAAGATAATAATATAACAGATATACTAGATAGCTTATAGTATTTAGTAAAGATACTATAGTATAGGCGCTAATATAGGGTACCTATAGCTAGTCTCCTACTAAAACTAGAGATACTAGATAATATAGTAAGGCTACTGAAGATTTAGAATAACTATACCTAGGGGAAAGATACCGAGATTAAGTATATTAGATAATTAATTTAACTAGAAGCAGATAGTAATAGCTATTAGAAGAGGGTAGTAATAGTTATTAAACTTAATTCCTTTATTATAGCTAATAAGATTTTAACCTAGGGTATTAACTAGAATATAGTTACCTATCCTATAGTATAGTTTTATTAGAAGGAAAGGATTAGATAATATACTAAGTACTAGTAGTCTAGGTATATTTAGTCTTATTATTCCTTCTTCTATAGGTACAGCTATTATATAAAGGACTACTTAACTAGAGAGTATCCTTTAAGCTCTAATCCTTTAGTACTAACTATATATATAAAATATAGTCTATAGGACTATAGATCTACTAATAAGGTCTGTAAGATATATAGATAAGTTATACAGTAGTCTAAGAAGATCCTAGCTAGCTAGCTATCCTCTTATTAAGTACTAAAGTACTTCTACTTATAGAATAAGGATAGTAAGTATTATATCTAGATTAATAATATCTAAATTATTACTAGAGATTATAACTTCTAGAGTAAAGTAGAGTAGTAAGCCTAGGCTTAAATTATAATATTATAAGTAGTACTAGCCTATATTATAGACTTATTAGAGAAGGCTCTAGGCCTTAAATCTTTCTAGTATATATATTAGAAGATACTATTAATATAGAATACTAATAGTTTTACTACTATTACCTATAAAAAGTACCCTAGATATCTAAAAGAGTCTAAAAATAAGAGTACTATCTTCTCTATAAGTAATTTCTAGCTCTCTACTACTGCAGGATGGCGTATCTTTGAGCTTCTCTATTAATGAAGGTCTTGATGTTGTTTTATGGTTTCCCTGTAATCCACACAAATACAGATAATGAAGCGCGTCGTCCAGTACAATATGACAATTCGTACCCAAATCCGAACAAGCTCACAGAAGCTCTTCTCAGGCCATCAGTGGGCCAAGGAATGTATAACGAACTGGGGTTGTTACCATTTGCAGATGCCTGACATAGATAGCATCCACTTAGGTATCCACGCCTATATATACTTAGTTCTATCTTAGCTTCCTCCTTCTTCTTCTCCTTAAGCTATTACTTTTGTTAAACAGCTACTGTTTCCTTTGCTTTGTATACTACGCTGTATATTGATCTCTGTAAGTATCTGAGTATCCTTATATTATAATAGCTTCTGGTACTTAAAGTCTAGAGTACTGTACAGATATACCCTGATATAATTACTTACTGGTAAGCTATATATAAGAGACCCTAGTAATTCCTCTGTTAGTTTATCTTAGAGAGACTGTATAAGTCTTATATATATATAAATACTATATATATTTATTATTAGCTGTAGTAGAGAATTCTCTAATTCCTCTAATAGAACCTTACTTTTGTTACTTTATTACTATACCTTTATTACCCTAATATCTTTTTTTATTACTTTTTATCTATTTAAGATAGATTTTAATCTTAATTATCTCTGTACTATACTAAGTAGACTTTAGTTCTTGCTTAACTTATAGTAAGCTTAACTTAATATACTCTAAGGCTAGCTTTAGTTAATCTACTGAGAATAATAAACCTAAGCTAATCTACTCTAAGTATATACTTAGCTTATTACTTAAGCTTAACCTTATACTCCTTAGTATCTGAAACCTCTGCTTCTAGATCCTAAGAAGTTTACTAATACTGTAGTTAAGTTTAATACCTAGCTTACTACTATATATTTAAATCTCTCTATTAATACTCTGGCTTTAGGAGATACTAAAGCCTAGTTTTCCTATATCTTTATAAATCTTAATAGTTAAGTTTAAGCTATAGTCCTTCCTTAACTTACTTACGCTTAGTCTTCCTAAGAGTTTGACTATAATACTATCCTTAATTAGCTTATATAAGTTTTTAATAATCTGAATAAAGTCTAAGAAGCTAAAGATTACCTTCTTAATCTCTGATAAGATACTAATTCTATTATAGATTTTATAGCTAAATTTGAATATATTCTCTATAAAGCCTAAGGCTAAAATTAGCCTAACGTTACTAAGATCTTAACCTTCTATAAAGGTCTTAATAATAATATTTATAACTATTTAAATTAATAGCTTAACCTTCCTTATATCTATACTAAGTTTATCAGAACTGTTTAGCAACTTATAAGCTATACTAGTAGTAATTATCCCTCTGGTATACTTAATTTAACTAAGCCTAGCAACGGCCGTAGTACCGGTAATAGTAATACTAGCAGTAGTAGCAGCGGTAATAGAAATAGTGATAAGATAGACATTGGCTCCCTAGAATAGGATAAGGACAAATAAAAGTATTGTAACGCTGCTTTTTTGAGAGGGGGATAATATAACGAACTAGAGTTGTTACTATTTGCGGATACCTGACGTAGATAGTATCTACTTAGGTATCCACGCCTATATATACTTAGTTCTATCTCAGCTTCCTCCTTCTTCTTCTCCTCAAGCTATTACTTTCGTCGAACAGCTATTGTTTCCTTTGCTTTGTATGCTACGCCGTACGTTGATCTCGGTGAGCATCTGAGCATCCTCACAGAATGGCTTCATTGGAAATCTATAGCTGAATGAGGCTCTGCGAAGACCCTTTGGCTTAAGACCACTCACCTTGATATTGAAGAAGTCTTCGTCAGTCCGGTGATTTATCTTTGAGAAATTTTCGCTGTTGGGCGGGATAATGCCCTTTTCCAGTATAAGAATTGCTTTGATTAAACCAGCCAGCCCACTGCAGCCTTCCAGATGGCCAATGTTAGACTTGACAGATCCGCTATGTTTTTATTAATAAGATCCCATCAAAAGGTGCGGGCCAACTCACATATACAGAGGATCCTGACGTGACCGGGTAGACCTAAATATGGAACCAATTGCTTTTGTCTCGATTGGATCTCCCACCACCGTTCCTGATAGTCACCGTTGTCAGTATGAAGAACTCACGAATTGATGAGAACCATACCTGTTCCATGCGCTTCAAAGTAACGAGTGAGGTCCGTTTGAAGGCCACCCTTGTTGTAGGTTTCGCGGATTAAAGCCTCTTGTATTTCGATGTTTGGCAATGTGATTCCAGGCGTCCTTCCATCCTGGTTGGATGCAGAAGATCGTATAATGGCACGGATAGAATCGCCGTTCTGGAGGGCATCATCTAGAGGTTTAAAAATCAGGGCTGCAACACCTTCACCGCGAGAAAATCCATTTGCCTGCTGATCGAAACTATAACATCGACTGTCCGGAGATAACAGGCCGAGATTGCTTAGGCTTAGGGTGGTTTCGAGCGTAAGAATCGCGTTGGCTCCCAAGGCGATCCCCATCGAGGTTTCACCGCTCCAGATTGACTTGCAGGCTAGATCAATCGCCACCAAGCTACTTGAACATGCAGTATCGATAGTAATACTGGTTCTATGAAGATTAAAGAACCAACTCACGCGATTAGACAGCATATTAGGCGATGTTCCTGTAGCGGCAAATTTCTGGGCATCCAAGTTATCTTTTGTCATCATGGTCTGGTAATCATTACTGCTGCACCCCATGAAAACGCAACTGTTTGAGTTATAAACCTTCTCCATACCAATACCTGCGTTCTCTAGAGCTCGATATGATGTTTCAAGCGCTAATCTCTGTTGCGGATCCATTACCGTGGCTTCAGCGGCTGTAATAGAAAAGAAAGGTGCGTCAAAGAGGCTGAGATCTTCAGATAGAAAGTAGCCGCCACGATTTGATAGAGTATCATAGCGGTTTGGATTAGAATCATAATATACATCGATATTTAGCCGGTCTGCTGGGAACTCTTTTGACGCGCATCGTCCATCCATTAGCATCTTCCAGAAAGATTCTGGAGATACTGCATCCTCCGGGAATTTCAGCGAGATTCCAACGATTACCAGCGCCGGTAATAGGTCTTGTAAGGACTCGGACATAGCATTCAATCGCAAGGGAATAAAATTGTTGAGGGTCGCTAGGACTTCAAATGCTCTGGTAGCTACTAATAAAAGTGATTCTTAGAACTAAGCAATGCTGGTCAAAGAAAGGTGTAGCTAACACTATATATTTCCAAAGCTAGTCTAAATATCCACGTACTACATTAGATAAAGGCTACAATCAACTCAGGATTTTACATTCAGGTTATAAGCAGGCTTTGGCCTCGGGGGCTTCAAAGTTTCGGTTTAACACTAAAACGTCGGATCGTACTCGCCAACCATAGTTCCGCCCGAAGCTACCGAAAAAAGATCATCATACCTGATACCATCTCCGCGAATTTCTTTCACTGAGTACGACCGCACATGCAACGTTGCTGAGTCGCTCACTCATTGTCACATCGTCTGTCACAGAGGCTGATACGGACATTGTTAAGGCAATGGCGGGTACGGGCATCAAAATAGAGCTTGAAGGGCGCAGAACTCTCAGATTAGGCTCAACCTGTTCAAGGTCAGCAATCTCCTGTCCACAGTCATCTTCACATCGAATTAATCCAAAAATTTTGCGGAGCTCTTCGTCTGTGGGTCTCCGGCTTAAATTAGACCCGACCACCACGATCTCGTCGGGGTTGAGCAAGAAGTCTCGCTTTCTCATTCCATTTGCCGGATCGTAGAGCTCTTGGTATTGTACCTCTTCTTCTCCTTGCTCGGTTTCAAACCACGGATCTCGGTTGAGAAGCGGATAACCAGGGTAATTAGTTTTGTCCCCAACACCCTTCAGATTTGCACATTCATTGAGGGTCAAGCCATCATCACCGTCCGCTGCAGCGACATAATTGTCAAACGAAACTGAGAAAACGTCCCGGGTGTAGACCGCCTTGACCTGTGTCCATTCAGTATACAGGTTTCCTCCGTGCGCCGGAGCCTCCAAACTGATCTCAGTTTGAACATCTTCTCTTCTGGCCATTTTTGGACAACCTTTGAATTTTTGACCAGCAGCTCCATTTTGGGTCTGAGACAGAAGGCGAATAAATTGTTTTTCATCTTTTGGAACTCGGTTCCCATGTCCCTCCAAATTTTTGTAGCCGTCATTTACCTCAATGTACTTTGCAGCGGGCCACTCATCCGCCTGACATTCAACATCTGCGTCAACGAGGTACTGATCATGCTCATCATACCACTCCTCCACCGCCCCACGCTTTGTATAGGGCTCAGGGGCGTATGGACACGTCACATACGCAGAGTGCGGGTTGTTACTGATCACCGAGGAGTAGTGCCAGCGCGGCTGAGGGTATCTATCGCAGTCTAGCGTGATAGTCCTCGTTGTGCGCCCTTGAAGCTGATCTGAGATTTCCGTTGTCGTGCGGGCAGACTTCTTTCGTCGCTTGCAGTTGGGATTGTCGGCTCTCTTTATGCCGTATTGATCTGTAGTTCGTGTTCTCGCTGACGTATGCGATGATTTCGGAGGTCGTGTGTTGGTTGGTCTCTTGGTCACTCTCTTGGGCTCGAGCTTGTTTTCGATGGCTTTGACTGCAGCTTTGCCCTCCTTCTCGACCAGGTCGCTGCATGCTTTGATGATAAATCGGTTGGCAAACACTTCTACCAAGCTTTCAAGGCCGATTGCAATCTCCCCTAAATTGAAATTAGCGCTGTTCCCCAAGACCAGTTTAATAGAAAAAGAAAAGAAACGACGACATACCAAAAAAAGGAACCGCCAGTTCTGCCCCGTCAAGGAGGGCCTCAATGCCAGTCACAATCAGCGTATAGAGTGATTTTACAGCAATATCTAATCCGACTTGTTCGGTACCCGCCTCTGCAATAGCTTTAGCCTGGTCACCGAATTTAGCCATGATCGGGTCGTCGTCATCGTTACTTTCTTCGCTATCCGGGTTGCTGTCTACTTCGGAACTGACCCCACCAGGAGGAGCTGAGAAGGCAGAGCAGCAAAAACTAGCATAAGTGTTCCTAAACAGTCGAGCTCTCCAGACTTCATGTCTAGGCGGTAGCAAGTACTTTGGATGAGTTCTGTCTCGTCAATCTCGCATCCGCTGAAACAAGGCATTCCCAGTCCCCTGCCTCCTCGCCATTGACAATTTCCAACCATAGTACCATCTGCACAGCACAGAGTCCGCTCTTTCTCCATCTTTGTCTTCTCAAAGGCACTCCTGGACGTCTACAGACTTATCCTAATCCAACTTTACAGAATAATCATCCCTTTGTTTGATCTTTGGCCTACCTCTTGCCTTCCCATGACCCAGTGAGTCCTCCTGAACGCAATGTCTTTGCAACCGGAGGAGACTCTGAATTCCGAAGCGAAGTTTGCCTTTGGATAACTAAACCAGATTGTAGTATAGGTTGAGCATTTGTGAAGGCAGAGCAATGTCAGTTAATTTGACTAGTTTATCGCAAAACTAAGGTGGCATTTAATGTAGGAACATATTCCGATTCCACGTTTCACCCACTGGACCGTGCCAAATTAAGTGTTACAGCACTCATCTGCCTTTCCTCACTACATCATTCCTTCGCGTTCCCCTGAGATCCGGCCATATATTGACTCCAGTCAGCAATAGTGATTGACATTGGAGGTAACTTCACATCTTCGTCCTCTAGTGGAAATTTCCACACATCCGCTACCCGTTGATCCGGTCGAAAAGGAGAATCAAGCAGCCACTCCGCCTCCCCCGACGAGCTATCGAGTTCAAATTCAAATTCAAAATGAGTGGTATGACCGAGACGATATTTCATGTACCTTAAACATGGCATATGGCGAGCTGTATGGCCGAGGGAAATGAGAGTTCGGTAGAAATGTTCGCGGTCGAAAATAGGCCGCTCAATTAAGCCTTCTTCAAGGTCACATATGATGAACTCCCAGTCTTTAACTTCATCGATTCTGAGTTGGTCCTCAGGTGTTGGATGAGCAACCCACTCGCCTACATAATTAGACTGTTAATAAGATGAGGAATGCGACTTCTCTTGCCTGGCCGAAGACTATTTTTCAAACGAAGGGCACGGTTAAACAGCTGATGGCGAGTTGATGAACATACCTGATGGAAGTCTTGGAGGTACATGAGTTAGCTCTACCACTTCTAATGAAGGCCAGTAGAGAGATCGGGAAGTCGGTAAGGGATGGCTTTCTGTATCCAAGGGGAACATGAAATCTGGTGTGAGCGAAAGATTACGCATTTTTAATTCTCTGAGCGATAGACTCAGATTTAGAATGTTCTGAGAAAGGAAATCGTTATCCGAAAGTAGAACATTCAAGCCAGACATCATTTCTTTCCATGGGCTCTCATCCTGGTTACGGAAATTAAAAATCTTCAGGCTATGTGGCATGGTCAAAAGACCGTCGGCCACAGCTATCGAAGTGTCAGCGTTTCGGCTCTCAGATATTTCGCTGCGTATTTCATGTAGGTATTCTCTTACCTTGACGCCTTGCTTGAATATATTCAATGTGATCCGGGCGAATATATTCATTTAGGTCCAGTATGATCTCTGTAAGGCTTATACAGCGCCGAGCAATTTCCATGGCGGATCCGGCCCATATTTGATGACAAGGGTAATCGTAATGAAAGAAAAGACGATCGATACACGCGACAGCCGGAAGAAGGGAGAGCCCGTCGTCTGGAAAGCGTGCCCGATAGACAGTCACTGACCTAGTTCTTCCCTTTGTATAATCATAGCAATAGTCACCCGCAATGGGGAAATCAGTTGTGCGAGGCTCCTTTCCCTCTTCACGACCCAACAACGCCAAGTCAAGTGAAAGCCTCGAATCGGGATCCCACAGTGTGAGAGTATTGAAAAGATCGACTATTGCCGACTGAAAGGCAATATCATTATTCTGACGTACACTGTTCTCTAGGTTATATCCTTTTTGCTTGCGGGTTTGCCAATCCGCAAGGTCAATAGGCACAACAATGTGGTAGCTCAAATGTCGGATCAGACCTCGTCGTGCCACTCCATTGCCAGAGGTTACTTTCTGAAAGTGACTCAATGGCATTGCCCTTCCACAACCTTCCTTGCTGACACCATCGGCACTGAAAACGTTGATCGGTTCAGCGTAAATGAGGGGCTCGAAACCGACTTGCCATTGACGGCATACTCGAGTACAAGGAACCAGAGAGGCCTTTAGTTCCTGCAGGTGCTCTGCAATCAAACATAATATTTCTTGAGGAAGATGGGGAGCCATGCTGGGATGGACCATGGGGATAGTACTCCCGCAGTAAGTCTTAAGAGATTGATGCGCAGGTGGGTAAGCGAATTGGGTTGGAGCAAGCCGACGGTTGAGGGGTTGCCAGGATCACAAGGGGTGGGGCCGCCCTGCCTCGCCACCGCGAGTGGCCCTGGATGCCTTGGCATGCTAACAATACGGAAGGAAGAAGCGAAAGGTCCCTGTATGTACATACACACTAAGAGGGGCTAACAGTGGAATCCCTTTCGTCGCATTACTGGTTGGTTCTTTAGCTCGCGACTTGTTTCTTGTTCTGTGGAAAAAGCAAGAAATACAACTGGTCACCCTGAATGTACAGTATGATATTCGTCATTCATGGAAATATAGTCCTTCCAAGGTTGATTTCGACGAATATACCTGATGTCAAGCCCTCGGAGTCTTCCAGATATACTCATGGGACCATTACCTTTGCGCAAAAATTCCTCAATAGCTCTTCGAGAATTTGCTTGCGATATCAACACTAACCTAATTTCAACCTTGGAAGTCTAAATTGTATGTCTTGCCTCGCTTTTTATTGTTTGCCTCAGTCACATGTGGGGACCAGTATGATATTGTAAATTTCAAGCAGATACGATGGTAAACTTGGGTAAGGTAGATTTCTAGCCCGAACGTGTAAAAACTGGTAATAACCTGGATATTTCGCTAGAAACCCTCGCCTCTGCGATGAACAGGGGACTTGAGCAGGGGAAACAACACTACGAGTATACACAAGACGATCTAATGAGGGGATTTGGGGCCAAAAGTTTCATTTCCGGACTATCCGTGCCAAGACGCTACTAAGCTTAGCTACGAAAACAAAGCTCCGACGTCAGAAAACATCCACGATTCGTTGGATACGCCCGAGTGAGGCGCCAAAAACTCCATTGATTTCCCACCTCGCGTAATCGAGTCAACGGTCCGAAATACGCCAGTTTGTACTTCTTTATGGTTGTCTCTATGCTAAGATCGTACCTGCATGCTGCTAATTTAACTAATGCTGCACTTAGCGATATGATCATCCTGTGGGTTCAATCCCGAGGTCTCCTTCCGCTGGTGGTTGGTTAGATTCTAGTGTAGCTCGCTATGCGAATGCAACGTCGCTGGGATAATAACTTGATCATTGTTTCATATATTTATGTATGCATTCCTTTTGACCCTGCAGGGTCTTATAAGGTCTTTAAGCTTCTTAAGGGTCCATAAGTGGCGGCGGGGCCTGCCGGGGGCGAAAGCTCGGGCCCTGTTTCAACAACAACGATAGCCGAAGCTACTACTCATGAGGGTACATCATAATCTGTAGTGGATTCCGGCGAGGGGAAGATATGCATCGCGATTCACTCTAAGATTGGTAGGAAGTGATCAATAACTTACTCAACTTCCACTCCTTGTAAAAAAGATCATCGTCATTCGGGAGGGCCTAAGTCCCCCCCCCCCCCCCCTTTTCCCCCTCTCTTTTGTCTTTTAGGGGGGGGGGGAGTAAAAACCAGATACAGGCAAATTTGAATAGGGAATTCAAGGGTCCCGATTAAAATCTTTTCAAATTACATTCATACGCTGACAGCTCCAAGACTTATCTGCTCAATTTACTCAGGTCGGCTCGTTGCGCTGGAAAAACGGAATAAATCCTAAGTATTGATTCGAGGTCTCTATAATATGCCAATGGCTATGCTACACAACGTTAATGTGCTTCATTACACTCCAATACAGTATGCATAGTTGAGCCATAACCCACTGCAATCACCATTGAGTGCAGGATTCCACTCATATAGCTCGTCCAAACTTATATCGCTATCTTGCGCAATGTCATAGCAGTAGACTCCAAGAAATAATAATTCAGCACGTCGTTAGTTAGGAAGAAGGCAATGAGGGAGCTGACCGTCTTTATCATGCATCAGATACTTGTTGCAAGTGCAGGGAATACCCGATTGTGTGGGGCCCGGTAGAGTGACATTCGCGCAATTTCCACTCGAAGTTGCGGTTGGGGCGGTATTAGTCGTGGTGGCAGGGACAGATGTGCTCAAGCCTGGAGTTCCAATGCAGTAGGCATAACCGGCCCACAGCCCACTACAGTCGCCATTAAGAGCAGGATTGAGCTTATAAAGCTCAGCAAGAGTAATACCATACTCATCTGCCATTCCCTGACAAAAAACATCTAAGAATAACATGAGAACCCAGTAGCAGCAGCGTAGAATGTATCGCCAGTAGGAACTTACCGTCATCGTGCATTGCGTATTTGTTACAATCACATAGAATGCCGCTTTGGGTAGGACCCGGAGCGGTCGCGGAGGCACCCGTGCATAATGATGCTGAAGTTAGAGTAGAAGTAGTTTGGGTACTAGAACTCGGGTAAGAGGTGTCATCGAAGCCGTCACCGTCTATACAATAAGACACGTTCAGCCAGATATTTGAGCAGTCGCTTTTCACGCTCGGCTGTATCAAGCGGGATATGTGGTTAGCATCTCAAGATTGCTTGCAATTTGGTGGGCACTTACTAGCTTTCTTTAAAATATTAATACTAGTATTATAAATATTATACAATAATAACTAAGATCTAGTTAAAGATATAACTAAGATCTAGTTAAAAGCTTAGTAACCTAAAAAATACCAGATCTTCAGTATACTAGGTAGCTAGCCAGATCTTCAGTATACTAAGTATCTGACCGGATATTCGGTATACTAGATAGCTAACCGGATAGCTAGTATTCTGGCTATCTATATAACTATTCTAAGGTTAAATAAGGCCTTCTTTCCCTTAAAAAATATAATAGATATATAATAATTAGAATCCTCTATAATTAAACAATAAAGTCCTTAATCTTATTGATTACTTAGTAATTAACTATCTATAATACTTTCTTCTCTATCTATATTTTCCTAAGCCTAGTAAGACCTTATTAGTCTTATAGATTATAAGCCTGGATTACCTATATCTAGCTATACTATCTTTTTATATATACTTTTTACCCTCTTTTTATTTTATTTTCTGTTTAGAAACTTTTGAAGCCTAAAAATATTAAGTCTAAAATATCTCTATATTTTAGCTAAAATCTTAATAAACCTTAAAAATATATAAAACCTATCGATATATATATATATCTATATATATATTATATACTATAGTAAATCTTTAAAAAATTAAGGTACCTAAGCTCTTAGATATTGAAAATTATACTCTATTAGTTAAAGAGAATTTAGGGTTTAATATCCTAGATCTAGATAGAATAATATCTAATAAAACTACTATAACTCCTATAAAAAATAATAAGGTACTAGCTATTATTAAGCTATTATATAATAATAATTCTTTATTATATATAAAGGATAAAACTAGTACTATTTAGATATAGAATCCCCTAAAGGAATTATTTAATCCTAAGGATTTTATTACTAAATTTTTAGTATTAAAATAATTTTTTAATACTACTCTAGGAGATTTTAATACTATAGAGTAATACCTTAATGAAGTAAAACTACTTATTAGTAATCTAAAATCTAAGGAAATTATACTATCTAATTAGATAGTTATTATCTAGATTTTAAATAGTCTAGATAAAGATTATTTAGAATTTATATAAAATTATTATAGGTTGACAAGTTGCACACACTACCTTAGTATATATATTAGTACCTAGGAATATCAAAGCAAGAGCTTTAATATAGTGGACTTTTTAGTCTATTAGAATTAGTATATAATCCTAGGCATTGCTGTTATAAAAATATTATATAATCTCTGTACAATAATCCTAAGATATATACTATTAATTTACTAATAAAACTACTTATTAATAAATTATATAGTAAAGAAGATAATAATATTTATAGTATTAATAATTCCTACTTTAACAAAAATAATATAAAATTACTAAAAAACTATAGAAAAAACAGCCTTATAAAGGTAAATTCTGTAAAAATTATTATAAAACTAATTATAATATTAATAATTATTATTTCCTATATTCTAATAAATATCTAGATTAGTAGAAATTAATTAATAGAAATAATAGAAATAATAGAAATAATAAAAATAATAGAAATAATAAAAATAATAGAAATAATAAAAATAAAAACCTTTAGAATAATAATTAAATTACTATTATTAATACTATTCTATCTAATTTAGATAATTTTAATACTATACCTATCTAGAATATTAATTATAAGACAGTGAAGTCCTACAAGCATTAGGGGATGTTTGAATAGCTTCAGTAATTGCCAAAAGAGAAAATAGTATTAGAGGTGTGCCCTTAGGCTTAGTAATCAAAAGGTTAGATTAAAGAGATCAAAAGAAGATTAGTTTTTTTTAGATAGGTTTGCCGGGGGGTAGAGGCCCCTTTTTATATTGCTCTGGCTAAGCAGTAAGCTAGGCCAGACTAGGCCTAATTAAGCCTCTGGCAGAATATTATTAATAGGCAGTATAGCTAAATAGACTAGGCCTAGATAGGCCTGTAGCAGAACTCCAGAAGCTTAGAATATAGGCCTTGTTTAACAATAGTTAAGGACTTTAATAAACCTTGCTAAGTTTATTAAGCTTAACTATTTTTATTAAGCAGATCCTTAACTAGCTTTGTTAGGCTTTAACTAGTTTTGCTAGGTCTTCTTTATTATGCTTAACTAATTTTTGTTAAGCAATCTTATATTAAAAGCTTTTTATCTTCTTCTTATATATATATATATTCAGATTAATATAGAGATTAATAATCTTCTATTAGATCTTAATAATAATATAAGTATTTATAATACCCCTAATACTAAAAATAATAAAAATATACTTATAAATAATAAAGATTATCTAGGTAAACTACCCTATTAGATTAGACCTATTTATAATTTTATTATTAATACTACTGCTACTATCTCTATTATTATAAATTTAAATTATTTTTATTATAAATAAGCAGTAAATAAAACAGTAAACTAGGGAAAAGTACTAAAAATACTAATAAAATATAAAGAAACTATTATTATACAGACTAATCTAAATTATATATATATAATATATAATATACTATATATACCTAAATTAGGTATTAATATACTAAGTACTAATAGACTAAAAGGTATATCTATTTTTAAGGAAAATAGTATATATATATATAATAATAAAAAACTAATAATAAAAGTATATAAAGATACCCTATATAAAACCAATACTAATATACTATATCCTAATAAGATATTTAATATAAAATATTAAAATAAGCTACTATATCTAGAAGATAAAGATATAGAGATAAATAACTAGTATAGAAGATTAGACTATATTAGTTCTAAAGCTCTTAAATATATACTAAGTAATATTATAAATATAAAAATATCAGATAAATACTTATATAAAATAGTTAAAAACTATAATATATACCTAAGATCTAAGGTAAAAAGATATATAAATAAAAAGTCTAATAATACTATACTCTATAGAAGAGAAGAAAGACTATACAGTAATATAGATAGTTCTATAATACTAAAAATATATAATAACTATATATATTATATAATGTTTCTAGATAAGTAAACCTATAATCTATTTACTATATTATTAAAAATAAAAACTAAGCTTTAATAGCTTTAAAAAAAAATAAAAGCCTTAATAAAAAATTAAATTAGTATAAATATAAAATAACTATTTACTAATAATAGTAAAGAATATATTAATAAACTAATTAAAAATATAATAAATAAATATAGTATTATATATAATACTAGTCCTGCTTATATAAAGGAGCCAAATAGCCTAATAAAGTATATAAATCTTACCTTATTAAATAAGGTAAGGGTAATACTAGCTAATAGTAGTTATTCTAAATATCTATAGAATAAAGCCTTATTAGCAGCTATCTATTTATATAATAGGATACTATATAGTGCTCTAGGGTTTAAAATACCCTATAAGTTATATAATAAATTAAAGCTCTCTATTAATATACATAATTAATTAAAATATAGGGTTCTATTACTTATTATACTATTAATAAGTAAATAACTAAGCTAGAACATAGACAGAAAAAAGCTATATTAGTAGGCTATACTGATTATAGCTACTATAAGCTTTATATACCTAATAAAAGGACTATAATAATATTAAGAGATATTATAATCCTAGAAAATAAATACTATAATTTTAATAGTATTAAGGATAATATAACTAATATATATCTAAATAATAATAGAAGGGTTACCCAGAAAACCCCTAAACCCTAAGCCCTTAATATATAAGATAAATATAAGAGCAAAGGAATATATAAAAATAGCAGAGGATCCCTCTTATAAAATTAAAGTTTAAATACTAATAAAAATTAATATATACTATAATAATAATAATATACTCTATACTCTATCTGATATAGCAGTAGAAGCTATATATAGGCCTATATATAGTAGTATATTAAACTTTGTTTTAACTATAACTACTATAAAGAAACCTAATACTTTAAAACAGGCCCTAGAAGGCCCTGATAGCCTATACTAGTATAAAGCTTATATAGCTAAAAATAATACTTTAACTAGCTAAAAGGCTTAGGATATTATTAATATACCTAATAATATAATCCCTATAAATAGCCAATAGGTTTTTAAGATAAAACCTACTATAAGCAGAACAGCTAATAATACTAGTTATATTACTAATAGTAATAATACTATTAGATATAAAGCTAGATAGGTTATATAAGGTTTTAATTAAAGATTAGGAATAGATTTCCTAGAAACCTTTTTAATAATATACTGAACAGAATTATAGTATATACTATTACTAATAGCTGTTAATAAAGGCCTATATATATAGTAATATAATATTAAAAATACTTTCTGCTATACTAATATAGATACTGATATATATACTATATTACTAATAGGATTATATAATAATCCTAAATATAATCCTAAATATATAAAGCTTAATAAAGCATTATATAGGTTAAAATAATCCTCTAGACTATAGTATTAATACCTAAAATCAGTACTAGAATTACTAGATTTTAAGGTATTTCTATATAATAAAGGAATATATATAAATAAAAAGGATAATTATATACTAATATACTAGTATTATATAAAGATCTATCCTATATAAAAGCCTTAAAAAACAATATAAATAGATCTATTAAATTAGATAAAATAGGTTAAATTACTATATTTTTAGGTAATAGTATATATATTAATTATAAGGCTAAAAAGCTATATATATATTAAATAAAATATATTAATAAATTATTATCTAAAT